GAGTTAGATCATAATTAATGTGTTTATACAAAACATTAGGAACACCTTCCTCAATTCTTCAGGGCATGGACTCCACAAGGTGTCGAAAACGTTCCACAGGGATGCTGGCCCATGTTGACTCCAATGCTTCCCACAGTCCTGTCAAGTTGGCTGGATGTCCTTTAGGTGGTGGACCATTCTTGATACACAAGGGAAACTGTTGAGCATTGCAGTTCTTGACACAAACCGGTGCACCTAGCAGCTACTACCATACCCTGTTCAAAGGAATTTAAATATTTTGTCTTGCCCATTCACCCTCTGAATGGCACACATACACAATCCATACACAATCCATGTGGTCCTCTGTATGGGTAACCTTGACTGAGACCTGTGCCAGTAGCCTATTCAGGTTAAAGAAGAAGAATTTGAGCTTGGTAGAGCATGGCGCTTGTAACGCCAGGGTAGTGGGTTCGATCCCCGGGATCACCCATACGTACAAAATGTTTGCGCACATGACTGTAAGTCGCTTTGGATAAAAGAGTCTGCTAAATGGCATATTATTATTTATTATTATTATGTCTCAAGGCTGAAATTCTTCTTTAACCTGTCTCCTCCCCTTCATTTACACTGATCAAAGTGGATTTGACAAGTGACATCAATAAGGGATCATAGCTTTCACCTGGTCAGTCTATGTCATGGAAAGAGCAGGTGTTCTTAATGCTTTGTACACACAGTGTAGAGGGGGGACCTGATCGTAGATCAGAACTATAAGCTTGATAGCACCATTGCCAATGCTTTAGTTCAGTCATGCTCAGTTGTTTGGGAATTAAGGTGATTTATAAGAGATTGAGCTGTACTGTGCCTGGCTCAGGCCAACCCATGTGAACAAACACATGGACATATAGCCTACAGTAGCTAGGTAGGCTACCCCCATCTATTACATTAGTCAGTGAAAAAGAGTTGCATCAGGCCGCATACCTTCACATACTCTCAAATCATCGGACCCTGGAGGTGTGAAGTGTAAGGTTACACACAAGCACAATTACAGTAAAGGATGCGCTCCATCGGTCGGTTGTTCCCTATGAAGAAATAGTGCATTCCTGCCATGCCGGCATTCCTTGGCAATGCACAAGAAAAAAAGGTGACTGGCGACGTAGGCACGACTCCCGGGGCCGCTTCATGTCAGTTTTCCAGCAGTGCGTGGCATTCCTCTGGCATTCTCTGAGAAAGCGAAGCGGTAAACATGCGTAAATAATAGGCAACAGTGTGTCTTGGATTAGCACGCTTACCTGTAGTGGCTACAATTGCGGCATCAGACGCACGATTCAACATATCGTTTGAGTAGCCGCTTTCCAATCCCAGTACCGCAGAGATGACGAGTCCACGTAGCAATAAAAGCACTGCTTGGTAGAAGTAACTCATCTTGAGGGAAGCCACTAATTGTTTTCCGTGTGAAGGGAGGATAAATCAAACAATGGCTATGCCAAAATGGAAAGCTTTCTCCAAGGATTCAGACGGGTGTCAAGACTACGTAGAGAATTGCGTTTTGGGCAGAAATATTCGAATGTGTCGAGTCACAATAGAGCGCCAGACACAACCGTTGTCCGATCAAATGCACCCAACTTTAAAAAACCCGGTGTTTAGATAAAGACCACATCATATGAATATATAACAGCGAAATAGTCTACAGAATCTGTTGGTGTAACAAAGAAATGCTCCACTATTTGCATCTATCTAGATAATGAATGAAGTCTAGGCCTGTCTACAAAAATAACGATCTAGTCTAATTCAAGTGTTCAGAATGTCAAATTAAAGATATAGGACTTCAAAACTCCAACCGAAAATGACACCATTGTGTGGCATGACACGAAGTAGACGTCAATCGATTCCCCTCAAGTGTTCCTTAAGGATCAATATGATATCAGATTTTATAAAAACGATTTAAAGGTAGCTAGCTCTGAGGCAAACCGGTCTACTTTGTTAAGGTCAACTTCAAAAGACAAAAAGTGCAAATGGATAGTATGGAATCTTCTGTCTGAAAAAACACACACGACCAATTAAATAGGCTATAGCTTGCTGCCAAGAAAAATAAACTGTGTATCCAACGCGGTTTAAAGTGCAATGTATCCCGATCCTCATGATTGAATTAAGACAAAATAGTCTCTGTACTCCCACATACAGTAAGCACACATCGGGCTTGATTTCAGCATATTGAACACGCAGTCAGAGGTCCGCCCCCTCATATGAAAGTAGCAAATCCACTCTGCAAAAAAAGGAAATCAGCAGCTTCTCCCTGTCGCCCTTCAGTTCCTCCACCGCGTCCACGACAACGTTCACCTACTTTTAACTTAGATGAAAAGTTAATGTCAGGTATTCATGTCTTCGTTTGACATCTGTCTGTCTGCTTCCCCTGGCGTCTCAATTGCATACCGGCTGATGCAGACACTAAAGCTATGGGGCGGAAGTCGGTATGCAAATCAATTAACATCAGCCACTGCAAATGTATTCTCTCCCTCATGTGTGGGGGACGTGTACGATGGGATGATACATTGTAACAATTTGTTGTTTGTTTGTCGGGAGGGGGTCTGTGGCGGCTACAATGTGTCTTGTTCTAGCTGAACACTGTGGAAGTCCACGCCGCAGACACTGGCATTTGCTTTAACCATTCAGGTTCCCCCAGGGGCCTGTCACTATGCTGAACTGCATCCAAAAAGCAGAGGAATTCTCCTAAAAAAAATGTCGGGGGTGTTTGCACGTCACGGTGACGCGGATGCTCAGATCGGTTCATTGTTTTCCACTTCCCTTTTTGTATTGCTCCCCAGAGTCCCCATCGCTTGACAACTACCGAATCATCCAATGTTTCCTATTTGCTGAGCGCTGCCATTGGCCAGACTGTCCCAACATGGCAGAGTGTGATTGGTTGCTCGAGGAACCCCATTGTCACTTTTGAACATTCGTGGCGCGGGGAAAAGCGTTTTTCTTATTGTTGGCCGCCTCTGCTAACCAGAGCCTCATTTGGCTATGACCCTCACGTTCTGGGCTATTTCCAATACATTTACATTCCTGGTTTTAAGAAAATTGGTAACCAAAATTGGTATGCTATTATGGTATCTCAATGTGTCCCCATTTAGGCTATACATTTTAATAGACTAATAGTAATGGCTCATATGCATATGCTTCTATAAATTGAAGTAATGGCAAATTATAGGCTAGATGTTCATGTTATAGCCTCAAACACATACAAATATATGCCTATATGCTTACTTGGATGCTTCTTTGACATTGAAATTAATACATTTGGCCCACTATTCCAGTAACTGTATCATTACTATCAACTGGACCACGCTTACAAATGTTATATTAATACCCAAGAGTGCCACCGAGTGAAACGGGCAACCTGATAGTGCCATCTACATGAAATCTTTCAACAACGGCCAGCGCTAGGGTGATGATGGATGGGATGGCAGTCATGGGCTCATGATGGCACATCACTCCTGTAGAGCATTGTTTCAACCACAAGGGTGCCAACAGTGGTGGCTAGTCCAGACCAGGGAGAACAAAGGGTGGCTGATAAGAAGTCACTGGCCCCCGGGGGGTGCATTAAGCAGGAAAGGCTGTGGGAGTCCGGGTGAACAGGTGGCAGATGTACCAGGCATGACTAAGTCGCAAGGACTAGCATGAGGGAGAGAGAGGGAAAGAAGGAGGGCAGCAAAAAAAGGAACAGCATAATTTGATACGAGCACACAGAATGGATCGGGGGAAGGCAGCCAAAGCAAAGGCAGAGCAGATGCTAGGGTGGTACTGGGGGGCAGATAATGTGTAGTTGCTCAGTGCTGCTACCTGTCAATTACTGATTCTGCCTACCGACTCCTCAGGCTCAATGCTCTGGTGAGCTGCCAAAGTACAGTACGCCACATCCAAATATTTACCCTATCCAAAAAGACGATGCAGCATGCATGACCACATTTCTACTGCTGTTGCAGAATGGAAGGAGGCTGTCAAACAGAGATCTAGGGGCCATATGTTACATATATATGTTACCTCTTAGTGAAGGGCTAAGGAATAATGAGTCTGTTAATGAGTCTGAATACAATACTACAGAGGTAAAGTCAAAATTGAAAATACAAACTAGTGGATCTAGGTTTCATGACTTTATTTTAATTGAATGAGCATTGAAAAACAAAACTAAGCTATGATGCTATGATTGATGCCCCCTTAACTCCGAGACATTGACCTTATTGGGTAGGGGTAAAATGTAAGAAAAACCTGAAATTAAACTGTAAATAAAAAATACGTCATCTGGGCACATACATTTGACAATGGGCACAAAACTGAACAAAATAGGGTAAGGGATCAAATAATAGGGCGAGACAAAAATACAAATATAGCATGTGAACGCAATAATTCATGAAATCCATAAACATTTTACAATAATTACATAAAAGAGCAATTCAAACAAAGGTGCTTCAATTATAATTTTCACAATTAAAAACAAAAACAATAAAAACAATACTGAGACAAAAACAGTGTTGTAATGCATATATACAGAAGTCATATCTTATAATATCTTGCATATTAAAAACTAACATTAGAATATTTGTTTAAGACTTATTAATTATGACTTAGATAATGAATTAACAGAGATAATGTTCTTGAGGAAACCGACACTAACACTTGATAATTATTGCAAGGAGTGCTTCATGAAAATATACATTTTAAAACCCCATTAAACACCCCTTAACACATCAATGGTCACACTGTAGATAGCTACAACTACTTCCCACTGGGCACAGACATAATTTCAACATCTAGTTTTGATTTACATTTGGTTGAGTTGTCAACTAATGTGAAATCAACAAAAACTGTCACCATGTCATTGGATTTAGGTTAAAAGATGGGTGAAAAAATGACAAAATTCCCTAAGGTTGATGACTTTTTGCTAATTCAATTAGTTTAACACTCTGATTCAATGTCATCACATTGAATTGTTTTGTTAAAATGACATGGAAACAACATTGATTCAACCAGTTTTTGCCCAGTGGGTTTCCTCTTTCACACTGCCAATTACAACCCAATACAATACTGTTCCATGTAATCCAGCTTCCAATAGACTCATCAAGCTGGTCCCAAGCATTGGCATATGTATCATCTTACTTAGAGGGCATAGCTTAAGCAGGTAAGATTTGCTTAGCTTATCTGAGGGCTATACTTACATACTGTATAATATATCTAATAATATGATACATGGTGATAACTATTTCTGTGGCGTGCATGCAGAGGGACATGCAGCTTTGACACAGTGAAAGGAATATGGCGAAATGGATATACAAGGTTTCAGGGTCTTTTTTTGCCTTTTCATATTCCATATACGGTGTGGTTGGCATCTCTGACTCTGACAGACGATCACTGGCGTTGGCATGGTAACAGCTTGACTGCACAGGCAATTGTTCACGTCTCCTCCGGTGAGTGCACACACGTCTCACACACACACACGCAGGTCCTCAGATGACAGTGGCGAACAGGAAGATCTGAATGAGGGGCATGACCTTCAGAGTTGAAAGGTCGGCGAGGACGGCCTGCGGTAAGGGAGGTCGTCAAAGAGAACACACGTTCATTAAGCGGCCATTTTGTCAAAACGCTGACACACACTCCCTGACCAACAGCAGACTCACACCAACCAACCAGTGGATGTAATAAGGTTCCATGTAATAACGTTTTTCCAGAAACTATTTTTAGTGACTATTTTTTAAACACTATTGAGCTGCAGATTCCCCTTGTAGGCTTCATGCAGGGAATATGCAATTCTCCCAGCCTGGCCTTTTGGGATTACATTTAGGGCCCTATCATGTTTACAGAAAGGGTCTAATATTTCAGGCCCTCGGCACAGGCTCTAAAAATAAGGAGCCATGTTATGATCCCTTCTCCAGTGGACCAGGTGGTAAATGAGCAAACAAATACTGTGGCCCAGCATCTTAGCATCAGGTCAACCTGACGCCTGTGCGTCACACTTTGGATTAACTCCCTAGGAGGGGGGAGGCAAGAGAGGGCTAGAGGAGGTTTACCTTAAGGTTTACTATGGCTGTCAGTCAAATGCTCTGGGGAGACAGTGTAAAGGCTGTCTTAAGTGGGTACATGGACATGAGGCTGGGGCTGATGTAAAAGGCATTTGGAATAATTGCATTAAGAGGGAAAATGTATGCCATGCAATGTGAAGTTCATGGTGCAATGCTCTATATATGTGTGCTTTGTATGTTTTCGTGTAATCTGTACTTTTCCCGATAGACATTTAACAACACTCAAATGGACTATCTGACTCTCTGTACCCTCTCTCTCTCTCCCTCTCTCTCTCATGCACACAGACAGACACACAGACAGACACCCTGTGTACACCAAAATAATGACCCGTGCACATTTCGGTGTGAGCATTTCGGGGGGAGTGGGGGTTAATGGGGGGTAGGAGGGGTCGCAGGGTGTTGGGGGGGCAGAGGGCTTGAAATGACCAGCCAGCGTTTTTTAAGGTATCTGCATGCAGAAGACTGGGTTACTGGTGCTGGCTGGGAGTCAGGGGCTATTTCAGTCCCCACGGGCCAGAGTGGAGGCCAGTGTGTGCGTGTGCGTGTGGGAGAGAGACAGAGGGAGAGAGACACCTGCCTGTGGCCTCAGTGAAAAGCACACTCACCTCAGCTGAGGCCAGTGATGTCACCTCCATCAGGTTCTCAGCCCGGAAGGCAAAGACGGCCGCCGCCAGGACTAGGGGGAGGAGAAGGGAAAGTGAGGTCAATGCCCACTATACAGTTGAGCATCAATGCCGCCCTAACACCATAGCACACCTCTAAATACTAGTGAACTAATTAATACTAGAATGTACGGTCACAAAGTTGATAGTGTTATTAATTAAATTTCTTACATTGAGGAGTAGTTTCACGTGAGTGCTGCCATACCTGCTACGATTTCCAGTGAGTCGTAACCCAGGATTCGGTCCCACAGCAGAAGGAGCTGGTCAGTAGAGAGGTACCCAGAAAACGCTCTCACCATCCACTTAAAGGCAATACGCAACCTGAGGGTATATTCAACAGTTGAATAGTGTCGCATCATTCTTTCATGTATCATCATTGGAGCCCAAATGTACACTTCACATTTCCCTTTTTATACCTGAATGAAAGATAATCATACATATTCTATTCATACATATTCAAAGCCACAGCCATTTCCAAAGCCACAAAGTAATGTATTTGTAATATTTGTCCACTAGATGGAGGTATATGCTTGAACTAACGCCATTCATATCAATAGAGTTGTATAAAGGATGGGTTGGGGTGTGTGTGTTTTTGGTTTTACTATCCTTGTGGGGACCAGAAGTCCTCACAAGGATAGTAAAACAAGGAAAATTCGGACAAGTGGGGACATTTTGCAAGTCCCCACAAGGAAAAAGGCTATTTTAGGCTTAGGGGTTAGAATTAGGGTTATGTTTAGGGTTAGGGGTTAAGGAAAAACAGGATTTTGAATGGGAAATAATTTATTTGGTCCCCACAAGGATAGTAAAACAAACGTGTGTGTGTTCTTGTATTACTATCCATTTGGGTACTGTAAATCCCCCAAAGTCCCCTCAAGGATAGTAAAACAAGGAAAATTCTCCCTCGTGGGGACATTTCCCACGTCCCCACAAGTATAAATAATATTTTAGGGTTACAATTAGGGGTTAGGTTTAGGAGTTAGGGAAAATAGGATTTTGAATGGAAATCTATTTTAGGTCCCCACAAGGATAGTAAAACATATGGTGTGTGTGTGTATACTCACGGCTGAGCGCCTATCTCCCGTAGATGGTAGAATAGCTGGGGGAGATGGGTCTGTAGCAGCCTCTCAAACTGTAGGCACAGAGAAACTATACCCTATGGAATAACATGAGTAATGTGAATACACACACACATACAGTACATGCACAGACGGACACAGAAACACAACCGTATCAATACGACATACTTTCATGAACACAAACATACACGAAAAGACATAGCTATACATAGAAACACAAATATGAACAGAGAACAGACAGAAAACACACTCTCTCGCCTCTCTCTCTCTCCCTCTCCGTCTCTCTCTCTGTGTTCAACTTACGGAGGTGGAGGAGGAGACGGAATGCAGCCTGAAGAAGTAGCGTACATACATCTCCCTAAACACACTGTACAGCTTGGAGGGCTCGTTGTACAGGAAGCACAGAGGGGCCACTGGAGGACACAGACACACAGTAACACCTCAGCACTGGATCTACATACAATGGGTGTCCAGATTCTTTTTTTAAAGGGTCTATTTCATGATCACAATTTTAGCAGGTACTATGATTTAGAAGGTAGAAGCCGTACTTACCGTACATTGAAAAACCATGGAATGGGATGACACCTATACGGAGGAGAAATTGAGAATAGTCAATCAATGATTGAGCACAAGCATAAAGGGCTACTTATATGTGTGTTGGTAAGTGAATTTGGGGTTAAGGACTATTCTCACCATTTGGAGGATACACCACAGCAAACTCCTCAATTCCCACCTTGCCTGCAGGTAACCAACCATGACATCAATACCGTTTATGAGATTTCCCTTAAAGAACACTTGTGATGATTGTCAGTTAGATGAGATAATATGCATCCTCTTCAAGGGTAGAATGGCTCACCTTGAATGTAGGATTTGGGAGGAGTGGCACTGTTGTAGCTGAAGTGCTCCAAGACCGCAGTGTCTCGAGAGAAACATAGCAGGACCTATGACAACAGACACACACAAATGCATGCACACACACACACACACAAACACACACACACACACAAAATACACATTAATATATGATTTGGTCAGTGGCAAATTAATCTGTGCTTGAGTTGCTTCAATTACGCTCAAGGAGAAAGTCTATTAAAAAGACGTCTGGCTTGCCCAGCTCCAGCATTCCAGGATCTTTTGAGAAATCACTCGGAAACTAACAGAAACTCAAGTGGCAGCACGGTTTTTCAGACGACAACATGAGAGGGGTTTTTAGATGGTAATCTCATATTCTCTTCCGATTGGGAATACATTTCAATGACTCTGCCCCACTTGTGTGGCATTATGTTCAGGAAATGACATGGTCGCTCAATCAACAGAATTATGTTTTAATCAACCGATTTCGCCGGTTAAGGTCATTGAGTCACAGCAGATGGGGACTGTGTATGAACTGCAGAGCTGGGGTCAATTCCATTTCAATTCCAGTCTATTCCCACTGGGCACAGACGTCAGTTCAACATGTAGTTTTGATTTACATTTGGTTTAGTTTTTAACTAACATGAATTCAACATGAAATCAACAAAAAATTGTTAAAAGTTGGGTGAAACAAAGACAGTGCCTTTACGCTGATGACTTTTTGCAAATCCAATCAGTTTTCCACGTTGACGCAACGTCATCACATTGATTTGTTTGGTTGAAATGACGTGGAAACAACGTTGATTCTACCAGTTCTTGCCCAGTGGGCTGAATCGGACATGGGATTTTCCCCATAGGAGTGCAGTTTAACTCTTCAATTGATTGGACTTAAAGACATGCTCCAGAACTTTGGCAACTACTAAGTATTAATTAAACCTCTCGCTTTGGGCTGGATGTGTCAATGTGTAGTTCATACATGCATAAGCTATTAGCAGAATTACTGGCTTACCTCAATTAGCCACGAAATCCCTAGTTTGAAAACAACTGTTTCTTTCTGGAAGCTGTGCTGCGCCATTTTCCCTACAGTTTCCCCCACGTGGGCCAGCCCCCTAGCAATTTGAGTACTAGCCAATGAGCATCAGCCCCTCGCCATTTGAGTGACAGGTGCCAAGATGCACACACAGCAGAGCGAGAGAGAGAGCAATGACGTGGTGAAAAAACAGTGCCTAGTGAAAGTCTACACACCCTTGCATAGTCTTCCTATTTTGCTGCCTTAAATCTAAAGAGTGATTCAATTAGATTTTTTTCCTACAGATCTACACAACCTACTCTATATTTTCAAAGTGAAAGAAGGTTCTAGAACATTTTCCTAATCTTTTTTTTATTTTTATTTTTTATTTTTTTGGCCGAAGATGTCTTGATTGTGTATGTCTTCACACACCAGAGTTAATACTTGGTGGAAGCACCTTTGGCAGCCATTATATCTGTGAATCATTTTGAATTATATTCTACCAAATTTGCACAACTCTTAGGGCAACCATTGTTTTTGTCAAAATGGCTCAAGCTCAGTAAATTTGGTTGGGAATCATGGATCGACAGCAATATACAAACCTTGTTTCTGATTATCAAGCAATATTTGTATTTTAAAGTATTGTGGTGGCAGCATCATGTTATGGTTATGCTTGTCACCGGCATGGACTGGGGGAGTTTGTTAGGATCAAAATAAATAGAAAAGGAGCAAAGCCCAGTTAAAAAGTTTGAGGAAAACCCGCCACAGTCTTCTGAAAACCTAACCCTGAGATTTTATTTTTCCATGTGGCAATTACACAATTTTTAATGCCAAAGACACAGTACATTTGAGATCAGAATTTTAACACCCACAGTGTTAAATTTAACACTTTCTTAGAAATTATATGTGACCCACTGAAATAATATTAAACGAACACTTTTCAAAGTGTTCACAAACTAACACCCCTAGAGTGTTGGTCCCTAACACCATGGGTGTGGCAAATTCCGACATAAATTAACACTTTATTGGCCTCCCAAGTGGCGCAGCACTATAGACCCGGGTTCGATCCCAGGCTGTGTCACAACCGGCTGTGACCGGGAGTCCCATAGGGCGGCGCACAATTGTCCCAGTGTCGTCCAGGTCAGGGGAGGGTTTGGCTTTACTTGGCTCATTGCGCTCTAGCGACTCCTTGTGGAAGGCCCGGGCACCTGCAGGTTGACTTCGATTGTCAGTTGAATGGTGTTTCCTCCGACACATTGGTGTGGCTGGCTTCCAGGTTAAGCGGGCGGCTGTTAAGAAGCACGGTTTGGCGGTTCATGTTTCGGAGGACACATGGCTCTACCTTCACCTCTCCCGAGCCCGTTGGGGAGTTGCAGCAATGAGACAAGATCGAAATTGGATATCACGAAATTGCTGAGAAAAAGGAATAACACATGTAGTGTTACAGTATTTTGGGGGTTTTAACATTGTAGGTTGTAAATCCTTATTTGAATATTTCTCAGCATGCCTTTCAAGTGAATGTGAGATATACCCACTCATGAGTGTGTTTGTTATTGAATGCAACAACCATGTCTTTGTCACTAACTCCTAGACCTGAAGCCTTCACCAAGTGACTGCTAAATGCATGTGTTTGAATTAAAAGTAAACCCTTTATGACCATATATTATACATCTAGTTATGGCCTAGTTATCCTCCACATTGTGGTCTGAAAATCTTGGTTCATGGGCCACATCAGACCTGCAAATCACAATAAGCTGGTTTGGGAAGTGATTAGTAATTCCTATCGGAATCCAGCCAGAGGGAGGATATCCCACAATTATAATATTTTATCACCCACAACCTGCATTCAGAATGACTGCTATGCTGAAGGACTTGGCAAACAAGACTACCTAAACCATCTCACTAACAGGTGCAATAAATCCAACCCCTTACAGATTGGATTAGTTTAGAAAAATGTTAGTTATTTATCTTTGTATAGTGTAAGATCAATTCATCAATCAATGTTCATGCAGAAACATAGATATGAAAACAAACTATTCTAAAAATCAACCTGCAACAAAGCATTCTGGGAAGAATGATAATGAGGCCCCTCTCACGTCTTTTTCATTCTGAGAGAGTTAACGGAAATTAACTCAACACAGTCGAGTAACAACAATACCACGCAGTCTTGATTCCACTGTGATTCAAATAAGATTTATAACACATTTATTCACTGCATGTGGTGTCAATTTCAATCCCACTGATATTAACCCTGATAGAATCAACACTCAATTTGCTGTGCAGAATGGCGTTCCAATAAATGTTTTGTCCTGAATGGTCCAGTCTCCGTCCTGACTTAAATCTGAGACAAGGTTTGAATATTGCTGTCCATCATTGATTCCCAACCAAATGTACTGAGCTTGAGAAACTTTGACAAAAACAATGGATATATGTTGCCCTAAGAGTTGTGCATAGTTGATAGAATCTTATCAAATATTATTCACAGCTGTAATGGCTGCCAAAAGTGCTTCCACCAAGTATTAACTCTAGGGTGTGAAGACATACGCAATCAATACATCCTCGTTTTGTATTTGTTAGTAATTTGGAAAATGTTCTATAATCTTTCTTTCACTTTGGTGAAAAATGACTGTTGCTTCTACATTGATAAAGTTGAATTATTAAGTTACTGGTCCCCTCCCCTATGTCAAACACTTGGATTCATTATTAAGGGGACAAGGTGACATCACCTTAACTCTCATTTTAATACCGCCTTGTAACGAACATCGGAAAAGGCGTGTTTGCAGAGGGGGGTGGTTTATATAGCTAGATAGCTACTCTACTGGTGCCAAAATTTAACTGTAGGGTGTCAGCAAATATAATTATACGTTTCCCTATTAATTTATGGCAAAGATACTTAACTTACATTTCATCTGTGTCTGGTGTTAGCTAGTTACTGGCTTGCTAGGTCTTCAGCCAGCATGGAACAAAAGGGGGGAAAAGGTCGTTCAAAACTCAGACGCAGTTGTCATCCGTCAGTGCTGCTGTGAACGGCATCACAAGAGACATGCCAAACGGGAGATGTATGTATGTATGTATATATATACACTACCAGTCAAAAGTTTGGACACACCTACTCATTCAAGGGTTTTTCTTTATTTGTATTATTTGTTACATTGTAGAATAATAGTGAAGACATCAAAACTATGAAATAACACATATGGAATCATATAGTAACCAAAAAAGTGTTAAATATATTTTAGATTTTAGATTCTTCAAAGTAGCCACCCTTAATGACAGCTTCGCACACGCTTGGCATTCTCTCAACCAGCTTCATGAGCTTCCAGCTTCACCTGGAATGCATTTCAATTAACAGGTGTGCCTTGTTAAATGTTAATTTGTGGAATTTATTTCCTTCTTAATGCGTTTGAGCCAATCAGTTGTGTTGTGACAAGGTAGGGTTGGTGTACAGAAGATAGCCCTATTTGGTAAAAGACCAAGTCCATATTATGGCAAGAACAGCTAAAATAAGCAAAGAGAAACGACAGTCCATTACTTTAAGACATGAAGGTCAGTCAATCTGGAACATTTCAAGAACTTTGAACGTTTCTTCAAGTGCAGTCGCAAAAACCATCAAGCGCTATGATGAAACTGGCTCTCATGCGGACCGCCACAGGAAAGGAAGACCCAGAGTTACCTCTGCTACAGAGGATAAGTTCATTAGAGTTACCAGCCTCAGAAATTGCAGCCCAAATAAATGCTTCACAGAGTTCAAGTAACAGACACATCTCAACATCAACTGTTCAGAGGAGACTCCGTGAATCAGGCCTTCATGGTCGAATTGCTGCAAAGAAACCACTACTAAAGGACACCAATAAGAAGAAGAGACTTGCTTGGGCCAAGAAACAGGAGCGATTGACATTAGACTGGTGGAAATCTGTCCTTTGATCTGATGAGTTCAAATTTGAGATTTCTGGTCCCAACCGCCGTGTCTTTGTGAGACGCAAAGTAGGTTTACGGATTATCACCGCATGTGTGGTTCCCACCGTGAAGCATGGAGGAGGAGGTGTGATTGTGTGGGGGTGCTTTGCTGGTGACACTATCTGTGAACTCCCTCAAGACTGTTGGAAAAGCATTCCAGGTGAAGCTAGTTGAGAGAATGCCAAGAGTGTGCAAAGGTGTCATCAAGGCAAAGGGTGGCTACATTGAAGAATCTAAATTATAAAATATATTTTGATTTTCTAAACACCTTTTTGGTTACTACATGATTCCATATGTGTTATTTCATAGTTTTGACGTCTTCACTATTATTCTACAAGGTAGAAAATAGTAAAAAATAAAGAAAAACCCTTGAATGAGTAGGTGTGTCCAAACTTTTGAATGGTACTGTATACAAAAGATTGAGTATTATCTATGTAGGTTGTGTTAGGTTAGAGCGTGTACACAGAGGGGAGATAATGGTGGTAAAAATAACATGCACACCAGACTGTATAGAATACCACTAGACTAAACTACTCCCACTCCTACATACACAGTCTTCCATTCTAACAGATATAGTTACACACACATTTATACCCACAAGGGTTCTTTGCAGAGGGATAGGGTTCTACCAAGAACCGTTTTGATTACAAGAACCCTTTTTGGAAGACAAGGGCTCTTTGTAAGTCAAAGTGTTCTACCTAGAACCTTTAACATCTTAAGAACCATTTTTGGAAGAAAGGTTCTTTGGGAGGCAAGAAGGATTCTTTGGAAAGCAAGAACGGTTCTACATAGAACCATATATAATATTTCCCAGCATGCTCTATTGCAGGGAGATTTTCAGAATTGTTTGTACTACTTTAATATGTGTTTTTGCATGTACATTGATTGGTTTATTAATTTTATGCTACACAAAGATAAATAACATACTGTTTTCTAAACTAATCCAATCTGTTAGTAATTGGATTTATTGCACCAGTTACTGAGATGGCTGTTCCAGTTTAGATGATTGAGGTAGTCTCAGTATTCAATCTTCGCTATCCTGGCAGTCATTCTGAATGCAGGTTGTGGGTGATTAACAATTCCACTTGTTGGATATCCTAACTCTGGCTGGATTCCAATAGGAATTACACATCACTTTGCAAGCATAATGTGAATTGCAGGCCTGATATGAGATTCCTAACTCCACTGTGTTAGGGTATAACTAGGCCCTCAAAGAAATGCATGATATATGTAATGTATTGTCATAAATAATACAATTTTAAAGGCTAATAAGGCTGGTGGGTTCTACCCGTTCATAGAGGGTTCTAGGAAGAACCTTTAGATGATAAATTGGTTCTTGGTAGAACCCATCATAGAGGGTTCTCGGTAGAACCATATACAGGGGGTACTTTGAAGAACCCTACATTGAGGGTTCTATATACCCAGCACCAAAAAGGGTTCCCCTATGGGGACAAACCAAAGAACCCTGTATGGTTCTACTTAGCACCCTTTTTTCTAAGAGTGTATATAACATAGAGGCTCCCCTATCATGGTTTTGAATACCCCTATCAACCAAAATACTCGGAGCAAGTGCTGATTCAAAGAACCTGATTTCAGCGCATTTCATATGTCCATAAATACTTGCATCAGACAACACTATAGTGACAGATGAATGTCTCCAGTCTGGCTTTACCGGTTTATTTGTTTACGTCCGTGTTTAACTGAAAGATAGCAACTATTTCGCTGAATGCTGCGAGCGGTTTACTGAACAGCAGTGGCACGACAGGTTATGTAATCTCTATGGTGGCTTATCTGCTCTGCGCTGATAAATTATCAATATTGACTGTTCGTGAACTCGCTATACAGTTGTAGAATTCTGTCAATATACAGCTCAGGTCTAGGTTGAGAGAGACTAACATAAAATTAGAAATATCAAAAAGAGACAGTGCATCAGAGACTGGGCTCAACTCCATTTTAAAGAGATGCTCTGGTACTTCTGTATACTTTTTTGCCAGTAGTTCTGACGAGCCAAAAGTGGTCCCCGAAAATGGTGTCCTACGTCACATATTGTATGTGCAGATACAGTCGCTAGTGAAAGTCAACACACCCCTTGCACATTCTTCACATTTTGCTGCCTTAAAGGTCCTGAACAGTCATTCTGCTGAGTAGGTGCTTGAGAGAGAGAGAGAGCGTGAGAGAGCGAAAGAAAAAGAGAGAGAGAGTGAAAGAGAGAGAGCCAAAGAGAGCGTGAAAGAGAAAATGGATGAGGGAAGATGAGTCACACTCACCTGATACAGGAAATCTTCAAACACAAAGTAGTAGTCATCATTACTCGCAGTCAGTTTCACATCCTGGAGAAAACAATGTAAGGATAATTGACAGCAAAACAAAGCTATAAGAAAGAAATACCTGACATCACTACTAGTTTGTAAAGAACATAGGGGATGAGAAAATAAATAAAACCAAGGTTCTCCACAACCACACGTGTTTGCATGTGCTGTGTTGTAAGTGTTTCCCTGCTTGTATTGGCACACCAAAGCCTACCTTGTAGATGAGGTTGTCCACCAGCAGGTCATGGTGTATGACCCCAGCCTTCAGCTGCTCATAATGCATCACATCCTGTCGAACAAAACATCAGTCAGTCACTTACAAATAACACCAAACTAAAAGATACAACCTCCACAGTATGTACAAATAATATGGGACCATCATTTATTCAAATTCTTGACCACTCATTCCAATACAGAAAGTGGGTCTAAATGAAACTAAAGACAGCAGCATTAATTCTGTTTGCCCTCTAATACAATAATCTATTTGAATTGAAGTATTACTACTATCTGATGTCCTTAAACCACCTTGTGTATTGTGTCCAATTTATGTGCTTGTTGACATTGACATGACCATGATTTAGTCAGACGAAGAGGCAAGGTTAGTGTTATGGGAAGTACTTCAACACTTAAAACACTTCACACCACATAGTTAACATCAGACATGTCTCCGGTCTGAGAAAAGCTATCATAAAAGAACGAGGCTACAGAAGACAGGGAGGAAAAGAGGAATAAAACCTAAACGCTGACAGACTTCAAGCACTTTGGCAATCAGAGACTGGTGGGGAGAAAAAGAGAGATGGGGTTCGGGTTGCTTGTCTGAATCAAGAGATAGGGCTTCCCAGACATATTCAAAACACAAAGATGGATATTGTCAATTTGAGACATTAAAATTCCCTTTAAAACATTAAAGGGGCAATCTACGATTGCTACATAAATGTTTTGACTTTTAAATTAATGACATATACCCATTAATTCTTGAAGAATATCACTTATAAATGCCTCATTAGCTTAGTTCAACTGTCGTAACCCACCAGAACCCAAAGAATAAGCTTGTTTTATTCCAATGTTTGTAAACAGTTTAATTGTAAACAAACACTGTATAGCCTCAAAACATTAATAAAACTATCATTTTGATATCATGGATGGTCAGTACTTGCATCCATAGTTCTTCTTATCAACTGTGTGCACGCATTATCTGTGTTGCTCTTGCCAACCCCCATTGTCACACCTCAGAGGTTCTGTTGTGATTCCATCATGTAGGTCTGATATCTGATTCGTTACCTTTACAGTAATGTTATTAGTCAACAACTCAGATATTGAATCCAAACAACTCAGATGTTATAAAAGGGTCTTAGATTAATTGTCTCTCTCTTTTTTTTGTTCCTGAACTGCTGTGGTGAGATAATCTCTCTCTCTCAATTCAATGAAAGGGCTTTATTGGCGTGGGAAACATATGTTTACATTGCCAAAGCCTATCTGAATCTTTCTCTCTCTCATGAGCTATGGGCCACGGCACAAGCCATGGTTTCTTTGTCTCTCACTCTCTCTCTGATAATGCCTAGAGTAGTGCCTTGTAATGCTTGTTAATGCTTTGTAACTTAAGCTTTATGCCTTGTACGTGAATCCAATAATACGTTATTAAATAATACTTGCTTTGATATTCGCTCTGCATGACCATTCCTTGATCTTAGTCAGCTAAATGCATAATACTTGATAGCACATGGTTTAACTATAGTCTCTTGCATATTGATATTTATCTTATGGAGTCAGATAATTCCTTTAATGGGCTAATTGCTTAGTCTTATTATGGGTTGTATGTGAGGTAGTTATAATATCATATGTATCAAATATTACCACAGTAACAAGTGATCAGGATAGGATGTCATACATTTTATTTTAATTATTTTTTTAACTAGAAGACACAGGACGTATAAGGATACCCAAATCCATTTATCGTTTGAATAAATCAGACCCTTTTATTTGGTAGAAAACAGCCTGAAGCAGTGTTTGTGTTTACTGAGGTTCTCAATCACAAACAACAATAACATTCAAATTAATATGTAACTTAAACTTGACATTCACATTAACTTTCCTCCCTGTCCTTTGGATGAGAAGGCAAATACTGTATATCCACAACAACACTTTCGGATTGACATTTCCACCCTTGACATTCCAACTTAACAGCTTTGCCATGCTTTACTTCCAGTACCTTAAGGGCATTGTGTATACAGCTGCTTCTGTGCCACAAACCAGCTGTAAGTGGCTGTACATAAGGAGTCTATGCCTAACATAGTGGGTAAAGAATGGCCGCCCACCACCTCCATCTATCGCCCCGTGGGAAGCCCTGTCTCCTGGGCGAGGCCCTTAAAGGCATCTGCCATCCATTAGCCTGTCTGCGCTGGAGAGCCCTTATTAACATGAAGGATTGTGGGATGCGGGCTACGTCATCGGAGAGTTGATGGGTGGTGGTTGACGGTGGGTATCTGGGACATAGTGGGCATGTTCTGTTTAAGAGGATGGTGGTGATTGGTTAATACAACCTGGAGGTCGTCCTTGAAGATGTTTAGGTTATACTCTATTAACATAAATCCCTGTGCATTGACACAATATCCTGAGTGACCTGATATGTCATACAGACTAGAGCTAGTGGCACACATAGAGTACGGATAGTGGATAGTCCTCTCTCCTGTCCTGAACGTAACTCTGTTTGTCCTACTGTCGAGCCTGGTGAAGGTAATGCTCTACAGACCTCCGCTGGATCCCTGTAACTCTCCTAGGGGATCAATCTTCCCACGGCAGGGGCATTGTTTAATCGGCCTGCGGCGAGGCGGGGGTCCGATCCCTGGGTTATACAAATGCGGAAGGGCACGGTCATTTGCCACACAGGGAGAAGGCCCTCTTGTTTGAGCTAACTTTGCTAAATCGCACCAGTTTGATTACGTTGGCGGTCACAGTGCCCTGGGACGAGTTACGGCAGGATGGTGTAAACACGAGCGCCACTAATTTATGGCCAGAGGATTGCCTCCAACTGCAGGAACCTGTACTATGAACTAGGCATATGGCATTCGGGTATTCAGTCTATAAAATACGTATCCGTACCTACATGTACAGTAAGTGAATTCCTTTAGGACAATGTCTAATGCCAAAGGAATTAAGATATTTTTTGCTAGAGTTGACGGTTCAATCAACTGTAATGCTTGATAAATCTAATTGCATGCAACCTTCTTTATTGGAGAACTTATTTGAAGCTACGCAGGTGGTAACATCCATAAACACTCATAAATATAAATTAGGATAAACATACGTGCCCCCACATTAACATACAGCCAATGTATGGAGAAGAACCAACACAGGTAAATATGACCTGAGTTTCCTTTCTACCAAAACGACCCCCCTAAACAGTTCCTCTCTTCCAGTGTGAATGATGGAGATAGGTCATGTCAACCATTAACACTGGAGAGGGTTCAGAGAGTGAAAGAGAAGGTTCAGGAAGAGGTGAGTAACTTCAAGCCCTAGAAAACATGGGTCTTGGGAACCGCAACAGCTGTGTGTGCCTGGCCATAACAAACACAGGCAGACGGAGAGAAAACCCAGAGTAGCAGGTTCAACATCATTGTCTTTAACATTAACATAATGATACATGAATCTACAAAACATTGGTAACCACTTAACCAGTCAGCGTGTTTGTGTGTGTGTCTGTGTGTGCGTTACCTCAGGCTCATTGGTGGAGTTGAGGATGAGGGCCCAGAGGTCAGCTCGTAGGCCGGTGGGACAGCCCTGTCTACTGTACTGCTGGGCAGCTGCACTGTCCTGCTCACTCACCACTGGAACAACACACACAGAGGATACACTCATAATACAACAATAGTATAGCAGTAGTTACATTATATCACAACTGAGAGAGATCTCCTTTATATACATTTAAATACTTCATTTGAATTCAAAATGAAAATAAATATATTACACACTCCACTGACTCACACCACTGTAAACATACCAGGACCATAACAAAATGTCTCACTGTCATTATAGCAACACAACTTTCCCCATCTGATAAACACACAACTAAAACAAACTGACTGCAACCGATCACACCAGACCCTATCTGAATCTGAACCTTCCATCTTGCTCCTTCCACTACAACAGGTCCCAAACACACATGGCCCTTGACTCCACTCACTCCAGGTGTCGGAGAGCCAATAACACAATCCAACATAAACATTCTGCCCTCCTGTTCCTCTTTAATCCACATTTAGAGTGCTATCCTCCCTTGGTCTAGCGTCCGCTTGGCCTTTGCGGTGTTAAAACACATTCCTACCCATGTAGAACAGACTGTGAGGGCACTAAGGGGTTGTATACAAAATGGGTCCCTGTGTTATTATGTGTCCCCTGGCCAGGCCTGGACTCTGATTCAGCCCTATAAGAGGCGTCCCCGCTAATGTTTACATTAGGCTCAGCATACAGGGATAGGGTAGAGTGCAAAAGTGTAAGGGAGACTAGGCCACTTGAGAGGGTGAAGGAGAGGATTAGTTATGGCAGGAGCTACCTTTAGGGGTTTCCGATGGGAGTGGGGTGAAAGGTGTGTGTGGTCTTGTTCTTCTATCTTAGTGGGGACCTGAAATCTCCAAAAGTCCCCACAAGGATAGTAAAACAAGGAAAATTCTATTTTAAGCTTAGGTGTAAGGTTTAGGGTTACAATTAGGGTTAGGTTTAGGGGTTAAGGTTAGGGTAAGGGTTAGGGAAAGGGAAAGTAAGATTTTGAATGGAAATCCATTTTAGGTCTCCACGAGGATAGAAAAACAAGTGTGTGTGTTAGGGCTGGGCGGTATACCATATTTTACTACAATACCAGTCAAAAGTTTGGACAAACCTACTCATTCAAGGGTTTTTCTTTATTTTTACATTGTAGAATATTCGTGAAGACATCAAAACTATTAAATAACACATATTAAATCATGTAGTAACCAAAAAAGTGTTAAACAAATCAAAATATATTTTATATTATTTTAAAGTAGCCACCCTTTGCCTTGATGACAGCTTTGCATTCTCTCAACAAACTTCATTAGGTAGTCACCTGGGATGCTTTTCCAACAGTCTTGAAGGAGTTCCCACATTTGCTGAGCACTTGTTGGCTGTTTTTCCTTCTGCGGTCCAACTCATCCCAAACCATCTCAATTAGGTTGAGGTCAGGGGATTGTGGAGGCCAGGTCATCTGATTCGGCACTCATCACTCTCCTTCTTGGTCAAATAGCCCTTACACAGCCTGGAGGTGTGTTGGGTCATTGTAATGTTGAAAAACTAATTATAGACCCACTAAGCACAAACCAGATGGGATGGCATATCGCTGCAGAATGCTGTGGTAGCCATGCTGGTTAAGTGTGCCTTGAATTCTAAATAAATCACAGACAGTGTCACCAGAAAAGCACCCCCGCACCATAACACCTCCTCCTCCATGCTTTACAGTGGGAAATACATATGCGGAGATCATCCGTTCACCCACACCGCGTCTCACAAAGACACGGCGGTTGGAACCAAAAATCTCCAATTTGGACTCCAGACCAAAGGACACATTTCCACCAGTCTAATGTCCATTGCGCGTGTTTCTTGGCCCAAGCAGGTCTCTTCTTCTTATTGGTGTCCTTTAGTAGTGGTTTATTTGCAGCAATTCAACCAAGAAGGCCTGATTCACGCAGTCTCCTCTGAACAGTTGATGTTGAAATGTGTCTGTTTCTTGAACTCTGTGAAGCATTTATTTGGGCTGCAATTTCTGAGGCTGGTAACTCTAATGAACTTATCCTCTGCAGCAGAGGTAACTCTGGGTCTTTCTTTCCTGTGGCGGTCCTCATGAGATCCAGTTTCATCATAGCACTTGATGGTTTTTGCGACAGCACTTGAAGAAATGTTCAGGATTGACAGACCTTCATGTCTTAAAGTAATAATGGACTGTTGTTTCTCTTTGCTTATTTGAGCTGTTCTTGCAATAATATATACTTGGTCTTTAACCAAATAGGGCTATCTTCTGTATAGCCCCCTTTCCGGATTGACTGACCTTCTTGTCACAACACAACTGATTGGCTCAAACGCATTAAGACGGAAATACATTTCACAAATTAACTTTTAAGAAGGCACACCTGTTCATTGAAATGCATTCCAGGTGACTACCTCATGAAGCTGGTTGAGAGAATGCCAAGAGTGTGCAAAGCTGTCATCAAGGCAAAGGGTGTTTATTTGAAGAATCTCAAATATAAAATATATTTTGATTTGTTTAACACATTTTGGGTTACTACATGATTCCATATGTGTTATTTCATAGTTTTGATGTCTTCACTATTATTCTACAATATAGAAAATAGTAAAAATAAAGAAAAACCCTTGAATGAGTAGGTGTGTCCAAACTTTTGACTGGTAGTGTATATACCGGTATTGATGCGTGCATGGGCAGGTTTGGTTTTTTACTTTACCTTCTATAAAGGTATTTCCATGTTTGGCTTTTTAAATGTGATATACCACTCCATTTTTATAGTTTACTCCGCTACTTGAGTTGTCACTCAAGGAGTGCAGTTATTCTTACCTGACCACTATCACTTGCCGACCGTTCACTCTTGACTTCAGTCTTCATGGTCAATGCAGCAGATACAATATGTTGATGACAACGATTCTGATTTCCACTTTGCTTCTTAATATAAATCCACAAGCTTTCTATAAGCAGCTAGTTTGTCTTTTCTTACCAAGATGTTTCTAAAATAAATTGTTAGCCGCTAATGCTAATCGCTAGTTAGCTGGCTAGCTAATAAATGTACTGAGTCAGTAACTAGCTAATACAGCCTGATACCAGTGCTGATGTAGGCCTAAATAAGCAAGTTGTTTTTCAAGAGTATCTTCTAAATCAGAGAGGAATAGGCAAAGCATTTATACGTTAGCTACATAAAGTAAGAGAAAACATTTAATGTAGCCAATGAGTATAGGGTCCCACTCCACTGACCAAAACTTGGTTCCTACCCTGTCACATAACGCCTCCATAGAGATTCTAATTTCTAATTCTATGAACGCCTCTCTGGCTTTTTCATTCGTTGTCATGTCAAACAACACTGTATTCAAAGTGTCCACTATTACATTCTAACTATAGAATAATATTATTATTATAATTTTTCCAACAGTTCACCCAAGTGTTTCAATCTATACTGAACAAAAATATAAACGCAACATGCAACAATTTCAAATATTTTACTGAGTTACAGTTCAAATGAGAAAATCAGTCAATTGAAATAAATTCATTAGGCCCTAATCTATGGATTTCACATGACTGGGAATACAGATATGCATCTGTTGGTCACAGATACCTTAAAATAAATGGGCCTCACAATGGGCCTCAGGATCTCGTCACAGTATTTATGTGCATTAATATTGCCATCGATAAAATGCAATAGTGTTCATTGTCCGTAGCTTATGCCTGCCCATACCAAAACATTTAACATTTACATTTTAGTCATTTAGCAGACGCTCTTATCCAGAGCTTACAGTTAGTGAGTGCATACATTATTATTTTTTAGATTTTTTTATACTGGCCCCCCGTGGGAATCGAACCCACAACCCTGGCGTTGCAAACGCCATGCTCTATCAACTGAGCTACCTCCCTGCCAGCCATTCCCTCCCCTACCCTGGGCCAATTGTGCGCCACCCCATGGGTCTCCCGGTCGCGGCCGGCTACGACAGAGCCTGGATTCGAACCAGGATCTCTAGTGGCACAGCTAGCACTGCGATGCAGTGCCTTAGACCACTGCGCCACCGCCACCATGGGGTCTCTGTTCACAACGTTGACATCAGCAAACTGGTCGCCCACATGGCGCCATACACGTGGTCTGCGGTTGTGAGGCTGGTTGGATGTACTGCCAAATTCTCTAAAACAATGCTGGAGGTGACTTATGGTAGAGAAATGAACTTTGAATTATCTGGCAACAGCTCTGGTGGATATTCCTGCAGTCAGCATGCCAATTGCAAGCTCCCTCAAAACTTGAGACATCTGTGGCATTTTAGATTGGCCTTTGATTGTCCCCAACACAAGGTGCACCTGTGTAATGATCATGCTGTTTAATCAGCTAATTGATATGCCACACCTGTCAGGTGGATGGATTATCTTGGCAAAGGAGAAATGCTCACTAACAGGGACGTAAACAAATTTGTGCACAACATTTAAGAAAAATAATATTTTTGTGCATATGGCACATTTCTGGGATCTTTAATTTCAGCTCATGTTGCGTTTATATTTTTGCTCAGTGTAAATCGCAAGTCATATGGTAATTGCAATATTTGGTAAAAGATGAGGCCTCAATTTTTTGCCCATATCGTTCGTGCAGCCCTACGTGGCAGTGTAGAAATTATATCAAATTCGATCAACTTTTGGATGAAGTTTGACTGAACAGTATAAAACAATCAGAATGGAGAAAGCCCCATTGAAATCACTTAGAATGTACAGTATATATATAAAAAAAACGGAAAAATATTATGATATATTTGGGCCATATCTCCCAGCCCTAGTGTGTGTGTGTGTGCATGAGTGCATGCAGTATCAAAAGTCCCACTTCAATGTCAGGAAGACATATTCCAGAGAGGACCAACTGGCTACGATACAATAAGACAAAAAGAGAGATACACACTACTAAATAAATAGGATCCTGAATGAACCAGCCATCTATCTATCTTACCTTTCTTCCCAATGCGAATATGCTCGCTTTCAAACAAATCTGCCCGGCGATAGGAAAAAGAGGGACAACAAAAATATATCAGTTGTCAGCCTGAAGTGGATCTGTTTCCAGAACGGACTACTGTATCAGTTTGATTTACAAACATAAGGCTCTGAATACAATGATATTTAAATCCTTCTTAGACACACAGATATTGCTTGAGAGATGCCAGACGGCCGAATGTCATGAGAAATATTGACACAAACTGATAAGATATCAACTGAAATGTTCTTTGTTTATCCCGATTTATTTCTGTATTTGATAGGTAAAGATGATTTTATGTGATGATTTTGAATAATTTACTGTAGACCTAGAAGTTCGTCCAACTTGATATGGAATATGAATTACCGCTAAATGATCCATCATTCTCCATTTCAAGCTTTGTTTACAGGCCGAAAAGTATGAGTATTTTCATCAGGACACAGAACGCTAGCTCAGTGCAGGTTAGTTGAGTTTTACCTGGAGGTACGTGTGTATGGTCGTCAATACCCAGCTGCCCCGTGGTCAGGCTCAGCTCTGAATAGGCCTCTCTCTGAAGGGACAAAACATACAAATTGGAGTAAACACCATTGAGTCATCATTAAACACAAATCATCTGGGATTTACCATGAGTAGGTCTTTCAAGTGAGATACTGTAAATGATACTGCTCCATGTATTACATGCACTGTATCAATAAACACACACAGACATATAGTTCCTGTTCCCCTAAAGCATGGCAGTCAAACTCATTCCATGGAGGTCATAGTATCTGCAGGTTTTGGGGTTTTCTTTCAATTAAGACATAGACAACCAGGTGAGGGGAGTTACTTACTAATTAGTGAACTTATTTCATCAATCAAGTACAAGGGAGGAGCGAAAACCCAAAGACACTCGGCCCTCCGTGGATTGAATTTGACACGTGCCCCAAAGTATAGGATGTCTCATAGATTATACTTCTACAGATGCAGTATAAATGTATAAACACACAGATGGTTCAGCTCAAGTGTTTCTCCTACCACCTGTGGAACGACACACAGACACAGACAGACACACACGCCACAGACAAACACAGACACACACACACACACACACACTGTTTCCCCTACCATCTGAGGTATGCCTCTGTCGTGGAGGGGCACCTGGATGAGGCCCCAGTGACTCTTTGCGCTGGCCTCCTCACTGCTGTCATGGTTCGGGTTCCGCAGGCTGATCAGCACCTGGGAATCATGGGAAATGGAGTCATTTGGAGTATTAAGTCGCCAATCTGAACATATTGATTGAGATGAAGTACATTTACCTCCAGAAAGTCTTTGGGGGCATAGACAGGCCTGAAACGACTTAGATCTGTACAAAAGGCCAAAGACAAAGGAGCATTAAAGTTTTTCTTGCGAATAACAATAATATTGTAACACAAAGATGCTGGGTGGATGGTTGCATCATCAAGCTAACTTTGGTGACCACTGAATGGATAATATCCATTCAATGGTCATCAAAGTTAGCCTGATGATGCAACCATCCATAGTATGTGTTGGCAAATTAGACATTAATTTAGGTAATCTCCAATGGAGAGAAATTGTATAACGTCTTCACTGGAAAGAGAATTCCCAGCAAAGTCAGGCAGTTAGAAGTTATCATCTTCAGTCTAAGTCAAGTGCATGGTCAGTCCAGAAAGAGAGCATGTTAAGGTTGGAAGGGGAGTTCCACTCGTTATCGGAGCGAGGCGAGGCCCAGGAGTCTGGTTATCCTCTGGATTCACAAGGCCTGCTGTTTATGCCAAGGCCCGGCACACACTCGTAAATGTTATTATACCCCCTTCTCAGATAGCATTGTTAGGAGACTGTTCTGTTACACAGAGTACTGTGCACAAGCAGCGTTAACCAACGGTAATGCACCTACGCAAGAGGTATATAAGTATGCATGGCACACACACACACACACCCTTAATTACAATGGCAAGGGTTACATCCTCCTGCAATGTTAAAATAACTCTAGTTAATCCACACTTATAAACAGTGTCATCAACATGGAGTTTGTAGATAAAGACCTGGTTCGTCTGTCCCCATCTCGTTCCACTTGTTGGTCAACTCCTTCTGCTCCACAGCTGGCCTCTACAAAACAGAAAGTTAAGAATTGTCAATAAAGTAGTTTGTCAACAGACTGAAGACATTAACACTGAGATTGAAAGACCTCAAACATTTGAAATCTATACTGACACACAGGGCCCTCTGAGAACATTCTTGATGACCTCATCTTAGATTGAGTACCCTTTTACATGCTGTCATAAACCAATTTACCTTACGAGCCAAGGGTACACCCAGCTCTGTGCACATGCTGTTCAGGCTTTTGAGGATACGCTTCTCCCAGCTTGCCTGTAGGGGAAGACACACACACACAACTATATAGGTCCCCATCTTTTCTATATACTTTATATCTGGTTTTAGTCATTTAAGTTTACACTGAACGCATTGTTTCCATTCCGAAAATATATATATATATCTTTTTTACACTGTTTCGACTTAGGCTACCGGAGAAAACGCAGCCCAAGAATTTCAATGGCAGAAAAATCCCTTCTTCACCAAAACGTATCTGCTTAACTGAAACATATCTTCTATGCTAAGTCACCAGACAAATCTGAGAGATAGAACCACAAAAGAGATGTTGAAATGAGGAGTGATGGAGAAAGGAAGAGAAGGAATAGAAGGAGAGAGGGATGGAAAGCGACAGACCCACCTGGGCCTTGCGCATGTACGCCAGCGGCTCCTTGGCGTGCTCTGGGGGAGCTGCAGGGTGGCTGGGGGGCAGCTGACTAGAGAGAGAGAGAAAGAGAGAGAGAGTGAGTAAGAGAGAGATAGAGAGAAGGGGGAGGGGAGAGAGAGAGAGAGAGAGAGAGAGAGAGAGAGAGAGAGAGAGAGAGAGAGAGAGAGAGAGAGAGAGAGAGAGAGAGAGAGAGAGAGAGAGAGAGAGAGAGAATAGGCTAATTTCGTCAAATAAATGCATGACAATCAACCCGTAAAAACAGTAGGATCCTTTACTATCAGCAACATATTGAAGATTTTTTATTTATTTATGCAATCAAATGACTGGGGGAAAAAGAACATTCAACCAAGACCATCTGAAGGCTATCTCTCCAGTTGAAGGAGAAGGTCTGGGTTCCTCCACTGGACCCACCTCATGCCTCCTGTCTTTGACCACTTATCATTCAGCCTAACCAAATGACTCTGGCCGTCTGGAGGACAAAAACAGGATCGAGTCCATTGAAGACGGCCCTTGTGTTATAAAACATCATCTTTATCTAAACACGTCACCTAAACGGGGACATACACGGATGACTCATGTTCAAAAGAGGAAGGCATAATTCAACTCTTTATGTTGTAGTGAAAAACTGGCCATCCTCAAGTTCAGGCAGTTGGTTCAGGCAAGGTAGGTTTAACACTGTAAAAATGCACTTGGGAAGGATTACTCAACAGCTGAATTAGTTTGTTTTTATCTCACGACAGTAGGACACCATGGTACTCTTGAGTGACTTAAGGTGACTCGGGCTACATTTGGTCAAACTGAACAACAACTCATGATTTGATCATACAAACAGAGAAGCTGAAAAAGTGTTGTCTGTTTGAAAAATAAATGTTAGCAATGCAACGAACATGCATCTGTCTGTCCATATCTGATACAAATAGGTCTAGACAGACAGACATAACAGGAGGATAAAAGCATGAGACCTCCTGGCATTGGATGATGGTTGGAGCATTAGTGCTAGTTTTGGGATCTGGTTTGGAGTGTGGCTCTTGGCCAAGACTAAAGCGCAGAATCACTTTTACTGGAGTCTGTTTTAAACGAGCATTGGCTGAACATTTCAGGTGATTCCCTCTCATAAATGTTATATAAACAGTTAGAACCAAACTTCAGTAAGGGAACATACCATTACACCTCCCTTTCTCTCTCTGCCTGATCTCTCTCAATCTCTTACTCTCTCTCTCTGTCTATCTGTGTGCCTGTGCGCGCATGTACATGTTATACATTTTATATGCTTATACATAACAAAACATGTTTTATAGAAAAAACACTTACACGTGCAACTCTCTGTATACTGCATTCTGTAGCTTTCTCTCCCAACCTGCAACACAAAATAAAGGCATTCATTTGCAACACCTCCTGCATGATATTCAATGTATGTCCAGTCCATGACAGCTTGCTAGCTATTACCCACAAAAACATTTATTTTGCATCACGCGCTTACCTGATACTTTGAGAAAATTACGAACGTCCTCTTTTACAGATTCTAATTTTATCTCGGGTCTATGCAAACACTCCTAAATAGAATAAGAAAATAGTTTAGCAAATTCGCTACATAGCTAGATATTTTTGGCATGTCAAGCAGTTAGTTACTGGTTGTAAAATCAATATTATAGCTAGATAAGGCAAATATTTGTATAGCTTTGACAGCTGTTAAATGTCACAGCAGCAGACAGGTAGGACAACATTCGTTGTTGCACATGCCTTTCGGTAAATGCTTTCGGTTCTGCAGAGCAGCTAGCTAGCTACTCACTTTGGCCTGTCTCTCTATTTGAGAGTGTAAATGAGTTCCTTTCAGTCGCTGGACAATTTGCGCAATTGTGAGTGATAACTCCGTTCCCTCATCCATCATTTTCAATGATCGTTTTGGTTTATCTACACTACGATAAGGCAATTACATTTTCAGAATCCATTGGTTATTCGGTGATGCAGCCTCTGGCCTCTGCAGTGGTTACTTAGCAACTACGGACTATGCATGTAGAGGAAACAAAAAATACGAGAAATTAGTTCCTATCCCAGCTATCGCTCCTGAATATAAATATTATAAATGTCTACATTGTTTATTTTGTTGCTTGATAGTTATTTATTGCATTACCAGTGTGTTCATTGTGAATAGCCTGCAAGCTCTATCTCTCTTTTTTATGAAAAATCCCTGAATAAACAAAGATAAGATATTGTTTGGACTCAAATTGTCTAGATTATCTATGTCTTTGTGGTGCTGAATCCAACAACATCTGATCATCAATCGCATTACATAAAAGTCAGAAAGGTAGAGTAATTTGAGTAAGCCAGGCTTATAATAAGAATGACTTGCTATGACTCGGTCACCCACATTCAAAGGTAAGAAAACAGTTTAAAAGTTTGTTGGTGCCTATATAGGCTACCGTGGCTGAGGGTTTAGTTTGGGAGGGGCATTTTTGGAAGTTATAGGCCTATGTTTGGCTTGACAATGACAATGGAGTAGGCAAAAGCACAAACAGATCTGGGACCAGGCTAGCATCTTAGGTCTATCTATAGTCAAAGTGATACAATTACTGAGAGCAGAAGATAGGTTTTTATGCAGAACATGCATGTGGGGTTATGTCATGTTGTAATGGAGATGGATCACGATCATCAGGTGAGCCTCTGTCCGGTCCTCTCCCATAATGACAGCCTATTATCTCTCACATGTGAGCAACCAATTATGGTAGTAAATGGTCTTTGACATTGATTTTGAGGTTATCACATCTCACAGATCCTGCATAAAGTCCGTTTTTTTTTTGTTCATAACAATCTAAAACGATTCTATTTTTGGTGAAAACATTTGATGTGATATTCTTGAAATATGTCACCAAAATAGTATATTTATACAACAGACTAAAATAACATCACTGTAGGCCTAAAACAAATGTAGTGGCTGCTGTTGCACTTGCATGACCATGGGCTCGAGAGGCGGGGTCTGTTAGACCAGAGTTTCCTCTTTCCACCCATGCAGACTGTTATATTTCTCATATCCAACATTGAATTGCTGGAGCACAACAAACTGTGCATGCAGCAGACGCTTGATGTCAATATTTTTTGCTCACTGACTGATACCTGTCAATTTCGTTGAAAGCTGGATAATTATTTTTTATCAAACAGAAATGGGGTCATGCAAACTTCTGGAGAATATGAACATGACATTTGGGAAGTGTGATTTGCAGATATAATATAAAGTTTGGGATCGTAGACGAACGATGTACGGAATGGGTTCCTTTGCATAGCCTAATTTCCGTTTATGCATCAGAAAAAATTTAATAGAAAAGGTAAAATGGAGACATTTACATTGCATGATTTGCTCATAAACTCCACTAATCTTTATAAGATATTATGCGACTTTGGAATCAAGAATGTCTCAGAGTGTGATGATGAAAGCGAGACGCCGCCGGAACCGAAAGGTAACCAATCCTATTGATAATCATAATTGATCATCATAAATTGGGGGGAAATTAAATTAACAAAAAGTAAATGTCTAATTGTACATATATTTTACATCTAAATAACTTTGTTTTTAGTGGAGATATTGATGCAAAGTTTTGTAAAAGATGTAGCCCGTTCTATTTTGAAGTCATAAAACTGTTTTATTTTGAAGTCATACCACTCCCCAGCCTGTTACACAAACCTTGGGCCATTTGTTTTTGTTTGTGAAAATGCATTTAGCCTCAAATCATCCATATTTCAAAATGTTAGCAATATTTGTTTCGATTATTATGCGCAACTGCGCGTTGAGAGCGACCCTTTGGACACCCCAAGCCATGCGTTTACGCGCGGTTGAAGTAGCATGCGTTCTTTCGGCTCCTCTGCTTGGATGGAGTGAATATCATTATTTAATTGTTTACATTAATCAACACATGACTAGAACTTAGTACCAGGTCAACACGTAGTTGTCTAATAGGCTACAGTAGGTCTGAGTGTTAAAATTGACGGAAATTAGGTCTGAGTGTTACATTGACGGAAATTATATCTGAATTATCATTGAAATTAGGCGAAGCTGATAGGCTGTAATATGAATCTAATCTTTAAAATATGAAATATATAAGATACATAACATGTTGAATTTTGTGTTGCTAATTCAAGCACCACATTTGCACACACTTTTCCCCTGAGTAATGCAGCCAACCAGAACTGACTCCAACTGAATTCCAGATTAATTGCCTTTAGCCTACTAATGCTAGCCCTAAAATAACCCAAGATGAGTAATGAACCATAATTTATATTTACAGTTTTTCTCAATCGCTTAAAAGCAATTTTGTGATCTGTGTTGAAACGTAGCCAATCTAAATGTATGTATAGGCCTATACAACAGCAATGATCAAGTGCTCAAATAGCCTACATTTACATAACTTCTGATAATTTTCTTGCCTTTGTACCTGACTTGCATATCTTAGACCATCTTTTGCAAAACTTTAAATACAAATATCATCAGTGAATACAAACTCACTGTTAAGCCTGTGTTTTGTTCACAGAATATTAACACATTGTTTCCATCAGAAGAGAAATGTGTACAATTGTGTTCACTGTTTCCAGCAATCAGTAAATGCTACAGCACAACATTCTTAAATCACCCCATCAGTGTCATACCATGTACAATATACGGAAAGATCTAGGGAGTGGGGACTGTCTAATTTGTAAGTATTTTTTTCTCTCACAATATTGCAGAGATGCAAAGAATGAAGTTGGGTTACTTCTAAGTAACTTTGGGTTACTCCAAGTCATCATCTCCAACATTGTGACCTTCCATTATAGAGCTTTGCTTTAGTGTGGATTGAGGCCTATACATTCATATCAGTTGTTTTTTTCCTACGTTGTCTTCACCTTGCCTTATTTCTATTGTGTATTGTGTTTCTGTGCGCCAATGGTAAGTCAACAAAACTATGAGCAAACCAGCCTATGTATTGAATACATGGAATTGTGATTGGACCGATTAATGAATCAGGCACACAATGTGCTTATTTTTATGTCATTTTTTATCAGGAATAATATTTGATTTGATGTGTATGAAATTGTTTGGTGAAATGTGCATAAAAGGAGAGTAATTGCCCATAATTCTGCACCTTTGGATAGTTGTACTTCCAATTTTGATCATCATGATTTACTGACTGCAAAGAAAACATATTGATCTACTGGGATTTTTGAAAGATTGACTAACTTTCTGTTTTGTCTACTTGGACTCAAGAGATGATGAAGATTATGTTGATGATCACGGTGATGATGATGATAATGACAATTATAAGAACAATGATGCTGTCCATCTTTCTCTCCTCTCTATAGATTTGAACCAGACGGTCCGTATCTTCCTCTACAGCCTCATCTTCCTGGTCAGCGTGCTGGGTAACAGCCTGATCATCGCCGTGCTGGTGAGGAACCGCCACATGCGCACTGTCACCAACCTGTTCCTGCTCTCCCTGGCAGCCAGCGACCTGATGCTCTGCCTCTTCTGCATGCCCTTCACCCTCATCCCCAACCTCATGAGGGACTTTGTGTTCGGCTCGGGCATCTGCAAGGTGGCCATGTACTTCATGGGTGAGTCCAGTGGATGTACTGTACCTGGGCCTGTATTCACAAAGCATCTCCGAGGAGGAGTGCTGACCTAGGAACAGTTTAGCCTTTTAGATCATAATGATTAAGATTATATGGACAGATCCTAGAGTAGCACTCCTACTCTGAGATGCTTTGTGGATATGGGCCCAGGTCTCCATGACCATGTAATGGGTTTGTCTGTTAGGGATTTCTTTGGTATTGCAATAGGATGTGTTTACACACTCTTGTCAACTTCTGTGCTGCATAGTTAATCGTGGTCTTATCTTGTTATGGTCTACTACACTGTTGTCACTCACTTCAAGGGGTCAAGTAAGGTGAGTGAGTACAGTAGGTTCTGTCCACATAGGAAGATTCCTATGGGGGAGGGGGGGGGGGGTTGACTGCAGTGGGCTGTAGCCTAATAATGGAAAATCAACAAAGAAGCAGATCCCTGAATCCATTGAGCCAATAACACCTCCATGTTGGCTCTGACCTGGTGCCTGGTGTGAAGAGACACCAAATAAAGTCATTTCATGGCTATAGCCGTGGCTGCGTTCCCTTGTTGCCTTCCCGCCGCCCGGGCTGTAAACGTACTGGCCCTGTCTCCTGATTTAAGGAGCCATTTACTCTGAGCAGAAAGGTCCAGGCCACAAGGCAATAAGAGGAAGAAAAAGTACATGGTAGAAGAGTGATGTTTGTTTTTGACAAGTGTCTCAATAACTTTACACTCTCAGGCATAGAAAAATCAATAAATATATATAGTTGAGGATCCATTCTTTCGAGCCATTTATAGTCAAGGCTGTACTGTTGTCGTGGTTCATAACTTGTTCAAAAACATTCCATTGAACTTTTTTATGTCTGGATGTTGTATGGATATATAGGTCCCAGATACAGAATAGCCCTATGCATAGCTGTATTTTCAAGTGCTCTTGTAGTTCAAATCTTTTTCAACAATGTTTCCTGCCTGGATATTGTATGGATAAATACTAGGTATATGCATTTGTATTAGCTGGATTTATGTTTTATTATTGCCTTCGGGAACATTTTCTACCATGGTGTTTGTTAGTAGTTAGATAGTTTGCAGCCTTCCTCTGTCCTGATCTGTTTGTTCTTGGATCCGTGTGCGGTGAGATCACGGCCATGTCAGTAGAGATGAATACCTCATCTGTCACAGAGTTTAACATGAAATACACCGGTACCTCTACGGTAATGTGCATTTAATTAGAGGTGCTGTTGTTATTATTACTCTGTAAGTTTGTTAACCTCTACGGGATCGGTGTTCCGTATACAGGACAGTTGAGCTAACGTGCGCTAATGTGATTAGCATGACTGTTGTAAGTAACAGCAAACTTTCGAGGACATAGACATGTCTTATATTGGCAGAAAGCTTACATTCTTGTTAATCTAACTGCACTGTCCAATTTACAGTAGCCATTACAGTGAAAAGATACCATGCTATTGTTTGAGGAGAGTGCACAACAACAAAAAACGTATCACGGCAACTGGTTTGATACATTCACCTCTGAAGGTAGATAATATACTTAGATTCAGTAATCTTGCACTAATTTGTCATCCTAAGGGTCCCAGAGATAAAATGCATTATAGTTTTGTTTGATAAAATCCATTTTTATATTCAAATGTAGGAACTGGGTTCTACAGTTTGAACCCCTGCTGTCTCTGGCTCCACACCCACCCCGCCCGGCCATCTAGATGTGTGAAAGTTAGTGTATAAGCTAATGACATTCCTGGGAGTGTGTAAACTTACATTTTGTATTACCATATCATTTTTGTATGTTCTCTATAGTTATGTACTTGAAAATGTATCAATTGACCAATTCGGTACATTTGGGCAGATTTTTTTTTTCTTGATAAAAAATAGTCCAGTATTGCAATGCTTCACTGGATCAATCTGAAACTTTGCACACACACCGCTGCCATCTAGTGGCCAAAATCTACATTGCGGCAAAATTGCAATATTATATTGTGGCCTTTCTTTTGCATTGGAACAAAAAAAATAATAAAAAAAGTGTTTTTGTTTGTATTATCTTTTACCAGATCTAATGTGTTATATTCTCCTACATGAATTTCACATTACCACAAACTTCAAAGTGTTTCCTTTCAAATGGTATCAAGAATATGCATATCCTTGCTTCAGGACCTGAGCTACAGACAGTTAGATTTGGGTATGTCATTTTAGGCGAAAATTGAAGAAAAAAAGAATCAGATCCTTAAGAAGTTAACTTCCACTGGTTAATCCTTAAGAGTCTATGGACGAACCCGTGCGTCAATCTAGGTAACATAATGTTTTGCATGGGCTGCGACTCAATCCACCACATCCACCTATGTCGGCCCTCCGCATCTGCGTGGAAGGTGGCTGAGCTACACCGGTGTTTGTCAGACCATGAGACACCTCACGAAAACGTCTGTAGCGTCTGAACGGTTTCGCCTAAAAAACTATTATGACCACTCTATGGAAAGGGGAGACTCTCCCGAACACGATGGTGTTCTCCATTTTGCAAGTGCCATGGGACTCGTCTGAAGGTAACCCATACAAACGAATGGAAGTATGGAGGTAGTTTTGTGACAACAAAAATAAGGGGTTAAATATGTGATATATTCTAGATATAGGACAGACACTTCAAAACCTTATACCTTATGATACATTTTTTGACTGTATTTTTTTAACCATTTATGAATGTGTTATTCAATGCGTTTCTATGGGCTTTAGTAGTAAAGGCGAAATTCAATATTTTATCAAATATTTGTTTTATATATATTCTTTATACCTAAAGGGGTCCTAAAATTCTAAATCAAATTACTAAATTATCCATGGTATGATGATCTTAAAACAATTCCGTATGTTAGCCTAGTGCTCTGTCTCTACACGCTCGTAAAGTACGGAGTAACTTTCTCACTCATCATTATTCACAATTCATTCAGGATTATCTGTATCAAGGTAGCATCCACATTAATGTAGAAATGTTTAGAAGCATATTCTATTCTTATTTACAATAAAAGTTACTCCAAAATGACACGGTACATTGTCTACCATTCATTTCTATTGGGCACAAAATAATCTGAAACACAACCAAAACAAAGAGCAAATGCATCCAACAAATGTGTAGTTACAAGCTTGATGTAGTCATTGCATGCTATGAATGTGGGACCAAATATGTAACTTTTTACTACTTTAATACACATAAGTGAATTTGTCCCAATACTTTTGCTCCCCTAAAATGGGGGGACTATTACAAAAAGTGCTGTAATCTCTAAACGGTTCACCCGATATGGATGAAAATACCCTCAAATGAAAGCTGACAGTTTGCGCTTTAACCTCCATAGTCATTGTTTGATTTCAAATCCAAACGTTTGGAGTATAGAGCCAAAAGAAGAAAAAATGCTTCACTGTGCCAATAATTATGGAGGGCACTGTATATACCATGATATTTGAAGAATATAACTTATAAATTCCTCATTAGCTTAGTTCAACTGTTGGACCCCAACATAACCCAAAATATAAACGTGTTTTATTCCATTGTTTGTAAACAATGTAATTGTAAACAAATACTGTATAGCCTCAAAACATAGTTAACGTTTTTATGTTGCTATCATGGATGGTCATCCATAACTCTGTCTATAAATTTGAGAGTGGTTACATTTTTCCAGCCCTATCCCTCAGCTGTTTACCAAAACAGCGGCAGGGTGCCTGCTTTCTTATTGTTTGAACTGCAGATTGCCCCTTGAATTGTGACCTTAACCTGGTCTGGCAAGCCTCCAAATCACATTCACATTAGGCTGCATTAGGATACTACATATCTACGACACTGTTACATATTTCTATATTACTACACTGTAACATTTTACATACATATTTACTACACTGTAACATATTTAGCCGTACAAAATCACAGCATTACAACATGCTAATGTAGGCTACATTCTTGTCTGTTATCGATCTATTAATCAGAATCTATACTCACTCATGTGGTATGAAGGACCGTTATCCGTCGTCATCCCTCCAGGTATCTCGGTGAGCGTCTCTACCTTCAACCTGGTGGCCATTTCTCTGGAGCGCTACAGTGCCATCTGCAACCCCTTGACCTCCCGTACCTGGCAAACCAAGTCCCATGCCGCCAAGGTCATCTCTGCCACCTGGGTGGTGAGCTTCCTGCTCATGCTGCCCTACCCCATCTCCAGCACCCTGGTGCCCTTCACCCGGGTCAACAACAGCACGGGCAACATGTGCCGCCTGGTCTGGCCCAGTGATGTCATCCAGCAGTCCTGGTGAGAGGAGAGATACTTTAGAGATACTTTAAGGTGGGCAGACGAGTGCCATCACAAAGAGAGGTTTCAACTGTTGTATAGAATTCAATGATTTGTTTGTCTGTTAGATGATATGTACTTAGCAATGATGAGGTAGGTAATTGTTGAGCTTAGAGAGCTGTTCTCTGTAAGGTCAGATCACTTTGATACACTGAATGCACACTTACCTGCTTTTGACCAATCTGGTGACCCCATGGACCTGTTGTTCCTCCCAGGTATGTGTCCCTGCTGCTGCTCCTCTTCCTGGTCCCTGGGATCGTGATGATGACAGCCTACGGGCTCATCTCCCTTGAGCTCTACAGGGGCATTAAGTTTGAGATGACCAACAGGAAGTCCAGCAAAGGTACGTTTACCTCAACTGACCTCTTGAAAAAGTGCAGCTCTGGCCATATCATGTTATCTATGTTTTGTGGCATCCTTATTGGCAATTATTTACAATTGGCTAATCTTTGGTAAATACAATTTGTACAGGGACATTATTCATGTATATGTTTAAGATCTGTCACAGATATGATTTCCTTATCATTGGTATATTCACCTTTATCACTTGTAATTGTTATTTAGGGAAATACCATTTTCGTTCATGTTCATTTGTATTCATATCTGCTGTTATGATCCATCACAGAGAGACAGTGCAGCACGGGCAGCATCAAACCCGGCGACAACGACGGCTGCTACCTCCAGCCCACCAAGAAGAAGAAGGGTGAGCTCGCCCACCTCCAGAGCCCTCTGTCGACCCACAGTCCTAACGTGACCATCAAAATCAGAGACAGCACGGGCAGCGCTAGCGCAAAGTCCACGCTGAGCCGTGTGTGCAGCAACAGCTCCACCTCTAACCTGATGGCTAAGAAGCGTGTGATCCGCATGCTCCTGGTCATCGTCTGTCTCTTCTTCCTCTGCTGGACACCCGTGTTCGCCGTTAATGCCTGGAGGGCCTTCGACCGCCGCTCTGCCGACAAGCTCCTCTCGGGGGCGCCGATATCCTTCATCCACCTGTTGTCGTACACCTCGGCTTGTGCCAACCCAATTATATACTGCTTCATGAATAAGCGTTTCCGCCAAGGGATTCTGTCCACCTTCACATGCTGTAGCTTCCCCAAAGGTGGTGGGGTTGGGAGGGGGGCTGGGAGTAGGATGGGGACGGGGACGGGGAGAGGGGGAGGAAGAGGAGGGATGAGGAGCAGAGAGGAGAATGGGCACACGCCATTGAGTGGTAACAGCACGCGCTTCACGTACAGTAGTATCCGTGGCTCCGCTCAGGCTTAGCTTCCTTTGCCACCATCGACCAATCAGAAGTAGGTAGTGGTCATGAAGGCGGGGTGGCCTGTCCAAAGTGTGCCCCCCACCCACTGTACGTTGAGCTTTTGGTCTCTGATGAGGTCATGCCTTCTTTCCACTTCAAAGTCCCCGTGCCTGTGAGAGTGGACATGTACACTGAGTATACAAAACATTAGGAACACCTGCTCTTTCCATGACATAGACTGATCAGGTGAAAGCTATGATCCCTTATTGATGTCACCTGTTAAATCCACTTCAATCAGTGTAGATGAAGGGGAGGAGACAGGTTAAATCATAATTTTTAAGCCTTGAGACATGGATCGTGTATGTGTGCCATTCAGAGGGGGAATGGGCAAGACAAAATATTTAAGTTTCTTTGAACGGGGTATGGTAGTAGGTGCCAGGCACACCGGTTTGTGTGAAGAAATGCAACGCTGCAGGGTTTTTCATGCTGAACATTTTCCCTTGTGTATCAAGAATGGTCCACCACCCAAAGGACATCCAGCCAACTTGACACAACCATGGGAAGCATCGGCGTCAACATGGGCCAGCATCCCTGTGGAACGCTTTCGACACCTTGTAGAGTCCATGCCCCAACGAATTGAGGCTGTTCTGAGGGCAAAAGGGGGTGCAACTCAATATTAGGAAGGTTATCCTAATGTTTTGTACACTCAGTGTATGTATGGAGAGAATCCTAGTGAAAGAGTTGATGATAATATTGGCGCCATTACAAAGACAGGACAATCTAACCATAGTATGTTGACTTCATGAAACTGAGAAATCAGCCAGAGTTTTTAACAAGGAGATGATGACATGACTTTAAAGAACTAACGATAAACAAACTATAAAGACAGGAATGGTGGCACCTGATTAAAACTCTGACGTATATAGTGCATTTTGAAAGTATTCAGACCCCTTGACTTTTTCCACATTTTGTTACGTTACAGCCTTATTCTAAAATTGATTAAATTATTTTATTCCCCTCATCAATCTACAAACAATACCCCATAATGACAAAGTGAAAACAGGTTTTTAGAAATGTGGTGCATCCTGTTTTCATTGATCATCCTTGAGATGTTTCTACAACTTGATTGGAGTCCACCTGTGGTAAATTCAATTGATTGGACATGATTTGGAAAGGCACACACCTGTCTATATAAGGTCCCACAGTTGACAGTGCATGTCAGAGCAAAAGCCATGAGGTCAAAGGAATTGTCCGTAGAGCTCTGAGACAGGATGGTGTCGAGGCAGAGATCTGGGGAAGGGTACCAAAACATTTCTGCATCATTGAAAGTCCCCAAGAACACAGTGGCCTCCATCATTCTTAAATGGAAAAAGTTTGGAACCACCAAGACTCTTCCTAGAGCTGGCCGCTCAGCCAAACCGAGCAATCGGGGGAGAAGGGCCTTGGTCAGTAAGGTGACCAAGAACCCGATGGTCACTCTGACAGAGCTCCAGAGTTCCTCTGTGGAGATGGGAGAACTTTCCAGAAGGACAACCATCTCTGCAGCACTCCACTAATCAGGCCTTTATGGTAGAGTGGCCAGACGGAAGCCACTCCTCAGTAAAAGGCACGACAGCCCGCTTGGAGTTTGCCAAAAGGCACGTAAAGGACTCTCAGACGATGAGAAACAAGATTTTCTAGTCTGATGAAACCAAGATTGAACTCTTTGGCCTGAATGCCAAGCGTCACGTCTGGAGGAAACCTGGCACCATCCCTACGGTGAAGCAAGTGGTGGCAGCATCATACTGTAGGGTTGTTTTTCAGCGGTCAGGATTGAGGGTAAGATGAACGGAGAAAAATACAGAGAGATCCTTGATGAGAACCTGCTCCAGGACCTCAGACTGGGGCGAAAGTTCACCTTCCAACAGGACAATGATCCCAAGCACACAGTCAAGACAATGCAGGAGTGGCTTCGGGACAAGTCTCTGACCGTCTTTGAGAGGCCCAGCCAGAGCCCAGACTTGAACCCGATCGAATATCTCTGTAGAGACCTGAAAATAGCTGTGCAGCGACGCTCCCCATCCAACCTGACTGAGCTTGAGAGGATCAGCAGAGAAGAATGGGAGAAACTCCCCAAATACAGGTGTGCCAAGCTTGTAGCATCATACCCAAGAAGACTCGAGGCTGTAATCGCTGCCAAAGGTGCTTCAACAAAGTACTGCATAAAGGGTCTGAATACTTATGTAAATGTGATATTTCCGTTTTTTTTTTTTTATACATTTGCAAAAATGTCTAAAAACCAGTTTTTGCTTTGTCATTATGGGGTATTGTGTGTAGATTGATGAGGAATAAAAAAAAAAAATCAATTTTAGAATAAGGCTGTAACGTAACAAAATGTGGAAAAAGTAAAGGGGTCTGAATACTTTCCGAATGCACTGTACAACCCTATATGCTGCTTTTACAGGGACCGTGAGAGAACATGGCTAGTTAATCTCTACGGCAAAGAGGTTTGCATTCAGTACTGTCCCTCCACACAGACCTTCACCTTAAACCCCCAAGATGTGTACAATCGTCACAGTCATCCTTTACATAACCTCTCCATCGCCCCCATGTGCATGTGGAGTGGAATACCGCTTGGATGCACTTCATAACCTGTGTGTGTTCTGCTCCTCTCTGCATAAAATCCCTAGCCTTCTAGCATAGTGTCATGCTCTAAAACAAGTCATTAGCGTAGTCGTGTATTCTCGTTCTTGACCCAGTCAGCGTGTGTTTTCATCGTTGTACCACATGTAGTACTGTGGGTGACATGACTCGTTGCCTTATCGTGGTGTGGGACTGTGCACCTGTTTGTCCCCCTACTTCAAAGGGATGTTTCCCGGCACTACCTGTCAATCACACCACACCTGGTCTCTGTTGACTTTGGTTGTAAAATATACTGCAGCGCAAATGTAACCAATTGTTGTTTTTTCCTTGTTGTTTTCTTTTAGCATTATGTCAATTTTAATTGTTTAGTTTCATCATTGCTCTCTAAGGTAAATTGCTATCTAACTTGCATTGGAATACATAACCCGAAAAAGGAAATTGAATATTAAAAGTATATAGTGTTACTTTGTCCGAATTGATTTTTCAAAACTGTCAAGGAATGTGTACTGTATGGACGCAGCCCTCTGCTCCATTACTTGCTGGTGTCTGGTGGGGCCCTTTCAAATCCCTGAGTAAGAAGGTAGAGAAGTCTGCCGATGGATTGCACTTGCTTACACTGAAAGGGCCAGTGGTTCTCGGAGACGAAGCTCATGAGAAGCATAAACACTCACCTCTGAACTGGTTCAGAGGCACAGGTTGTACAAACAAATGTAGAGTGGTGTTACTTCACATACTGACTATTTGCTGTGCTTAAAGGGGCAATCTGCAGTTGCTACATCCATTTTCTGACATTTAAATCAATGATATAACCATTGATTCTTCAAAAATATAACTTTTAGATGCCTCATTAGCTTAGTTCAACTCCCGTACCCCATCAGAACCCAAAATATAAACTTGTTTTACTCCTTTGTTTGTAAACAATGCAACAGTTAAAAAAAGAAAACAACACTGTATGGCCGCAAAGCATGGTTCAAACTATAATTTCGATATCATGGACGGTCAGTCCTTGTATCCATCCATGAGAGTAGTTAAATTTCTCCAGCCCCATCCCTTAGATGTTTAACAAACCAGTGGCTTTGTTATTGTTCAAACTGCCCCTTTAAGTCAGCCCTTTATGAGGATATTACCATGTTTTTTTGCATACTTGAGGTCCTCCAACATAAAATACATAGTTAACGACACATTACATTTCACACATATTTCTAAGTCACTTTTTTATTTCTTGATTTCTTTATGCCAATATTGCAAGTCATTTTTTTTATTGACATATGGAATTGAGCATGAACTGGAACTGCAATATGTACAAAAAACTAAAACAAACTGTCCCCTTGTTTTCACGTTATTGCTAAAATGTTACAAACTGCACAGGTTTCTACCATCAGCAACCCTTTAAGCACTGAGTATACTACCACACTGACGGACTGACACTCTGCTTAACATTACTAGAACATTACACTGAGAGAGAGAGAGTAAGACGGAGACAGAGTGTGTGTGAAAGAACGTGTGAGGGGAAAAAGAGAACATGAAAGAAAGGAAAAAGAAAGAATGGGTAAGAAATCAGACTGCAGCAAAGCCAAGCGTACAGAGAGGGATGAGAGGGAAAGTCAAAATGTACATACACAGACAGAGGAGAGACAGAAAGAAAGAGAGAGAGAAGCGTTAGCACTCCATAGTGCAGCCAGCCAATAGTCTTGGGGAGTATGTAAGGCTGAGTGCGACAGAGAAAGGCTCCTCCAACACGCCTTTTCATTTGTTTAAAGCTGCCTCTCGCTCTGTCCTGTTTCGTTTAGCAGTGCATGAGAAATCTACGTTATAAAAAGACATTTGGCATATTAGAGGATACATACATACATACATACATTGTTCAGAGCTCATTACAACAACAAAACCAACAGCTGCTTTTGGAAGAACAAAACAAACAATATGACAGACAGAAAAATGAAAACCGGTATGTATACAGTATATCAAAAAGCCTCACGCAAGTTTGAGAGTATTTTGTATTTTGCTGGGTCAGCTTTTGTTACAATGTTACTAAAAGTTTGCTCAGATAATAAAAAGCCATGTAACAACATTCCACCCCTGTAGGGGGGAGAGCTGCCTTCCCCTTGTTGAGTGAAACCTGAGGAAGGGGAGCACTGATGCTCTTCTTGACCATATAGTTGCTCTCTGGACCTTCCTGCTCCAATCCTCCATGCCTCCACTGTTCTATAGAGTACATGTAAACAGTTCAACCAGTGTCGTGTTCATTAGGGCACACCGTAGCAAAACGTTTTGCAACGTTTTATTCAGTTTCCTGCCTACTGAACATGACCCAGCAAAGATAATCGAAGAGATATGTTTGAGAATACACACTTCCCTTCCACTGTTTAAGAGATGCATCGCAATGCCACTCCTTCCAAACTCACTCAGGCATCAGTGATAAACGGAAGGAGCAGGCAGGGTAGAGCCCAGAGAGACAACAGAACGTGTAAAAATATATATAATAACACAAGCAGAAAGACAGGCGACTGACTGGAGCATGCCTTAGGCATTAGAGAGGCGTTCCCAAACTACTTTGATATCTAAGAGCTCACCTCTACCAGCTGAAACGGGCATAATGAAAACACTGAGCAAACCTAAACATATTTGGTGACCACCTTATTGACATATCACAATAGAGTAAAGGGTTAAGAAAGGCCAGTAGCATTTCCCTTTGTTGTGTAGAAAAGTCCATATTAAGGTGATTAGTGACAAAGCTCATGTTGGTTTGATGCTACAAACTATTCAATTTAGGTTGATACACCCATGCTTTAATTAATAAAAAATGTAAAACTGTTGCTGGACCGACTTTTTGTAAATCGACTCCCAGGCCAAACTAGGCAGCAAGGGCAATAATGCACTTATTTCTTTGACATAAAATAAGACAAGGGGGGAAACTTTATACCAATAATTTAAAAATAATATCAATATTACACTGTTTACATTAACATCAATGGCAAAAGAAATCTAAATGGGAAGGGTGAAAAGCATCCCTTAAGTTTGTATTTTTTGGGGGAAATAGAGCACTTTTTTTGTTCCCTATTATTAAAGGGATATGACTGTTAAATGGGTACATGAATGACATAGGCCAGCAATACTTCTTAATTAATAAGCAGACATTCAAGTTAAAGCATCATAGTTCTTCCCGGAAGTGTATACAGTTCCACTGTAATACTATGATCAAAGTATTGCCTTTTTTATTTTTGTTCATCCACATATTATTTCCAACAACGAGAGAAATAATCACTTGTTTTATATTTGGATCAAGTCGGAAGATGGCGTGGGACCCAAACAATCTCCAAAGTCCATCTTTACAAGAGCATTGATTGTTTGGAACATGAACGGTGTACACATCCACGCAGGAGCGAGTCTCACTCACTGATCCATTGTTAGACTATACAGAGGAGCAGAACACACACACGCACACACACACACACACACACACACACACACACACACACACACACACACACACACAGAGGCTGGTGAACTAGTGGTCAGGCAGACAAACCCCAAGAGACACGACGACATGACCTGTACAATATTGCTGTACGTTTTTTTCCAAATACACATATTCAATAACATATACACACATCTAGAAGGCCTTATTACTTCTAACAGGAGACTTGATCACCATAAATACATCCGGTGAGTGGCTACTTTCAGAAAGCGAGTTTTACAATGTACATGTAATTGTTTTGTAAGGTCAAAAACAACAGGACGTTAGTTACAAGGCTTTTAGGAGGCCAAACAGAGGAGCTCACAGCACTCACAAGACAATGTATCCATTCCAAAATGGAGAAAGCAGGGCACCGTGATAATAAAGTACACATTTGATATAAGTGTTGTACTTGTACACTGAACAGAGTTAATATTATTCTTAAAAAGGCCCACAAATCCTCCAGAAGGCTGATCGTATGTATGACAATGTGGTTTTGTAGCAGTGGCACAAAGATGGCATTTTGGGTAATGTAGTCCAATGAAACAACTTCCTATAACGAGAGGTGATAAGACAGACTGTTTTTTACAACACACAGGTTCTTTCAAGTTACGTAAATGTTAGGGCAGGTCGTTGGAAGGGTAATAGTTCTCTTTGACATTTAAGTTAGCGGTAAGGCCACATAGAATTGGAAGTGTCTGTCTTTTCTGTTTTCTGAAAACAATGGACGTTTTAAATACCACAAGGACTATACACAGGAAAACACCAAGGCCTGGTAAGACAGTATACTGACTGACAGATTTCAAGACGTCCTCAGATACTTCTGTGGCGACCAATAGATCAGCATGATCTCAACATTGGATATATATGACACGATTTTTTCTGACTGTGTGCACAGTAATAATATACAGTTCTAAGGCTACCTTTTCAATTTAATGACTAGAATCATAAAATGTATGTGGAAATGACAAACTATTTTGTAACTGGTAGTGGAAGTCTAGTTTTTTACGTTTTAAATAAATGGAAGAATTCTGCAGACTTCGCCATGGCTCCATGTGTGATGTACAGACATGTACTTTCCAAAGGAAACGTAGCTAGTAGGTCACAGAGAGTATTGCAGGCAAGGCAGAGGCATTGCTTAAAGCTTTTCTTTTTAAAGACTTCATAAAAACCAATGAGAATCCAAAACTAGGCCCGCTGAGGTTACTTCCTAACACAAACCTAACCTTCGGTTAGGTACACAAAACAAAAAGAAATCCCCAGACTTCAGTAAATTTTTTAAAGAGCAAAGTATCCAAAATGTAACGTTCCGTCCAAAAGACCGGGGGGAAAAAAGCAGGCGTTTGACAGAGATAAGGAGTAAGGTTACCTATAATACACAAGCCAGGTCGGGATTTGCCCCCCCCCCCCCCCAAAAAAAAGGCCAAAGCTAGGAGGAAGAGAATAGAAACTATTTGGTAACAAAAGTGTACTATATATTTCATACAAAAAAGGTATGGAGAAAAAGTACCTTTACTAAAGCTTATACAAGATCCTTGGTCCATAAAAACTATGTTATCACCATCACGTGTCCCTCTATGCCCATTCCTCGCTCTCCCTCCAACAACGATACATCTCGCCCCCTTTACAGAAACATACACAAACTAATGCAACACATAAAAACAAAGGAGGAAAGAAATGATCAGAGGGAGAAAAAAAAGCACAAAAACTATAATTTTCTGTTAACGTTTTATACGTGGCGACTGTATCGCTGTTGTGGTATCGATTTTCTCACTGCCGTCAAAGACGCTGGTGCTCTGAGCCAATAGGAACTCCTTATTCCACAGCTCCAACACCAGAACCAGGCAGGCATGTCCCTTAAGAAACCACAAGAGTGTAGCGGCGAGGAGTTCATACAGTTTCTCTTAGTTCCGTTGGTTGACAACTTTTGACATCGTTCCTTCCATTGAATTCCTCCTCTTCCTCCCTTTTGTCTGACCAATTTTCCATTACAGCTTCTTTTTTTGTATCCAAAATCAATATGCAGCACTGTCAGAGAGTCAGTTTACTTTATAGTCTTTTTTACCAAGTGGTACGTTTTGCTCTCGAGGCATATTGTGTGTATAAGTGTGTGTGTGTGTGTGTGTGTGTGTGTGTTAGGACACCACAGTGGCGGCCGTGGAAGAGGATGTGACTCCTGCGCTGGGGCCGTAGGTGTTGTTAGCGTCGCTGTTGTTAGCGCTGTTGCTGCTAGCCGTTAGCAGGCGGTCGCTGCCCGCCCGCAGGATGGCTCCGGCGGCGTTGCAGTGTGGCCGCGGCCCGGGCTCCGGCGTGTAGGTGAAGGTGAGTGTGGTGGAGTAGATGATGCCATCGTTTCGCACCAGCGTGACGGGCACCTGCACCGGCTGCCGCACCCAGCGCCATCCCTCGCGGAAGGCCGAGATGTCGGGCACCACGCACAGCATGCTCTCCGCACACCTGCAGGTGGAGGTAGAGAGAGAAAGAGTCAGAGAGGGTTTCAGCTCTCTAGACAATTCTATTTGGGTTGACTCTCTCACTCTGTGCTGACCTCAGTGTAGACCAAAGACAAACAAAAGGTAGGTAATGCAATGATCCCATGTCAGTTGACAATTAACATGTCGGTTGAGTATTATCTTTCATGGTCCTTCGGGACGGATTTGAATGACTTAAGTATACCAATGATAACATGCATCCATCAAGCACTATGAGAGGCCCATATATTCCCTCATGCCTTACATGGTGTCTGTGCTGCGCCTCAGATCTTGTACAAAAACAGCCTTGTAAAACCTCCCATGATACACACATCTCACACAAATAGGGACCGTGGCGTTCTCAGTCTACATTAGGACCACTTACACACCATCCTGCAGCTGACAACCACCTCAACATTTCACTCACAGCTTCTCCCAGTAGCGTTTAACAACCAGGATGAATGACACACTGATAGTTATACAGGACCCCTGCTGTTTATCACAGGGTAACCATAGAGCTCTTTCACCTGTTCTAAAGACTCTACCTTCATGGGTGACAGCCATTAACACTGGGTGGCTAATTCATCTATAAAATTCTACATGAAAAGGAAAAAGTACTTTTGGGGATGTTTGGCATAGCGTGAAGGGTGTACTTTGAAACTGCCAATATCTGAGCCTAAATTAAATTCAGTTTTGTTCAGTTCGTACAGATTAGCCCAAAACATTGCTTTGACTTGGATCAAAGATAAACCAAATGTAAGATGGCATTATTATGTAAGCTGGCCAATGTAAGCTGTCCCCTGGTTTGTCGAAGTGGTAGTCTTTTAGAGCTTCTAATGACTAACGAGGTCAGACTGAATCGGGACATCCTCGTTCCTTTTTCAGAAACATATATCTCATGGATAAAGCTCATTAATCGTTAGTAGCAGTTTCAGTTGGACTTCAAGTGTTTCTGAAAATTTGGGGAAAGTTACCGGAATTTTGCAACCCTAGTATTGAGATAGCCCAGACTTGAAAGGAGCAGTGAGGTGTGTCGGTACCTGTACATGGTCTCTGCCTCGACGTCTCCGAACCAGACCCTCAGGTTTGGAGTGAAGTTCTGTCCGGTCAATTCCAGCATGGCCACATCCCCTCCACCGTTTAGCTACACAAACACACAAATACAACAAGTCTAAATGTTTATGTCTTCTTGGCGGAGAAAGAGATGGAGATGGAATGGCGTGAAGGGTCTAAATGACGAATGTGTGTACAAATATTTTTGGAGCACTGCGAGAGGAACAAATAGTTGTTTATGATAGGAATGGAGTGTGTGTGTGTGTGTGTGCATCCGTGTGTGTGTGTGTGTGTGTGTGTCCATCCGTCCATATGTGTGTGTGTGTGCGTGCATGTCCCTTTCTAACCTGTAAACTCTCGACCACAGGCACGGGGGTGACAGGCGAGTGGACGGGGCCCATGCCCTCGTAGAAGGTGTACTCAGCCTTGTCCGTGCTGATGATTGTCCAGGACGCTCCGTCGTTGATCATCTCTTTGTTTGGTTCCTTTGGGCATGGAGTGGCCTGGGGGAGGCAGACACACACACACACACGTTAAAGGGAGCCAGTAGCGCTTGATCGTCAGATGCAGATATAGATAAATGAATATAGATGTGTTTGTTATGACCGAAGATGTATCCTGGTTTAGTTGTTGTTTCTATGACGATCTCTGATGTAGAGTTGGATTGAGAGATAACACCTAAGCGAGGGACCTACTACGGGTCACCTTAACGTTATATTAACTCAGTTAGAGGATAAGGATCCCTCTAATCTGTAATCTCCCTGAGATGGAATCATAAAGCAATAATAATCTCTTAGCAAAACAAAGGCTGTGACCTATTTGAGCAAAGGGGACCAGCACAGAGCACCGACAAGCTTTGTCCGCCTTTTTCAGTTGGGATCTGATCAACAATGTTCAATTTGAAGATTGCAAATCAGGCATTATTGTAGGAATTAACTAATGGTCACCATCCAGGTAGACTTTTCCTAAAAGGTCATTCTGATTGGTAACTGCAAGTATGGGGTCAATGTGAAAATGATGGCGGATGGTAGTGTCTAGTTTGAGTAGAATGTTGCGACTAAATTGAATTGGAAGTTGTATTGGGAGGTAGTCTCACTCACTTGAAACTGGATAATCCTCTCTTGGGAAAGGCACAGGTACATGCGCTCTGTGTCTTTCAGGTAGAAGGCACACTTGTGGAGCTGGGAGACGGGGTCGTCTGCATCCAGCAGGGCCGTCTGCTTGTCCACTTTACGGATGATCTGAGCCACACAGAGAGGATGGTGTTTAGTTGTCGGAGCAGCAGTGTACAAATCACATCAAGACATCAACTGGCAACTTTCATCAATGTGAGTGTGTGTCAGTAATAACGACAGAAAGAGACAGTTTGACATGCATAAAAACAAAATATATACAATAAAATTAAAATTAAAAAAGAGTTCTGTGAGAAGAATTGAAAGAGGTGAGGGGTGAGAAACCAAAGGAAAGGAGAAAGAAGTGGTGGGTAGTACCAGTCGTGGCAGGGCCATCCCGGTGACAGAGCAGACCAGTTTGACCGTCTGTCCATAGTGGATGTAGCCGTCTCTCACAGTGAACTCCTCTCCTTCGGACTCCTCGTCATCCACTGGGAAACACAACACATGAGATACGGTCACACAACATTCAATTCAGGCTACAGTAAATGTATGTCTGGTCAGTGTGTGTGTGTGTGTGTGTGTATAGGATTAATTAAGAATTGAGTGTGTGTGAGAAACGTGAGTATACAAGAGGTGTGTGTGTTTGTGTGTGTGCACTTGTACAGTGGGGAAAAAAAGTATTTAGTCAGCCACCAATTGTGCAAGTTCTCCCACTTAAAAAGATGAGAGAGGGCTGTAATTTTCATCATAGGTACACGTCAACTATGACAGACAAATTGAGGGAAAAAAATCCAGAAAATCACATTGTAGGATTTTTTATGAATTTATTTGCAAATTATGGTGGAAAATAAGTATTTGGTCACCTACAAACAAGCAAGATTTCTGGCTCTCACAGACCTGTAACTTCTTTAAGAGGCTCCTCTGTCCTCCACTCGTTACCTGTATTAATGGCACCTGTTTGAACTTGTTATCAGTATAAAAGACACCTGTCCACAACCTCAAACAGTCACACTCCAAACTCCACTATGGCCAAGACCAAAGAGCTGTCAAAGGACACCAGAAACAAAATTGTAGACCTGCAGCAGGCTGGGAAGACTGAATCTGCAATAGGTAAGCAGTTTGGTTTGAAGAAATCAACTGTGGGAGCAATTTTTAGGAAATGGAAGACATTCAAGACCACTGATAATCTCCCTCGATCTGGGGCTCCACGCAAGATCTCACCCCGTGGGGTCAAAATGATCACAAGAACGGTGAGCAAAAATCCCAGAACCACACAGGGGGACCTAGTGAATGACCTGCAGAGAGCTGGGACCAAAGTAACAAAGCCTACCATCAGTAACACACTACGCCGCCAGGGACTCAAATCCTGCAGTGCCAGACGTGTCCCCCTGCTTAAGCCAGTACATGTCCAGGCCCGTCTGAAGTTTGCTAGAGTGCATTTGGATGATCCAGAAGAGGATTGGGAGAATGTCATATGGTCAGATGAAACCAAAATATAACTTTTTGGTAAAAACTCAACTCGTCGTGTTTGAAGGACAAAGAATGCTGAGTTGCATCCAAAGAACACATTTACATTACATTTACATTTACGTCATTTAGCAGACGCTCTTATCCAGAGCGACTTACAAATAGACCATACCTACTGTGAAGCATGGGGGTGGAAACATCATGCTTTGGGACTGTTTTTCTGCAAAGGGACCAGGACGACTGATCCGTGTAAAGGAAAGAATGAATGGGGCCATGTATCGTGAGATTTTGAGTGAAAACCTCCTTCCATCAGCAAGGGCATTGAAGATGAAACGTGGCTGGGTCTTTCAGCATGACAATGATCCCAAACACACCGCCCGGGCAACGAAGGAGTGGCTTCGTAAGAAGCATTTCAAGGTCCTGGAGTGGCCTAGCCAGTCTCCAGATCTCAACCCCATAGAAAATCTTTGGAGGGAGTTGAAAGTCCGTGTTGCCCAGCGACAGCCCCAAAACATCACTGCTCTAGAGGAGATCTGCATGGAGGAATGGGCCAAAATACCAGCAACAGTGTGTGAAAACCTTGTGAAGACTTACAGAAAACGTTTGACCTGTGTCATTGCCAACAAAGGGTATATAACAAAGTATTGAGAAACTTTTGTTATTGACCAACTACTTATTTTCCACCATAATTTGCAAATAAATTCATTAAAAATCCTACAATGTGATTTTCTGGATTTTATTTTCTAATTTTGTCTGTCATAGTTGACGTGTACCTATGAAGAAAATTACAGGCCTCTCTCATCTTTTTAAGTGGGAGAACATGCACAATTGGTGGCTGACTAAATACTTTTTTTCCCCACTGTATGCGTGTCTTTGTATACATGTACGAGTGTGTGTTTGTGCGCGTGCTTGCGTGTGTGTATGAGACTCACACAGGTGGATGTAGAAGGCACCCCATTGCTGGGAGCTGGCATGAAAGTTGCCCCCCTCCACGTGTAGGTAGCGCGTGCTGACCGTCTGGGACCGCAACCGGTTGAACAGGGCCACCTTGGTCCCCGATGCAATACACACTGCAGTAGGAGAGACACACAGAGAGAGAGATAAAGAGACCACACTAAAACGTAACAACCCCAGAACATGTCCCCATCACCACAAGATGAAATTACTGGGTGATAAGAGGGTAGAAAACAGCCACAAAACAAACACTACAGGTATTTGGCAATATTGAACATTGGGTCATTTTCATGCCTCAGTTGTCATCTGTTTTTTTTGTTGCTGTAGCACCCTCTAGTGACGAGACTGGGAAACAGAGAAACTTGGTTGAAGAGCAATAATGGCATTGTGAAGGGTAGAGATCAGCATTGTTTAGAATACTTCAAAAGATGCCTCCGTCCTTCCTCCCTTCCTTGATGTACAACGATAGGATAGGTGAAATTAAGGCTTCCAATATACATCTTTCACTAACCGAGTCATGTTAGATCAATGTTTACCTGAAGGAGGGGAGGATGCCAGGGCCTTATGAGTGGTATTGACATGTAGACTGTGTTTGTATAGCATACCTGCGTATTTGATTTATTTGTTATTTAAATACTTAGTATGAGTATTTTCAAATAATGTTTCCCGAATTATATTTGAAAGTATTTTCTAATAGTTTCCTATAAATAGCCGGTGTAGTATCGAGTCAATGTTGCTAATTATGCTGTAACAAAGGAGTCCGCTTATACTGAGCTTTGATCCTAAGTTTTATTCATATCACAAGATTTCAGCATAAGTTTACAGATGTCTAGAGCATCCGGAGAGCAGTGTTTTCCAAATTACAATGTCTGCTCTAATGTTCTTTGTTCAAACCCAGTACTTATAATATTCTCCAAAATATGGGTGGCTCCCTCTAATGTCCAATCCCCTGTCTACAACACACACTCCCTGTCTTCTATGGGGCGTCACGCTAAAACGGCTCCCTCTGAAACTAAATAAACATCCTCTCAGGTTCCACTTGAAAACATTAGCAAAGTCATAATCTTAATACACTACACCGGCTATTTAAAACTACACTGAACAAAAATATAAACGCAACATGTAAAGTGTTGGTCCCATGTTTCATGAGCTGGAAAAAAAATTTCCCCAGAAATTTCTCATATGCATAAAAAGCTGATTTCTCTCAGATTTTGTGCACAAATTTGTTTACGTCCCTGTTAGTGAGCATTTCTCCTTTGCCAATATAACCCATCCACCTGACAGGTGTGGCATATCAATTAGCTGATTAAACAGCATGATCATTACACAGGTGCACCTTGTGCTGGGACACATTAAAATGTGCAGTTTTGTCACACAACACAATGCCACAGATGTCTCAAGTTTTGAGGGAGCATGCAATTGGCAAGCTGACTGCTGAAATGTCCACCAGAGCTGTTGCCAGAAAATGTCATATTCATTTCTCTACCATAAGCTGTCTCCAACGTCATTTTAGAGAATTTGGCAGTACGTCCAACTGGCCTCACAACCACAGACCATGTGTAACCACGCCAGCCCAGGACCTCCACATCCGGCTTCTTCACCTGTGGGATCGTCTGGGGGGGGGTCTGTAATAAAGCCCTTTTGTGGGGAAAATATCATTCTGATTGGCTGGGCCTGCCTCGCCAGTGGGTGGGCCTGGCTGCTAAGTGGGTGGGCCTATGCCCTCCCAGGCCCAACCATTGCTGCACCCCTGCCCAGTCATTTTAAATCCATAGATTAGGGCCTAACACATTTATTTCAGTTGACTGATTTCCTTATATGAACTGTAAGTCAGTAAAATCTTTGAAATGGTTGTGTTTATATTTTTGTTCAGTATATTTTCAAATACTTATTTCTAAATGCACTATTTCAAATTCCAAACAGACCTGGGTTCAAATGCATGGGAGTACTTCAATATTTGTACTTGAAAATACACTTGTCTGTGTATTTGATTACGTTCAAATAAATGGCAAAAGTGTATTTCCAAATACATTCCAATATTCAACTACATGTGTTTCCAAAGAAATGTCTTTGAAAATACTTGAAATACCCTAAATAGTATTTGAACACAGATCTGGTGTGTAGAGTGTAGTGTGTGTGTGCGTCCGCCTGTGTGTTGTGTGTGACTCACGATCTGCGTTCTTCAGTGACTGCTTCTTTTTGGAGGGCTTGGAGATGACTTTGATTCTCTTGCTGAGGAAGACGCCGATGTCTGTGCTGTTGCCGTAAAACATCTTAACGGACAGCATGAAGTGCTTTCTCTTGTCGGAGTCTGATATGTACAAGGTTTTGGCTGTGCAATAGTTCTGAGGGGGAGGGATCGAGAGGAGGGAGAAAGATGGGCTCATTTAGGAATGGCAGGTACCAGTTAGTCATTGCTTTGGTGTGCGAGTGTGTGTGTGTGAGAGGGTTATTGAGCAATGGTTGTCAGATAGTGTGAGTCACTGTTTTGAGCATGTGTATACGAGTACTGTTTTGAGCATGTGTATACGAGTACTGTTTTGAGCATGTGTATACGAGTGTGCGTGTGTGACAGAGTTATTATTTCTTATTATTATTAAATAATTATAGACAGAAGGTGAGAAACAGAAAGAGTAGGAGTGTAGTGTGTGTGTGGTGTGTGAGCGTGTTTGAATAAGAGAGAGAGAGAGAGAGAGAGAGAGAGAGAGAGAGAGAGAGAGAGAGAGAGAGAGAGAGAGAGAGAGAGAGAGAGAGAGAGAGGAGATAGAGGGGGGGAGGGGGGTAAAAGTGAAGGAAAGAAGTGTGTGTGTACCCTACCTTTCCCTCTAGGTTGAGTTGCTGCATCTCCTGGTCAGAGTTTCCTATCCCTATGAAGGCACAGGGCTGAGACTCCTGCTCCGAGCAGCCGTCTCTCTCCATTTGGTCCTTCTTTTTCTTCCAGCCAGAGCCCATCAGGTACACACACGGGGGAGGACAGAAGAACCTGCACACACACACACAATGACATCAGTATAATTTAACTACACACCACTGCCCAGGCATCACATACAAACACCAAATTATTACTATGATGACTTTACGCAAACATATCAGACACACACAGGATAGAACAGCCTAGAAACTACGCAGTCAGTCAATACATGTTTCATACTGCATGTTTCACTTTCTGCCACTCGATGGCAGTGTGGTATCAAAATACAGTAGCAGTCATTGCATTGGGAATGAAGTTTCAGCCAGGGTGTCAGTGGATTTGTTTGACTGACCGACAACTTGGCAAAACATCTACTTAAATCCTGTAAAACTTTGTTTGATTTAAAGGGGGGCTGTAATCTAGTTAAATAAAAAATGTTTTTTTAATAATCTGACAAGAATTTGCATTTTAGCCAGTACCAGCCTATCATCAAGGCAGGTCAGGGAAAAATTGAGATGCCAAAAACAACACTTTTACTAGTTTGCTAAAATATAATAAATTCACCCATTTTTGAAAGAAATTCCCCACACTTAGTTTAGATGACTTCAACTAAACCAAAGTGCTTTATTTGTGGGAGCTTATGGGGAAAAGAGGAAAGTCGGTCAAGCTATGTTGCTCTCGATATGACTATGTCAAATGAGACTGTCTGTCTAGTCTGATGAGGAAGTGAGTGACACATAACACAAGTTTGTGTGAGAGTGATGTCTACTTTCACCTCCTACAATAGAGAAGAGATAAAGAGAGGGAGCTTTCTGAGGAAAACCCCTGTGCATGCAAATACACACACACACATGCAACTCATTCATGCTCAGAGCTCCTTTGTGTATCAACACACACAGACTGTAAACACACACATGCAGCTATGCCATGTATTGGACATTGGGTAGGTCCACAACGCTCTTCCTTATACAGAGGGGACACACACACAGCGAGCTGACCCAAACACATGCCGGTCTGTTTAGAATCAAACCCTAACTCACAAGTGTGTGTGTGTGACTATATGATTGTGTAACAGTGATTATTCATGCACCACTAGCATGCACTTCTCATGTTGGAAGTTGGACCTGTTCCAGTGAGTGAACCATAGGGACTAAACACAGACTAAACAGATGAATTACAGTACAGTTACACTCCAATAGTTAGTGAATAAGTGGTAGATGAGGGGAATGGGGCCTGTATAAATGTTCTGTTTATTTGGCTTTGTGACTGATTATGAAAACTGGAATGACTGGAGGTCTGATGTATCCCAGGGTGCATTGCTACAACGGGTCAGACCCCAAAATGGGCCTCCCTCACATCTTGACCCCGGGGCCCCAGTCAGTGTAACTTTAACCAGAGGGGACAGCGGAGAGTGGAGGAATTCATCTATTTAACACACACACACTCACACACACCTGCTCCTCCTCTCTCATGCTCCAAACCTCGGAGGTGTCACACTGTTGGCTGAGAGCTCCTGATTTACTAAGAGATAGTCCTGGTGTAATGGCAGCCAGGGCTCAAACCCTTTCAGTCTGTCTAACTCCCTACATCTGGTTGATTTACTTCACCTAGGATGACCATATTCACAAGTACAGCTGAATTACTCCCTACACACACTCTATACTAACCATTCTAACCCAACCTACAACGACTAGGAAACATCTTACCCACTTCTCACAATTCATTACCCCCTTTAACCCTACGTCTGGGGGGCATGAATGTACCTTTCCTGCCTAACCCTACCATCCCCTGCCATCTACATTTTAACCTCCTATGGCCTACTCCCCTACTCCCCTACACCCTTAACCCCTGTCTCTCTATGGCCTTCACCTGAATGTGCCCTGCAGAGAACTTAACTGCTCATTTCCCCGTCTGACCCACGGTGGGATATTGAAAGCCGGAGGGGCCAAAACACCTACGTCACACACAGACACACTGGAATGTGGCTTAGCTTTTTTCTCTACTGCTTTTTAGTCCATACTAATTACCCATGACTTAAATTGAAACCGGGAAGTCTTCAACATGCCTTTCTTGGTATGGACTGTGTGAGGTATGTGGGAAATAGGGATAGTATGGAAAGTGGTGTGAAGGCTAAGTGGTGGTGGGTTACCTTTTTTCGTTGCCATAAGATTTCTGTGCAACTTTTGCGTGCAGGATCAGGACAGTTTGGTCTCCTCGCTCCTTCAGATAATTCCGCATCGCTTCTCTGAAGAGAGGGGAGGAGAGAGAAAGAGAGGGATGGAAAGAAGGAGAGAAGAGAGAGAAGAGAGTTATGTTATTCATCCATTTATATAAAAGGTTATAGTGACAGAAGCGACAAAGACGAAATAGATCAGACCAAAAAACTGGAACGTATGAAAACTTGGGGTCACTAAAACTAACATCTGAAACATAGAGAGGCAGGAACATGAGATGAGGAAGAAAAGCATGCAAGTTCCAGTTTGATTAGCCAATTCTCTGGTGTGCTGAAGGATGTGTTGCTTACACACACACACACAAACCGCACAGAGACACACACACACACACACACACACAGTTTGGGCGAAAAACTATGTTCTCTCCAGCTGGGCTGAGTTCGGGGGGGGGGGGGGCACAGAGGGACAGTGCTTAATGAGGGGGAAGGAGGAGAGAGAGAGGAAAGAATGAGAGAGGAGAGGGAAAAAGACAAAACACCAAAGCCCTGAGCTCACCACTAAAGAATCCACATCTCGTGTCAAAATGTTGCAAGGTCCGTGCTCCAATTACTTTTGTCAACTAAGCAAAAACATTCTCATGCCGGCCCCCCACACACAAAAAATAACAAGTTCAATATTTTTGGAATGTTAAGTCCTTACGTTAACCCCGCAATCGCAATAATCCACCCCCTGTGTGTGAAAGCTTGCTCAACATAGTGACAACATTTTGTGACAGAGTGTGGGGTGTGTACCAGCTGAGAAGCACACAGCTAAACAACGGCCCATTTGCACAGATGTCAGTGACACCTGACATGCCCGGGTGCTCCATGGGCCCATGGACACAGAGAGGGAGACACACACACCCTTCTTCAGTCTGCTCCACTCGGTCACGCAAAAGCCTGCCACACGCATGGGGTTGGACAGGCCTTCACGTTTACATTTTGGACATTTAGAAGACACTCTTATCCAGAGCGACTTACAGTTAGTCCATTCATCTTAAGATAGCTAGGTGGGACAACCACATATCACAGTAAGTCCATTTTCCTCCAATAAAGAAGCTATCAGCAAAGTCAGAGCTAGTAAGTGGGGAAGAAAGTCAATTGCGAGTGTTAAATTGCCCTGCCCCTTAATCCTGGTCGACAATCATCTGCAAGTTATGAGCAGTCAGCAGTTCACACACCAAGTAGGCTACTGGGAAAACAGGCAGTACTTAAAAGTAGATGGCCCTAGCTAGCAAAAAGACAGTACTAGACAACAACAGATGAAGACAATAATTATACTTATCACTCCTGGAGATATCAGGAGTCCTCTAGCTACAGAATGAAACCTATGTTATGGAAAGCAAAGGGCCCCATTCAGACACGAGAGAGGGAGGGAGGGATGGAGAGAGAGGGATGGAGGGAGGGAAGGAGAGAGAGGGATGGAGGGAGGGAAGGAGAGAGAGGGATGGAGGGAGGGAAGGAGAGAGAGGGATGGAGGGAGGGAGTGGAACCACCGGTTACTGCACTTCACTAACCCGTAGTGGAAAGGGCAAGGCCAGAGAGAGAGGGATGGAAAGAAGAGAGAGAAGAGAGGGAAAGAGGTTCAGAGAGAGAACATAGTCCAAACCAAAGCCAAGTCTAAATCCAGCAGCATTTGATTCTAATTATTTTCCTTTCTTTTAATGAGTTCAAAATGGATACTACTCTGCGGTGCCTATAATCATCTGATGCTATGGTGATCCCCTTCACTGATATTTCTAGACTGGGCATTGGGCGTGCCCTCACACACATTTCCTGACCCCTGGCCCACCCCGGAGCCCACAGCCCTGACTGATTACAGAGGAGCACGCTCGCTCAGCACAGCTCATGATGATGTCATGCTTACAGTAGGGATGTAACGATTCACCGATATGCATCGGTCCCTGTTTAAAATCGATTAAATTATTAAGAAATCACCGGTTCACTAAAATGTTTTGCACATATTACCTTCTTTTTACCTTCCGAAAAGACTTCGCCTTTTGTGACAACTGATGCGTCCTCTCCTTCAGTGTCAAACTAAGCTTGTAACTGTGTTGACAGTCATTGACCAACATTTTTGCATGCCGAACAACCCAGGCAATATCAGTAGACTAGTCAAATAGTGCACTGTGCACTACTTCACACACTGACCAACGAGATGTAGGCCGTGTCACCTTTAGCATTAAAATGTTTGCAAAATGGCTTGCCAATATTAGATTTTATTAGTTGAGTGAAAATCAGTGTAATTTGCTAGGTTATTGTTATCCAATGCGCTGTTGAAAATGATGTTTTACTGGAATAAAGTAGCCTAAGCAACTGCCTGAGACACGACTCATCTGGCTGTACCTACCTGCTGATCGGGGCTTAAGCAACATTCGATTTTATTTGGATTATTCCGGTTCACAATCAGCAATAGTTTTGGTAGGTTTCCTTTAAACAATTAGTGTATATGGTCATTTTTAGATATACAGGGTAAAGTTGATAATTTCATAAGGAGGACAACAATCACTTTTTCTACCCACACTGCACTTCGAAGCAGAGGAAAATAAAACTTCCAAACGGTCTAAACCATTTGATTTTGAGATGGGGGATGAAATCCAAGGTTGTGCTATATATTCACTGGCTATGTCATAGCAATTTTTTAAAGGTAAATATTGATACATTACTAGCTCAAACACATTGACTCTGCTAAAATTACAAATGAATTAGTGGGTCGAATCAAAAGTGGGGGAGACAAAAAGCAAAACCTTGCCCCTCTTATCTGATAGTGGTGTGGTATATGCCAGTTTCCCTTATGGCTCAGCTCAGATGCCTACATATACCACCCACCCACCCATGTCAGCTCAGACAGATCCAGCTCAGAGAGGACCAGCTCATGAGCATATTTGAATGTAGAGGTCAGTTTGGCGCTTCCAGTTTGGATATGTGGAGGGTAGGCTGGATACTGTCTGAGCTGACTTGTATGTAGGGAATGGATCTGTGCCTAAGCGACAAATTCTAGAAGAATAGAGGTATACCGGTATGAAGACCTGAGCGGCCATATCGGTGAAGCCAGTTTGTTGTTGGTTTTTCTCCTTGGTCAGATGTGTTTGTACCTAGTACCTTGATTTGCCAGGGCAGGAGGAAATGAAAGTTCCAGATTTCACCTTAAAGATTTGAGTTTTGAGGAAGTGGTGTGGGTAAAATGAGACTTTTAAGGAAGTGTGTGGGTCATGGAGTATGTTTTTGCCACCTCACCATATGGCTGCTGCCCTGTGGAACCCATGTGACCCCGGGAGAGAGAGAGAGGAGAGATGAGAGGGAGAGAGAGAGAGAGAGAGAGAGAGAGAGAGAGAGAGAGAGAGAGAGAGAAGAAAAAGGGAAATATAGAGAGATTGCTGCAGCATGTATGCTGACAGAAAACCACTAACACATCCCTGCATCCAAACTAGAAAAGTGCCTGTTTTTTAACACACACACACACACACACACACACACACACACACACACACACACACACTGGTTGAAAGTTAAAGCAGGAAAAAGCGCTGGGTTATTCCAAAAACAGATCTTCACAGAGAAGTCTCTTTGCTTGGGAGTAGCATTGGTCAAAAACCAATGAACTGTTTGAATGCATTTCAATCCTGGTTACAAATGGCTGGTCCTATAGATAGAAATCTGTCCCATGTTTAAAAATGTTCTCGGTTCAGAAGTGGTCCAAGTTCGCAGTAGCAGTCCTGGTTAAGGAGTGATGGTTGAGATGTGGTTGCCGTCGTAGAGCGTTCAGTACCCTCTGTCTGTGTGGTAGGCCGCGAGGGGAGCACCATTCATCTCTCACACCCATGGAGGGGGCCAGACGGCACAGGGCCAAGTTCACCCAGCGTTCACACACAATGTTTACCCTCACACACACACACACACACTTTCAGTATACCTCCCTGCTCCCCTGTGTTGGAGAACTGTTGAGTACTTAACCTATTAATTAATTGTCTGTGTGGGCCATTTTTCCTGAGAAGAGCAGCTAACAGTTTTAAGGAGAAATGAGAGTGGCCCGAATACAGAGTCGCCACATTGGCCAGGGTACAGCTCTCACTCAACTTCCTATACAAACACGCACAAGGTCACACACACAAACAAGAGGAAGAACGAGAGGGGTGTTGGGACTACATGGCCTGAGTCATCTGATTTGAGAGAGGAAGTGACAGATATGTGCTTTTCATCACCACGCGACAAGAGACAACCAGGACACGGAACACAACAACACGCAAACAAAAAGAGACACGCAATGAGACGCGAGGCATGCAACCACACTAGATAGCACGTCAAAACGAGAACTGAATAGGAGAATACTGGACAGCAAAACACGCAATGTAAACAAGGCGTGATGTTTAAACAATCCAACAGTCACAGACTCATCAAGCAAAAGTGAGGAGCTATATGACAGGAAAAGCAACAAGCAATAAGGATATTACTTTTTGTACCACTGATGGAGAGAGAGAGAGAGAGAGAGAGAGAGAGAGAGAGAGAGAGAGAGAGAGAGAGAGAGAGAGAGAGAGAGAGAGAGAGAGAGAGAGAGAGAGAGACAGAGAAAGAGCTATACAGATAAGACAAAGGGCAAAGTGGGGGTCAGTAATGGTGTTTGTGTGTGTATGTGTTAGGTTAAGCCGGGCTACAGCTGCAGCAGGGCAAAGCAGAGCAGACAGGCATCTGTCCAGTACATCTGTCACAGCCTCTCGCTACAGAGTAAAGTGGACTCACCCAGACCCCCTGTGGACCTGCAGCTAGGGGAGGGAGAGGGGCATGCTTGCACACACACACACAAACTTACACACACACACCAGGACACAGAGACTCAAAAACACACACACACAGCTCAATTTAGAGTAATAGACCCCCATTAGTGCGCACCCCTTTGGATCACAAAGGGTACATTACACACGTCTTCAACCCAGGAACTTGGGTTAAATTAAAACATCAACAGTCACTCACTTCAGTCTGCATATCCTCTCCTATTGATTTTAAGACACTATGGGCTGAGAATAGGCTGTCAGAGAAACTACATTTTCCCCCCCATGTGAACTTAATTTGTGATGATGTCAGGCACATTCGAGTCAATTACAATCACGACAATAAACTAATGTTTCGAATCCCCGAGCAGGCTAGGTGAAAAATCTGTCGATGTGCCCTTGATCAAGGCACTTAACCCTAATTGCTCCTGGATAAGAGCGTCTGCTAATAAATGTAATAAATGATCTCTACATTCACATAGCCTATAGCCTACTTGTAAGTCTAACATGGATTCATATCATACAGCTTATTTTCCAGCTTTTGATTTTCAGAATGAGCCTAACTGTCTAAGACATTTCCCCCGAAACATAAGAGAACGGGTCTCTTCTCCAAAGCAACTAAACCAGGCAGCTTTTCCAGCTGTGTACTGTCTGGTATTTTCCAGCTGAACAGTTGGACAGCCTGGCTGACAGTGGGGCCCTAAAGGACCCAAAACATAGCTGTCCTTCGCAGCTCCTGGAGGACCCGGGCTTTTAGCTGCCCCCGTCACTGCCAAACTAAAATCAACGGGGCCACACTCTGGGGTAACCGCAACACAGCCACAGCCACATACACTTTTCAGATACACGCACACATTTGTAGACACAGATACAAGCTCTGAAATAACCACAGTGTCTTTCTGCATGTTCCCGATCGTCGGTAACGAGTGTTTCGTGCATGTCATTTTTATCTGTGCACTCATAAGGCCTGGACAAATGGAGAGGCCAATGAAATCCGGGGGACTGGCAGCACATGAATGGAGAGGGCAAGAGATGAAAAAGGTAGAGGCTAGGGCCCTCTCCAATACGACGCTTGTGTGTTCCAGTGAATGCGCGACCCCTCATTTTCCCCTTGGAGCGGCACGCGTACACACACACACACACACACACACACACACACACACACAGAGAGAGAGAGAGAGAGAAAAACACCCACGTGCTCTTCAGGGAGCTCCGAAGGCTCAGCAATAGACAGTCAGGATTGAGAAGGCGCACACATAACCCCCCCCCCCCCCCACACACACACACCCCTCCCTAAAGCCACGGGCTGGAGAGGGCGGTCATGGTCAGACAATCCTCCACTCTCTCTGCAGGCTGGCTGACCAACAGACCAAAAGGACCATTGGACTAAAGCCCTGCTGTGACCGCAGAATCCAGGCCTCAACCCTTTATTTTATTTTCATACACACTAACTAGCCTAAGACCGCTACAGATGTCCAAGAGAGGGATGGAAAACAGCTCACTTTAACAACATCCCATCCCTAATCATAACCATGCATGACAAGCCCTGTTGAACTGTGAGCAGTCTATGCAGTCAATAAAACAAGCACACTGAAAATGTGTCTGATATCTTCTTTTAACCATTCAATCTTCGATTTCATTCAAGACTTGTTACTTTTATCTCAGTGAAGAAATGATAGCTTAGATGGTTCTCATTACTATTATGATAGTTAGCATTATAGGGCAATTCCACAGTAACGGAATTACGCTGAGACCCCAACAAATACCATTCTTTTTTCAAAGTTCAACAAATCATACAACTCTTTGCAAAAGGACTGCTTTGAACAATTTACACAGAACATTTCACAAAAACACATTTACTGGAAGAACTGTGAAGATGGAAAGTTTTGGTAACAGAATTACGGTAAAATCTTTTTTTTTTATGCGACCACGTTTTCCAAAACCTTTGGGTGTCAAGTGGGGTGTCAGCTATGACACACCTTGAGTTTGAAAAAATCTATTTTGGTTATTGTATTGACCTACAGTAAGTGAAGTGGATTTACACACGGTAACAGAATTATGGTAACAGAATTACATCATGGGTACTTGATATGTACTACACAGAAATGCATAATTATAGATATGAAATCCAATACAACACATTACTGAGTACCACTCTCCATATTTTTAAGCATAGTGGTGGCTGCATCATGTTATGGGTATGCTTGTAATCGTTAAGACTGGGGTGTTCTTCAGGATAATAAAAAAATAACCGAATGGAGCTAAGCACAGGCAAAACAATCCTGGTTCAGTCTGCTTCCCACCAGACACTGGGACATGAATTCACCTTTCAGCAGGACAATAACCTAAAACACAAGGCAAAATATAGACTGGAGTTGCTTAACAAGAAGACAGTGAATGTTCCTGAGTGGCCGAGTTACAATTTTGACTTAAATCTACGGCAAGATCTGAAAATGATTGTCTAGCAATGATCAACCAATTTGACAAATGGGCAATTGTTGTACAATGTAGAAACCTCTTAAGAGACTTACCCAGAAAGACTCACAGCTGTAAAAGGTGCTTCTACAAAGTACTGACTCAGGGGTGTGAATACTTATGTACATTTGATATTTCTGTATTTCATTTTCAAAGAATGTGCAAAAATGTCTAAAAACAAATGTTCACTTTGTCATTGTGTGTAGATGGGTGAGATGTTTTATTTTACTTTAATCCATTTTAAATTCAGGCTGTAACACAACAAAATGTGGAATACTGTAAGTCAAAGGGTATGAATACTTTCTGAAGGCACTGTACCTACCTCAATTACGTCGTACCCCAGCACATCGACTCAGTACTGGTTCCCCTTGTATATAGCCAAGTTTTGTTACTCACTGTGCATCTATTATTACTTTAATGAATTTTACTTTCTTTCTCTCTGCATTGTTGGGAAGAGCCCGTAAGTAAGCTGTTCACTGTTAGTCCACACATGTTGTTGATGAAGCATGTGACAAATAAAAATGTGATTTGCTTTGATTTAGAGTGGAGTCTACAGCATTTGACACACATTTTAACTGACCTCATGGAGAGGCTTCTTTGAGTTTCCGGAACACCCCTTGCCTGGTTCCACTATTATATACAGTTGAAGTCGGAAGTTTACATACACCTTAGCCAAATACATTTTAACTCTGTTTTTCACAATTCCTGACATTTAATCCTAGTAAAAATTCCCTGTCTTAGGTCAGTTAGGATCACCACTTTGTTTTAAGAATGTGAAATGTCAGAATAATAGTAGAGAGAATTATTTATTTCAGCTTTTATTTCTTTCATCACATTCCCAGTGGGTCAGAAGTTTACATACACTCAATTAGTATTTGGTAGCATTGCCTTTAAATTGTTTAACTTGGGTCAAACGTTTCAGGTAGCCTTCCACAAGCTTCCCACAATAAGTTGGGTGAATTTTGGCCCATTCCTCCTGACAGAGCTGGTGTAACGGAGTCAGGATTGTAGGCCTCCTTGCTCGCACACGCATTTTTCAGTTCTGCCCACAAACCTTCTATAAGATTGAGGGTCAGGGCTTTGTGATGGCCACTCCAATACTTTGACTTTGTTGTCCTTAAGCCATTTTGCCACAACTTTGGAAGTATGCTTGGGATCATTATCCATTTGGAAGACCCATTTGCGACCAAGCTTTAACTCCCTGACTGATGTCTTGAGATGTTGCTTCAATATATCCACATAATTTTCCTTCCTCATGATGCCATCTATTTTGTGAAGTGCACCAGTCCCTCCTGCAGCAAAGCACCCCCACAGCATGATGCTGCCACCCCCGTGCTTCACGGTTGGGATGGTGTTCTTCGGCTTGCAAGCAACCCACTTTTTCCTCCAAACATAACGATGGTCATTATGCCCAAACAGTTCTATTTTTGTTTCATCAGACCAGAGGACATTTCTGAAAAAAGTACGATCTTTGTCCCCATGTGCAGTTGAAAACCGTAGTCTGGCTTTTTAATGGCGGTTTTGGAGCAGTGGCTTCTTCCTTGCTGAGCGGCTTTTCAGGTTATGTCGATATAGGACTCGTTTTACTGTGGATATAGATACTTTTGTACCTGTTTCCTCCAGCATCTTCACAAGGTCCTTTGCTGTTGTTCTGGGATTGATTTGCACTTTTCGCACCAAAGTACTTTCAGACAGAACGCGTCTCCTTCCTGAGCGGTATGACGACTGCATGGTCCCATGGTGTTCATACCTGCGTACTATTGTTTGTACAGATGAACGTGGTACCTTCACTGGGGCCAAGCTTCCTGCCATCCAGGACCTCTATACCAGGCGGTGTCAGAGGAAGGCCCTAAAAATTATCAAAGACTCTAGCCACCCTAGTCATAGACTGTTCTCTCTGCTACCGCACGGCAATCGGTACCGGAGCGCCAAGTCTAGGTCCAAAAGGCTTCTTAACAGCTTCTACCCCCAAGTCATAAGACTCCTGAACAGCTAATCATGGCTACCCGGACTATTTGCATTGTCCCCCCCCACCCCACCCTAACCCCCTCTTTTACACTGCGGCTACTCTGTTTATTATTTATGCATAGTCACTTTAACTCTACCCACATGTACATATTACCTCAATTATCTCGACTAACCGGTGCCCCCGCACATTGACTCTGTACCGGTACCCCCTGTATATAACCTCCCTACTGTTATTTTATTTTCTTAAACTGCATTGTTGGTTAAGGGCTTGTAAGTAAGCATTTCACTGTAATGTCTACACCTGTTGTATGCGGCACATGTGGCAAATAACATTTGATTTGATTTGATTCAGCCGTTTGGAAATTGCTCCCAAGGATGAACCAGACTTGTGGAGGTCAACAATTATTTTTCTGAGGTCTTGACTGATTTCTTTTGATTTTCCCATGATGTCAAGCAAAGAGGCACTGAGTTTGAAAGTAGGCCTTGAAATACACCCACAGGTACACCTCCAATTGACTCAAATGATGTCAATTAGCCTATCAGAAGCTTCTAATGCCATGACATCATTTTCTGGAATTTTCCAAGGTGTTTAAAGGCACAGTCAACTTAGTGTATGTAAACCTCAGACCCACTGGAATTGTGATACAGTGAATTATAAGTGAAATAATCTGTCTGTAAACAATTGTTGGGAAAATTACTTGTGTCATGCACAAAGCAGATGTCCTAACCGACTTGCCAAAACTATAGTTTGTTAACAAGAAATTTGTGGAGTGGTTGAAAAACGAGTTTCAATGACTCCAACCTAAGTGTATGTAAACTTCCGACTTCAACTGTATCTGACAGACAACAGTTTGTCTCCCTTGGCAAATGCAGGTCTGCCCCAGCCCCTGCATCACAAGGTGTCCCACAAGGCTCAGTGTTAGGTCCATTACGGTTGAGTATTTACATACTACCTCTTGGTCAGATCCTCCGTCAATTTGGACTCCGATTTCACTGTTATGCAGATGACACACAAATCTACATCCACACAAAACCCAACTCCACTCTGCCATCCCCCTCTGTTGTTGACTGTCTCTGTGAAGTGAACATTTGGATGAGCAATAACTTTGTAAAACTAAATGATGACAAAACAGAGATCATGCTTATGGGTCCCAACTCCCTCATCAAGAAACTGGGTCAACTCAACATGACAATCGACGGCTGCACCATCCACTCCAACAGTGTTTTCCACTAGTGCCGGCTGTCGGCTATACAGCCGATTAAACACTCAGGTTCAGGTACTTTTTTCACTTAAAATTACTAGACTACTTTTTTACAATTCGCAAGTCAGAAAAAGTCAGCTGAGCCCTGTCCCGCTAGAATGAACGATATGCATCTTCTAGCGATCTATTTATAGGACAGGCACATCAGTCACAAAGTGAAAGCTGACAGGGAAACAGTCTGCTGTCTGTCCCGCCTTCCAGTACCTGGGTGTTTGTGTTGTGTACGCTGTGGTTGAAGTCAAATGTATTTACACGGAGGGAGAAAGCATGATGCTACTTCATCGTTTATGTGAGTCAATTTGCACAGCCCATATAATGTGGTAACGATGAGTCGAAATCCACTTAGCCTAGTGTTTTATCTGGCACACTGATTTATTTTATTTTGCATGTTTCATATGAAGCCACGTAGTGCTGGCGCATAGGCTTACTGTGATTTGATTGACAAACAGCAAGATGGACTAGTTTATAAATGGTGTCGAACTGACTGAATGAAGTCGATCTCATATATCCTTGCCATTCATAAATCATACAACTTAGTTATATGTCCATGGTATCGCATCGGGACAAGTAAACTAAAGATCTTGTTTTTGTATTTCCGATATGAAGTCCATCAGGACTTACCAGACAGTGACTCATCAGTAGCCTACTGAATTGGATCAGTACATTTGGCTAAAACATTTGCATACTGGTAGGCTTTTTGGCGATTATCTGCAGATAAAATATGAAAACATTTGATGAAGATGGTGAATCCTCCTCAATGTAAGGAACAATAGGTAGGCTAGTGGAGCGATAGCCTCACTCTTGTCCAAAATATGATACAAGAAAACAGATTGAATTGTTTTAAAAGCTAATGTTACTTACACTACATGACCAAAAGTATGTGGACACCTGCTCGTCGAACATCTCATTCCATTAGAATGGAGTTGGTCCCCCCTTAGCTGCTATAACAGCCTCCACTCTTCTGGGAAGGCTTTCCACTAGATGTTGGAACATTGCTGCAGGGACTTGCTTCCACAAGAGCATTAGTGAGGTTGGGCACTGATGTTGGGCGATTAGGCCTGGCTCGCAGTCGGCGTTCCAATTCATCCCAAAGGTGTCCGATGGGGTTGAGGTCAGGGCTCTGTTCAGGCCAGTCAAGTTCTTCCACACCAAACTCGACAAACTTTCTTTCTGTATGGACCTCGCTTTGTAAAGGGCCTCCTCCAAACTGTAGCCACAATGTTGGATGAACAGAATTGTCTAGAATGTCATTGTATGCTGTAGCTTTACGATTTCCCTTCACTGGAACTAAGGGGCCTAGCCCAAACATGAAAAACAGCCCCAAACCATTATTCCTCCCCCAAACTTCACAGTTGGGGCAGGTAGTGCTCTCCTGGCATCCGCCCAACCCAGCTTTGTCCGTCGGACTGCCAGATGGTGAAGCATGATTCATCACTCCAGAGAACGTGTTTCCACTGCTCCAGAGTCCAATGGCGGTGAGCTTTACAGCACTCCAGCCGACGCTTGGCATTGCGCATGGTGTGCGGCCATGGAAACCCATTTCACCAAGCTCCCGACGAACAGTTATTGTGCTGACGTTGCTTCCAGAGGCAGTTTGGAACTCGGTAGTGAGTGTTGCAACCTAGGACAGACCATTTTTACGCGATACGCGCTTCAGCGGGTCCATTCTGTGAGCTTGTGTGGCCTACCATTTCGCCGCTGAGCCGTTGTTGCTTCTAGACATTTCCACTTCACAATAACAGCACTTACAGTTGACCGGAGCAGCTCTAGCAGGGCAGAGATTTGATGAACTGACTTGTTGGGAAGGTGGCATGCTATGACGGTGCCACATTGAAAGTCACTGAGCTCTTCAGTAAGGCCATTCTACTGCCAATGTCTACAGAGACTACATGGTTGTGTGCTTGATTTTATACACCTGTCAGCAACGGGTGTAGCTGAAATAGCCGAATCCACTCATTTGAAGGGTGTCTACATACTTTTGTATATATAGTGTATATGGTATTTTTTTAAATATTGATACAGGTCTGCTGCTTTCTGTGTAGCATAGCCCATGATTAACACCAGCTTCACTCTTCAATCATACCTGTATTGCAGATAGTTGAGGAAATGCCTCTTAAAAAGGAAGCTTGAAGCCTGTGGAAGTCAGCAGACTCTTACAAGATTCTTTAAGAAGAAATCAGTTGTTAAACACTTCTTTTTTAATAAATGACATACTGCAATTTACAAAGCGGGTTGCAAACTGATGTCGTTCTCTCTCTTCTCTTAACACGTATGGACCCAGAACTTAATTGAGCATCTGTTCTGTTTATTTTAGAGACCATCACACAATTTCTTTGATTTTACATTTAACCTTCAATTAATATTTTCTAGATAATTTGGGGAATTTACTTAATTGTTCTGTTTTAATAAAATACATAATTTTAAGAACAAACATAATTGTGGCAATTCATATCTTGCAGTAAAATATTTTAATCTCAAGAGAAGACGGGTTAAATGTTAAAAGGTTTAATGTTATCTTACTTAGAAAATAGTCCTAATCATATAGGCCTACACAATACAAAAAAAAACGAATAATATACTGAATTAATACATTTTCAGTAAACACAATACCACAACTAATTTTTCCAATCTGTTTGTGCATTTCGAATGGAATCAAGGCATTAGAATGTACCAGAGGCCACCAAAATAGAGCTTGTTCGGCAAACAATTATTAACCACCTCGGCCTGGGGTATCCTGGCTGGCTCCTTTTTCTATTTGGCTGGCTACTCCATGTGCTGGTGGAAAACACTGCTCAAACTCCACACTCAGGAACCTTGGTGTTACATTTGACCCCACTGTCACTTGAACCCCACATCCAGAACGTCACCAAGTCAGCCTTCTTCTACCTCAAAAACATCTCACGACACAGACCCTCTGTCACTGACCTCACTGTTGAAACCCTCATTCACGTTTTTTTGTTTGTTTTATCATGCCTGGCCTACTGCAACGCCATTCTCTACGTACCCCCGCCAAAACTGGCTCCTAGTTCAATACAGGATGATCTTCAATTTGCTCATGCTCACCTACAAAGGACTCAATGGACTAGCGCCAACATACCTTCCTGACCTCCTACACCCCTACACTCCCACCTGTTCACTGCGCTCCTCTGACACTGGCCTCCTCCCCATCCCTCGCTCTGCTCCGCTCCATGGGAGACCAGGCTTTTAATGTTCTCCATCTTTAGTCTCCTATGTTTAGTGTACTTTTATATACTTACTTAATATGTGATTTTATTACTTTTTATCCTGCTGATTTTCTTGTGTATGCAAAGTGACTTTGGGTGTCGTGAAGTTTAAAATGTATTATTTTTATTATAATAGAGTTCAATACATTGAGTCTACTCTACTGTACTATACAATTATATATTTTTGTACTATATTGTACTTTACTGTGCTTTAGGGAAGGGGGTTTGAAATAATTTCACTATTCGAATAGTACCATAAAATTGTCAGCTATCAAGATAATTCTTTTTTTAAACCTATGTTTTTAACCTGAGCACTGCTGTGTGAGGGAGAGGCTGGCGCTCTATTGCTGCAGCTGCGGAGGGGGCGGTGTTGGGAGCGAGCAGACTGAGTGAGAGAGAGAGAGATGCCAAGGCAACTCGGCTACAGCCAAGACTAGCTAACTTGTAGCAGCCACAATGAGCATGTTAACATGCACACTAATAATTAGATATTAAACTGATTATGGCAGAAGGCTGAGTATAGCATTAGTTATGTAAACACCTTACTCTGCTTATCTTAATTGGCGTAAGGTCATTATCGAAGTATGCATATGCCGATTAAAACACCTGGTTTTCCGAGCAATCTTTAGAATTATTAGGACATGTAAACAGCTTAAATCGGTGTTCCAGTGGTGTATTTTGATCTGCGCATGTGCCAGCACCGGTTAGCGCAATATTTCCCTTTTATGCGCAAGTGAAGTGAGATCGGAAAAACTGAAAGTATGCATCTTACAGTTTTCACATACAAACTTTATATGTCCGAACTCAGAATTAAATAGTCTTCGCAAAAATAACATGGTCACTGTGGTAGAACGTTTATTTTGGTTGGTGATATTCAGCATTTAGCAAAAGTCCCATAAGTAGCCTGATTTCAGATGTGTCCATGTAAACAGGATTATTAGGGAAATCGTTCTTCTTGTAAAGCATGTAAACGTTTTAAGCAAACTATTATAACTTCACTATCCAGAATAATCGCATTATTGTGTGCATGTAACCGTGCTCAATGTTATTCATCATCCTGCTAGCTAGGCTAATAGAGGCCACATGTTCCTCTTTCTCCCCAGCCCCATTCAGATAAAACAACAGCCTACCTCCGTTGGTTGCTCGTCGTAGCCTACTCCTTCTCATTTCGCTAACTTTTAATTCCGTAATTTTATTCCATCTTACATTGCATTAGTGAACTCTCACTCCATTTACTACACTTTGCCGCTTTGATTGGCCAACAAACAACAAAACTACACAGGTGATGGCTACTTTTTATGAGGCGCACCATGCACCGTCATGAAAACTACATAAAAAAGTTAGTTGTTTTATTAAAATAATCATTTGAAATGTCATGGTATATCCTTGTAGGTAACAATGTCACATGGATATTTTAATTTAGAAAAAGCCTTTTCAGTGTTAAAATAGGTCTATCTTTTTTCCCCCGCTAAAATGAATACTCACACAAGTATTCGAATACTAACGTCCATTTGGATATTTTAATATTTGAATAACCGTGCACATCCCTACTGTGCTTCACTGTACTGTACTGTGCTGTCCAAACTTGTGAAACATTGACATCTATTATTGGTTCAGATTTGGTCCGGCCACCAATCACGGATGTCTATGTTTTGACCAATTCAAGGCCGGTCCGGACCAAAGATCTACAGCTGTGGACGTTGAAATGTAGGCCAGGGCGCACTGACCAAATTTCAACTACTTTTCAACGCCCATGGACGTCCGGTGTCAGCCGGTGCTCAGTGGGCGCGGATGCTGGTTACAGTAAATGGAAAAAGAGGGGGCTTATGGGTAGGTGTCAGTAAGAGCCGGGAGAGGTAACATTAACTGGAGAGAGTAGAGAGAGACCACTAGACAACAGAAAGAAAAAATAAAACAGTATGCCAGTAGAAGGGAGGACAGTAGCAGGTGACCCAACTGTGGTTTGTGACTACTATGATTTCCCATTTGTAGCCAATTCAATTGCTGTAATTCTGTTACAGATATTTTTTGTCATTCTGTTACCAATTTGGTAACAGAATTACAAAAATGTATATCAGTAAAAACACTATAACTAATTGCTAGGTTTACCTTTACTTGTTACTTCTGTGAACTTTCATTATCCTCCCCCTCCCTCAGCCCGTCTGGTGTTCAACCTTCCCAAGTTCTCTCACGTCACCCCCCTCCTCCGCACACTCCACTGGCTTCCAGTTGAAGCTCGCATCCGTTACAAGACCATGGTGCTTGCCTATGGAGCAGTGAGGGGAACGGCACCTCCGTACCTTCAGGCTCTGATCAGTCCCTACACCCAAACGAGGGCATTGCGTTCATCCACCTCTGGCCTGCTGGCTCCCCTTCCTCTGCGGAAGCATAGTTCCCGCTCAGCCCAGTCAAAACTGTTCGCTGCTCTGGCACCCCAATGGTGGAACAAGCTCCCTCACGACGCCAGGACAGCAGAGTCACTCACCACCTTCCGGATACATTTGAAACCCCACCTCTTTAAGGAATACCTGGGATAGGATGAAGTAATCCTTCTACCCCCCCCCCCCCCCCCCCCCCAAAAAAAAAAAAAAAAAAATATTGTAAAGTGGTTAACCCACTGGCTATAGGGTGAATGCACCAATTTGTAAGTCGCTCTGGATAAGAGTGTCTGCTAAATGACTTAAATGTAAATGTAAATGTCTTCATGAGGGAGAGAAATTAGAAAATATCTTAAAGATATATGTTGGTTTTTGGTACCATAATTACAAGGAAATGTTTTTAAACTCACAGAAGCCAAATCAGAAGGCAAATAATTTCTCCAAAACTAAATATAAGTGTTGATATTAGTTGGCAAAGGTCTTTACTTCAACATTATTGTGTTTTGATGCATTTCAAATACCGTAAGATTTTTTCCTGGTAGATATTGTCTAAGACCCCATTTCCATCTGTTTGACCGGAAATCAAAGCTATTACTTATGCCTAATTTTTAAGGTAGAAAATGGTTGAAAAATGTATCTATGCCTTCATTTCCCCAGAATATAGACTCTTACCTTTCATTTGACACCCAATTTGATATGCTCCTATGAACTTCACATGTTTGTGCTCAAGGGTCCTTTGACATTGAAATGACCCATAGCTCATAACCAAGCTCATAGTATGATATTATCTGAAAAGGCAAAAGGGAAGAGGGGAATGTGTGTGGAGGTGTGTGTACAAAGTGTGTGTGTGCAAAGTGTGTTTGCGTGTGCGAAGTGTGTGTGTGTGTGTGTGTGTGTGTGTGTGTGTGTGTGTGTATCACTCACTCACTCACTCACTCACTCACTCACCTTGTTAAGCGTTGTGGTTGAGGGCGCTCCTCAAACTTCCTGCAGACAGAGAAGAGAGAGAACAAAGTAAGCCAGTTATCAACCGCTAAAACACACACACAGCGTAAACATTCACAGACAGACGCACACAGTATTAGTGTTGTCAGATACCAAAATGTTACTAACGATACGATACCAGGCCAAGTACTGGATCATGAGAGAGTAGTATCGCGACACCACGGTGGAAAAACATCAGTGGCCTAGTGTCCTTTTCGTCCCGTTCCCTGGACGCTTGTTCCTGTTTTCTAAATGTTTTGCGCATGTGCTACGCAAAACCCTGTCACTGAAATTCACACTTCTACTCAATACAACACATTGAATTTAACTTCATACTGTTCAGTGTCTACTGTAATAGAATACTGCAGAGGAGTATTTTTGTAATGAGTTTTGTTTTTTATCTGATTAGTTGGGCCTGGCAGGGCCTGGCTCCCCAGTGGGTGGGCATGTGTCCACCCAGGCCCACCCCTGGAACAACATTGCTTGTTATCAAACTAATAATTAGCAATCCGGGATTACTTTAAAATGTCCCGCAACATGGTTTGTGAAATTATATCAAATGCGCGCAAATCCCGATAGAAAGAAAAAAGGCATCTCTGGTAATATGGGTCATATTTTTTAACCGTTTAGGCTAAAGACAAGTCATTTTCTTTGCTATTTTCCCTTTCTGACACTCAGAGGCTGTATGACAGTGAACTTGCAAAGTCTACTCAAACTGGCCTGTGCTCTTGGTTATAACAGGCGATGCTCCAATGTAACAAATGTACAAATCTAACAACAGAAGACTCATCAGGGTCTGCACCCCCCGCTCGCCATCATTGCTAAATTATCTATTTTTTTTAACTGATGGAGGGATAGTTGCGCATGAAGAGCGGACGGAGAGAAGCAGGTGAGTGAGGACTGGTAAGGGATGTGGCTGGCTGATTACAGCTGCCACACGTGATATGAGCATGAAAGTGAAGTGGATATTAAAGGACCTGCGCATCCAAGAGACTAATGGCTGTTGCTTAAATTCAACTGAATTTATAAACCAAACTGCTCTTTATAAACATTTTATAAGAGGAGCCAGCAGGATCTTTAGATCAGTAGGGCTGAAAATGTCAGTAGCATCATATGAAACGGTACTACAGTATTCTAAAATGTTGGTATCATAAGTATCATGTCGCTTTGGTACCGTGATATTACCGTGGTGCAGGTTTACCTTGCAACACTACACAGTATACACACAAACAAAGAGACACACGTCTCAGGTAGGAGACGAGAAAGAACACCTGGTTACACACACACAGAGAGGCTGAGTGTTTGAGGCAGCTGCTGTCCTAGTGGCCTTGGCAGTGTGAGACCATGTGACACAGTGTCCAAACACAGGCAGGTGGCGAGGAGGGACGCCTTATCACGAGAGAGAGAGAGAGAGAGAGAGAGAGAGAGAGAGAGAGAGAGAGAGAGAGAGAGAGAGAGAGAGAGAGAGAGAGAGAGAGAGACGCTAAACCAGGTGTGTCAACTCATTCACAGTTCACACGAAGGCCTATTCACACAACTCCACATCCACCACATAGCCTAGCTACAAACAAAAGGTGTTCTGTGTAATGAAAACAGTATCATCATGCCAGTACATAGGCGTAGTCATATCTGAAAACATGAGACGCAAAACATTTGACGTAAGTCATCTCTGAAAACCACCTTTCATGAGTGATGGCACAGCTATAGTCATACTGGAAAAAGAGACCCATTTCCTTTACAACAATGACATCACATTCCCACCAAGAACACTTTTTCTTGTCAAGCAAATTTTTTTCACAACACCACTGGCCGTCACAGGGGGAAAACTTGCAGTAAAAAGAAGTGTTAGCAGTGTGATGCTCTAACCTGCAACCCAAGGATAACTTGTTCCCCAGAGCTAACACACCCCACTGACAGACAGACAGACAACCTTGAAGCACGGAGAAGCCCGCGCACGCACGTACACACACACACACACAGAGAGGCCCAGGGGGAGTTGTGATGGGAGCAGCGAGGAGGCTAAAATAGAAAAAAATCGATGCCTTCAGAGCTCCCCCTTCCTTCCCCATCCATCTATCTCTCCTCCGCATACTGTAAGACCCTGCTCTGGGACTGGTCTTAGCACACTGGCTGCTTGAGAAACACACTCACGCTGTGTGTGTGTTTGTGTGTGTGTGGGGGGGGGGGGGGTTTCAGAGGATGTCAGTCATGCTTTGGGAGGAGTATTTGATTTGACATATACACAACTTTCACCTCAAATACAATAATTGCTCTCTCACTCGCTCTCTCACACGCACAGTGAGAGGTGTCAATTTTGGTACTTGGTTGTTTGATATCATAGGCTCTGTGTTTTGCAGGGCAAAACCTTAGCACATCAGTGTCCCAATGTCAGTTTCTGACTGCTACATGCATACAGAGAGGGAGAGAGTCAAACCACTTTTTTTTTAAGAGAGAGGGGAGAGAGAGAAATAGGGAGTAAAGAAAGACAAGACAGAAAATGTAAAGAAAGCTGGACGGAGGAAGGCAGAGGGGGAAAGGGATCCATGGAAAGTAGCTAAGGAGGGAGGCGGATAAAGGGAGGGAGAGAGTGACAAGAGAAACAGAGAGATGGAGAGGGGGGGATTGTGTAAGTGGAATAATTATAGAGGAGGCAGATCAATAAGGTTCCCACAGTGAAACGCTGATGCCTCCCTGGGTAATGGATTCCAGGCAGGCAGCTCTCTCTTCTCTTCCCCTCCACTATCCTCTCCTTCTTTCCCTTCTTCTCCCTTCAGTCCTGGGATCACACTGCCTTACCATCAGAGAGAGAAGGGAGGTAAGAGAGGGAGGGGGGAATACATTCTATACAGACTATATACACTGAGTGTACAAAACATGCTTTTTTCCATGACAGACTGACCAGGTGAAAGCTTATGATCCCTTACTGATGTCACCTGTTAAATCCACTTCAGATGAAGGGGGGAGACCGGTTAAAGAAGGATTTTTAAGCCTTGAGACAACTGAGACATTGATTGTGCATATTTAAGTGCCTTTGAACAGGATATGGTAGTAGGTGCCAGGAGCACCGGTTTGAGTGTGTCAAGAACTGCAACGCTGCTGGGTTTTTCACGCGTGTATCAAGAATGGTCCACCACCCAAAAGACATCCAGCCAACTTGACACAACTGTGAGAAGCATTGGAGTCAACATTGGCCAGCATCCCTGTGGAACACTTTCAACATCTCGTAGAGTCCATTCTCCTACGAATTGAAGCTGTTCTGAGGGCAAAAGGTGGTGCAACTCAATATTAGGAAGGTGTTCCTAATGTTTTGTACACTCAGTGTATAAAAGGGAGGAGATATTTGCAAGAAAGAGAGATATTTGAAAGGAGAGAGAAAGAGGACAGAGAAAGAAGAGAGAAGAAAGGAGGTAGACAGACAGAAAACAAGCGGGAGAGAGAGATAGAAAATGAGAAAGAACCTGGCAAAGACCTGCTGCTGGCTTTGTCAATAACATGGTCAAAACACTAAGGCCAGACTGTGCTGCAATCATCACCACAAAAACACTACATATCACCATTTATCCTCATGCTCAGGCCAGCTATTGGTGTTAGCACTGTAGATATCACACACACACACACACACACACTTTCCAACAAGGGTACGTCAATATCAGGCAATGAGATGATATAACTTCATAATAAAGCGCTAGGCTATTTTTAGAGTGTGAATCAATTATCAACTTCTGTAATATAAAACTGGTTTGAAAAACACAAAAAGGGAAACAGTCAAAAAGGCACGGAAAAGGTTCATCTCAAATGTGGTAGAGATTTCAGCTTTGTTTTTATCTCTCTGAGGCGTGTCTGAGGAGTGGAGTGGCGAAAGAGATTTTCTACTTTTCAATTCACATTTCATCCTTGCCTTACTTTTTGTTGTAGCTGGCAACGCAACATTATTGGTCCGCAGCTAAAATTGCCCGTAAATATCACAGTAGCCACAAAGCAGTAAGTACAAACTATTTAACAATCCAAGCAAATTTTTTCTTCTAAAACATATTACAATATTGAATAATGCAACCAAATCATAATACACTATTGAATAATGCAACAATCCACCAGTATGTGCAGACGTTTAAAGGGTTTGTTTTCTCTTCTTTACACATTAAAGTAGCTGACAATCCACAGCTAACTCCTGCTAGCTATTATAAATTGATAATATCTGGAAATGCTGCAATGGTGACTGAACTTTGATAATTCCCTGGAAAGTTGCTTCTTGCCTGGTGGCTCAGTGCAGTCAAGCAAAAAGAAAAAAATATACACTTGAGATTTAAAGCTACGGTGACAATTTCAGAATGTAACAGGCTGTTACTACAATTTCAGGTAAAAACTCAATAAAACAAGTGGAAAAAAATAAGGAAAATGTCTGTACATTTCAAAAATATTGCTATAAAAACAGTGTTGGCTCAACAAGACAATTCTGTTTACACTGCCCTGCTTAGATGGGGGCAAGTGTCATGCCGGAGGTAGCGGTCGAGACGTGACAAGTTCGCAAGTTTACATTGCAGTATATGTGTAGCCGAGGGTACTTTTAGAGATGGTGTCTCTTTCGTCACACTTGAGAGCTAAGTGTGAAAACCGACTTCCACGAAAAACCTAAGTGTGGACTGCAAAGTTTAAAACACACACAACAATACACGTGCACGCATGCGCACACCAGACCTGGGAAGAAAATAGTTGTATTTTGTAGTTTATTTGAAAACACCAACTTTTTTAATACTCGAGGTAGTCGAATATAGTTTATATTGAGTTAACTAAAAGGCAAATATTTAATTTTATATCCAAATACAGGTCTCAGAAAACCCAATAATATTTGAAAGCATTTTGAATACCTCTCAGAAAACCAAATAATGTTTGAAGGTATTTGAATATATGCAAGTTATTTGAAAACAAAGAAAATATTTATTTGATAGCTGCGAAATATTTGATGAAGAACCAAAAACGACAAAAGTTAGTTGAATTAGTCTAAATACACTATAAATACAAAAGTACGTGGATACCCTTTCAAAATGAGTGGATTCGGCTATTTCAGCCACACCCGTTGCTGACAGGTGTATAAAACCACACAGCCATGCAATCTCCATAGACAGACATTGGCAGTAGAATGGCCTTACTGAAGAGCTCTGACTTTCAACGTGGCACCGTCATAGGATGCCACCTTTCCAACAAGTCAGTTTGTAAAATGTCTGCCCTGCTAGAGCTGCCCCGGTCAACCGTAAGTGCTGTTATTGTGAAGTGAAAACGTCTAGGAGCAACAACGGCTCAGCTGCGAAGTGGTAGGCCACACAAGCTCACAGAACGGGACCAGCGAGTGATGAAGCGCGTAGTGCTTAAAAATCGTCTGTCCTCGATTGTGACACTCATTACCAAGTTCCAAAATGCTGCTGGAAGCTACGTCAGCAAGAGAACTGTTCGTCAGGAGCTTTATGAAATGGGTTTCCATGGCCGAGCAGCCGCACACAAGTCTAAAATCACCAGGCACAATGCCAAGCGTCGGCTAGAGTGGTGTAAAGCTCGCCGCCATTGGACTCTGGAGCAGTGGAAAAGCGTTCTCTGGAGTGATGAATCACGCTTCACCATCTGGCAGTCCGACGGACGCATTTGGGTTTGGCGGATGCCAGGAGAACACTACCTGCTCCAATGCAACTGTAAAGTTTGGTGGAGGAGGAATAATGGTCTGGGGCTGTTTTTCATGGTTCGTGGGAGGCCCCTTAGTTCCACTGAAGGGAAATCGTAACGCTACAGCATACAATGACATTCTAGACGATTCTGTGCTTCCAACTTTGTGGCAACAGTTTGGGGAAGGCCCTTTCCTGTTTCAGCATGACAATGCTCCCGTGCACAAAGTGAGGTTCATTCAGAAATTGTTTGTCGAGATTGGTGTGGAAGAACTTGACTGGCCTGCACAGAGCCCTGACCTCAACCCAATCGAACACCTTTGGGATGAATTGGAACGCCGACTGCAAGCCAGGCCTAATCGCCCAACATCAGTGCCAGACCTCACTAATGCTCGTGGCTAAATGGAAGCAAGTCCCCGCAGCAATGTTCCAACATCTAGTGGAAATCCTTCCCAGAAGAGTGGGGACCAATTCCATATTAATGCCCATGATTTTGGAATGAAATATTCAACGAGCAGGTGTCCACATACTTTTGGTCATGTAGTGTATATGATCACAAGCACATGGTCTGAGAGGTCTCTTAGATATTAATCTTAATATAGCCTATAGCAGGGCTATTCAACTTTTACCCTACGAGGTCCAGAGCCTGCTCGTTTCCTGTTCTAGCTGATACTTAATTGCACCCACCTGGTATCTCAGGTCAAAATCAGTCCATGATTAGAGGGGAACAATGAAAAAAAGCAGTGGAACTGGTTTCGAGGTCTAGAATTGAGTTCCAGGGGCCTATAGCCTCAAATGAAATACACGAGGGACATGGAATCACCTCAACATTGGAGTAGACCACTTTTGCAGATTCAAAATGACTAACAAATATATTTTCATAATGAGACAAGGTAATACAGTAACATTGTAATAAAACTGTAATTACTTTTGGAGCAGCATTCTATTATCATGTTGTTGCATAATACTTTGGTAATTGCATTTTAATTGTTTTTGTAACTACTCTACATGAGGAATAGTGACTGTTCCTTATTCCACTTATGTAATAACTCCATTGTTATGCAATTATAAAGCAATTTCCAAAGTCCTATGTTGCTACACATGTATAAGAACTTGACGCCAAGAAAGGAGAAACCCTCACACTGGTTTTGCTAGTATCACTATTCTTTATTAAGCTTTACGTATCGGCCTCAAGGCCTTCATCAGAGGCGGCTCCGTAAAGCTTAATAAAGAACAGTGAATTAGCAAGAGCAGTGTGCGGATTTCTCTTTTCTTTCATGTTATTTAATTGTTACCATGCACCTGCAACAAAGATAGCTCAGCTGTGAGAGTGCCTTTTTGAATTTTGAATACAGTAACACTTGGCATCAAGTTCTTCTACATGTGTCGCAACATAGGACTTTGGAAATTGCTTTAAAATTGCATAACAATTGAGTTACATATAAGTGGAATAACAAAGGTCCAATTATCGAACCTTGTGGCACACCACAGGAAATCTTGGACCTGGTAGATGCACAGCCGTTTGCATAAACAAATTATTCTCTATCATAAACATAACTATATAACCAATTATATGTATAATTATGAAAACTGTAATAATGCAATTTAGAAAGTTATATTTCATGATCAACTGAGTCAAACGCCTTGGATACATCTAAAAAGATGCCAAAAGCGTATTCATTGTTGTTAAGGGCTGTAAAGATTTTATCTACAAGTTGCAAAAGAGCCATATCTGTGGAGTAGTTTTTATATAGAATACAGTGTTGATTTAAATGTTTCAACATTCTCTTATACACACATTATTTCTAGGATTTTAGAAAAACATGCTAGTACAGATATTGGGCAATAATATGTAAAATCTTGAATTTTTACAATAGCCAATTTTGACTTTGTGGCTTTGGTAACTAGTGGAAATCAGACAGACATAAAATGTATTTTCTTTTTTCTGTCTAGATGAGGGCAGCAAAATAGGCTAATCCCGGATGGTGGATGCGGAATGGAGGGAGGAAGAGAGAGGGAAGACAGGAAAAGAGAGAAAAAATATGGTTGATCCGTTGGTGACATTTCCCCCTCTTCCTCTATTGGCCTCCTCACTGAAGAGGAAGCTCTGTCGGAACTGGGGTTTAATCTGTTTCTCTTTCTCCCTCGGTCGCCATCCCTCTCTCGCTTCCTTCCTCCCTCCTACTCTTCCTCTTCTGCACTATCACTACAAGTGGTTCAGTCTACAGTACATTCTGCTTTTGGGAGTTCATTTACACAGAGAATGCACAGCTAGACAGTGTTGATGTTCTTTAGTCTATACAGCACCTAGAGTTAATTAAGACAGAGAAATACAACACTGAGGTGTTACAATGTATACAGCTCGAGACAATGCATTGACCCAGCAGTATACAGTACATGGTCTTTGCGGGGGATGCAGCAAACAATATAACATCTCATAGAAGAACCAAAGGATTCTGACTGTGTGTGTGTGTATATGTGTGTGTTAGTGAAAAAAATTGATACAGTTACATATCGCAATATTATTTAGGACGATATTATATCGATACTTTGACTCCAAGTATCAATTAAAAAAAATTATTAAAAAAATATTATATATTGTTCTCCATCTTCTTTTTAAATAGTGAGCCAACATGTTTTTATCACTTTTATTTCCATAACAGATAAAAACTCATTTTCTCATCCTCTCACGTCTATCTGCAGCAGACATAAAGTGAGCAATATATTTGGAACATCAAATCGCAATAAACTTGCAGTATCGAATCACAACACATTTAAGAATTGTGAGATCGTGATATCGTATCAGCACTTAAGTATCATGATAATATTGTATTGTGAGGTCCCTGGCAATTCTAAGCCCTAGTGAGTATGTGTTAAAGCTAAAACACACTAGCATGTTGGGCTGGGCAGTATACCATATTTTACTATATACCGGTATTGATGCACGGACCGGTTTGAGTTTTTACTTTACCTTCTATAATGGTATTTCAATGTTTGGTTTGTTAAATATGACACGCAGCTCTGGCACGTATAATGTCAGTTTTTATAGTTTACTCTGTTTGCTTCTTGAGCCACACCAAGCCCTCCTCCGTCACTCAAGGAGAGAGCAGTTGCTCGTCCACCGAGTCACGAGCACTTTCTTGCCGTTCACTCCGCATGGTCAGATGGATGCAACAATGTTGGTGACATGCTGCTTTCCACAAGCGTTCTATAATTACAATTTTAGTTTGTGTATCTTACTGTCTGCAAACTAATGTTTGCTAGTGTGTCTTTTCTTAGCAAGGTGTTGCTAAAATAATTTGCGTTAGCCGCTAATGCTAATCGCTAGTAAGCTGGCTAGCTTGCTTGCTAAATGTACTAAGAATCAGAGCAAACGTAGCTAGTTAGCTAATACTGCCTGGTACCAGTGCTGGTGTAGGCCTAGCTAAGCATGTTTGCGCAACGGTATCTTATCAGAGAGGAATAGGCGAAGCATGAATATGTTGGCTAGCTAGCTAGCTGTGGTTCCTACCCTGTCAATAATTCCTCACCGGCTTATTCATTTGTTGTCATGTCAAACAACAATGTATTCAAGGTGCTGAATCGCATCTCTGCATGTCTGGCAGACATATCAGTGTGGATGTCGGATCACCGCCTCAAGCTGAACCTCGGCAAGACGGAGCTGCTCTTCCTCCCAGGGAAGGACTGCCCGCTCCATGATCTCTCCATCACGGTTGACAACTCTATTGTGTCCTCCTCCCAGAGTGCAAAGAACATTGGCGTGACCCTGGAGAACACCCTGTCGTTCTCCGCTAACATCAAAGCAGTGACCCGATCCTGCAGGTTCATGCTCTACAACATTCGCAGAGTACGACCCTACCTTACACAGAAAGTGGCACAGGTCCTAATCCAGGCACTTGTCATCTCCAGTCTGGATTACTGCAACTCGCTGTTGGCTGGGCTCCCTGCCTGTGCCATTAAACCCCTACAACTTATCCAGAAGGCTGCAGCCCGTCTGGTGTTCAACCTTCCCAAGTTCTTTCATGTCACCCCGCTCCTCCGCACACTCCACTGGCTTCCAGTTGAAGCTCGCATCTACTACAAAACCATGGTGCTTGCCTACGGAGCTGTGAGGGGAACGGCACCTCCTTACCTTCAGGCTCTGATCCTACACCCAAACGAGGGCACTACGTTCATCCACCTCTGGTCTGCTAGCCCCCCTACCTCTACGGAAGCACAGTTCCCGCTCAGCCCAGTCAAAGCTATTCGCTGCTCTGGCACCCCAATGGTGGAACAAGCTCGCCCACGACGACAGGACAGCGGAGTCACTGACCACCTTCCGGAGACACTTGAAACCCTACCTCTTTAAGGAATATCTGGAATAGTCTAACAGTAATCCTTCTACACCCCCCCCTCCCCCAGGGGTGGTTGTCCCACTGGCTATCCTAAGTTGAATGCACCAATTTGTAAGTCGCTCTGGATAAGAGCATCTGCTAAATGACTTAAATGTAAATGTGCTGCCCACTATATTCCAACTATAAAAGTATAATAATCATTATATGTCCATGATTCCAACAGTTCAGTTAACTAGGCCTAGATTTTTTGCCCATTTCATGCCGCGTGGCAGCATATGGAAATTATAATAAAAGTGCAGGAAATGCAGAAATTGATTAAAATAATTTGAGTTTGGAGTTGGATTGAACAGTATAAATTTAGAAAGCCCCATTGAAATCACTTATAATGTATGTGTTGCCACCCTAGGGTCATGAATACTCAGAAAGCATATTTAGAACTTTTATTTTTCCAAAACATAAAATACTGTCGTCATGCCGCCAAAAATTTTAAAAATATCGTCCATATCACCCAGCCCTACAGGTATGATTGTCAAGCATTTGCTTGCCGACAGTACTTAGCACCTCTGAACAGATTGTCGGCAGTCAATCTCTTTTGTGTTCACACAGCAAAGACCTTGAAGTCGTCAAGCACTCAGCCTTGTTAAAATACTCAAAACCAGAAGGTGGCAGTAGCGTTGCTTGGCAATGCATGTCCGTGTGTGTTGCTTAGCCTTAGTTTATGGTCTAGATTCCAATGTTAGCTTGCTAGCTAGCTGCACTAATGTTGCTATTTTGTAGAAAGCCATTGTTTATCCTAGCTAGGTGGCCACAGCTAGATAACTACCTAGCAAGAATTGAATCCACTCTCCATAATCCCATACTGCCAGTGCCAGCCCATAGTCAAATGTTAGCCAGCTAGCTAGCTAACTTTAGCATATTCGCTAGCAAGCACAACATAGCTAAGGACACTGAACTAACTCGGCTGCTAACACAGGCAGCAGCTTCATGAAAACAAATCCATTGTGATTTAATTATAATGTCAATAATAGCTACATTGGTTAGCTAGCTTGGAGGAAGTATTTAGTGGTGTGTGCATTGCATATGTGCACTTAGCTAGCTACCATCCCATTGCTTACATTGCATATGAAGTGTGACTGGCTCATGACATTTAACTGTGGATGTACAGAGAAAATGCCCTCTTTTTTCGGCATGCAGCAGGTACCGTTTTTTTTCTAGCAAGAGAAGGAACGGCCTCCCAGTGTGATAAGTGCCTATTGGTCTATCGGCAGTGAGATTCTCGGTGTGATTCATGCTTTACAATCCATAAATGTAATGGCCTTGAGTGGACCTACAGCAAGTGGAGGGGACCACCAATAGACTCAGCCCATTGAGGTCACTAGGCCTTTATGCTGCCATTTTAACACTACTACCCAAGTCAAACAGTAGTTCCATATAAAGATATGTTGGCCTATAAGAGGAAATCCTGACTCTCTTTTCCAACGGGAAGTGAGAGTGAAGTCACCACCGTTGTGCCTGCCAAAATTCCACCTGGACCTAGTAGGGATATGAATGAATATTGCTTTCATGTAGCCTACCTACTGTACTAGGAAGTGTATGGATGATATTTTCTGTCCGCCAAGCAGCCCTAGCAGTATGTATGTAAGGTTGCCAGGACGATGACAGTCATTTATGTAAAGTCCCTAGTGTCACTGTGTGATGACTCTGGTCTGGCTGTACTTCCCCCACCTCTGAGAGTGCATGACAGGCTGAATGAAAAACCACATATGAACAAACACTCGCAGGCACACACACGACATGCACACACAAGGTCAACGCTGCGTTTAGTATGAGAACTTCCTCATGCTTTTAGGGGTTGAATAGGGAGCAGACAGACACTGAAAAGATAAGTTAAGGTCCTCGTTAAAAATAGACACCACACACAGCCATCAGACTCAGTAGGAGAAGCAGAGAAGTGTACACACACTGCATGGAATCCTGCTTAAGGCCTCTTCAGAGCAACACTTTGCCCAGATGATTGAACATCAAGTGTGAGTCTCATCTAAATAATAAAATAATAATATGCCATTTAGCAGACGCTTTTATCCAAAGCGACTTACAGTCATGCGTGCATACATTTTTGTGTATGGGTGGTCCCGGGGATCGAACCCACTACCCTGGCGTTACAAGCGCCGTGCTCTACCAGCTGAGCTACAGAGTACCAGGTATCTAGCTGAGACAGGGACAGGCTATTTTCTGTGACTGTGGTAGAATGGTGGGGTGCTCATAAGAGTAAAAATGTAATTTGACAACAGTGCTTTATATCAGTGACAGTGAGGCCTCTACTCTATCCAAGTCCAAACCAGCTCTGATGACAGTACCCGCCCATCTCTTAGGAAAATAATCTGACGTAAAAAAAAAAAACACTCCCTCTAGGTGATTTCCAGCACATGTACAAGTCAAATGTATTACTACTGCTGGTATTATATCGTATAACACATCAGATCAGATACCAGTTTACAGAGCAACTGTGTTGGCCTAGTCTACATCCCAAGGACTCGGTCTATGGCTGAAAACTCCTAATCAAAGGTCGTCCTAATCGTATAGCAGTCTCATCATTAAAAACAGCCCGAGCCCTGGCCTCTCAACTCTAACCTCGTCACTAAACGTCCTCATGTCTCAGCGTCCCTGACCTCCACTCCTCCACACCCCCTTTTCCTCAACCCTCACACACCCCCAGACCTACCCCCAAACCACACAGACTGTGTCCCCCCCCCCCACCCCACCCCCCTGTAATGTGTCAGGGCATGTGGGGTTGTGGTAGGCACTAGCTGGTGTCTCCTTGCTCTGCTCTGTACCTCTGATGACAGACGAGGGCTTCATATAGACCAGCCAGGCCCCTGGGGTCAGAGGTGAAGTATGTCAGCCAGCCAGGGGTCGTGGCGGCTGGGGGGGGGGGGGTCGTTGTCTACCAATTTCATTACCAATTTGATTTCTTGCACATAAAAGCCTCCCAAAGCAACATGAGGGCTTCCAACTGTTTGCTACATTTGGTGGCAGCGATAGGATCACATAAGTGTTCAATTGAAACCCACTGAAGCCAAATGTCTCAACTAGGAGGCCTGCCTTGTCACACTAATAACTTGGGGAAACTTTAGGCACTGTGTTTGATAGGTGATATGACATGTCATGTAATGGTGGTAGATGAGAGGTGACAGTGGCTGCGTCCGAAATGGTACCCTATTCACCCATAGGGCCCTGCTCAAAAGTAGTGCATAAGGGTGCCATTTTAGACACAGCCAGCGTCTATGTATAGAGCAGCAGTAACTGAAAGCCACACAGGCAGACAGACAGATGGAGATGCGTAAGTGTGAACCCAGCCTGTCATTCATACCAGGGTGTGTTTGACAGCTCTAACAGACAAACCGAAAAAACACAACAGTTAGGGGTTCAAGAGAGACCATAATACACACTAAGATGCAAATGTAGGTACATTTTGCTGCTGACTAAACTACCCTCATTAACCGGTCAACAAACGGTTAAATTTTTCCCAAACAGTAAAATGACATGACCAACAGAAAATACTATGCATGCATTCAAGGAACAGATTTTTTTCATTAAGAGTTTAATGAAAACATGCAACAATAGCAAGCCTATTGTACAGTCAAAAAGCTATAGCCTATTATTGAACATGCAACTGCTGTAATGAAGCAGCTAATAAAACGTAATTTTCAAACATTTGCCAAAATGCAATTCGCAGGAAGACACCGATCTAAACAGTGCAGCGGTTCCATATGTGACAGAGATGAAAATATCTGTTAGAAACATAGAAAGAGGGGGAATCTAATAGCAACAACTGGGATGGGCTGCTAATATTCCTAGGATTGTGCCTTTGGCTTGTGCCTTTGGCTTCTGGACAACGAAAGAAAGTTGATATGAAAACCAATAGAACAGGAGAGAAATGCTGGTTAATAGCATGAGGAAGTCGTTGCAAAATAATTGCCTCCACATTTCTATGGTTGGATTTTGGCTAGGCTACTTTGAAGACATTCTTCATTATCTGAAGTAAAGTAAAATTGTCAGGTTTCAATCAATTATTCTGCATCAAACTCACATTGGAAAGTGGTGGGGGACGCGCTAATAGCCTGCCTACCGTTGACTATAGCCTATGCAATCGAATGGCGAATGGGAGGCGCGCTTCAATTACGAGTTGAGATTGAGAAATCAAAATAGTTATTTTTAATCTGCAAAACAATTAACACGCGATTGCATTTAGAATTGTTATTTGTTGCGCAATGACTGGGCTTATAAAAGCACGTTTCACTCTAGTACCAGATATTTGAGAAACTGATCTCACGCTGTCTGACAGGTGATAGGCCATTCCACTCCTCAAACTAGACTCTGTAAGCTGTGCGCGTGTGATAAAGATACAGTGGGGAAAAAAAGTATTTAGTCAGCCACCAATTGTGAAAGTTCTCCCATTTAAAAAGATGAGAGAGGCCTGTAATTTTCATCATAGGTACACGTCAACTATGACAGACAAAATGAGGAAAAAAATTCCACAAAATCACATTGTAGGATTTTTTATGAATTTATTTGCAAATTCTGGTGGAAATAAGTAGTTGGTCAATAACAAAAGTTTCTCAATACTTTGTTATATACCCTTTGTTGGCAATGACACAGGTCAAACGTTTTCTGTAAGTCTTCACAAGGTTTTCACACACTGTTGCTGGTATTTTGGCCCATTCCTCCATGCAGATCTCCTCTAGAGCAGTGATGTTTTGGGGCTGTCGCTGGGCAACACGGACTTTCAACTCCCTCCAAAGATTTTCTATGGGGTTGAGATCTGGAGACTGGCTAGGCCACTCCAGGACCTTGAAATGCTTCTTACGAAGCCACTCCTTCGTTGCCCGGGCGGTGTGTTTGGGATCATTGTCATGCTGAAAGACCCAGCCACGTTTCATCTTTCAATGCCCTTGCTGATGGAAGGAGGTTTTCACTCAAAATCTCACGATACATGGCCCCATTCATTCTTTCCTTTATACGGATCAGTCGTCCTGGTCCCTTTGCAGAAAAACAGCCCCAAAGCATGATGTTTCCACCCCCATGCTTCACAGTAGGTATGGTGTTCTTTGGATGCAACTCAGCATTCTTTGTCCTCCAAACACGACGAGTTGAGTTTTTACCAAAAAGTTCTATTTTGGTTTCATCTGACCATATGACATTCTCCCAATCCTCTTCTGGATCATCCAAATGCACTCTAGCAAACTTCAGACGGGCCTGGACATGTACTGGCTTAAGCAGGGGGACACGTCTGGCACTGCAGGATTTGAGTCTCTGGCGGCGTAGTGTGTTACTGATGGTAGGCATTGTTACTTTGGTCCCAGCTCTCTGCAGGTCATTCACTAGGTCCCCCCGTGTGGTTCTGGGATTTTTGCTCACCGTTCTTTTGATCATTTTGACCCCACGGGGTGAGATCTTGCGTGGAGCCCCAGATCGAGGGAGATTATCAGTGGTCTTGTATGTCTTCCATTTCCTAATAATTGCTCCCACAGTTGATTTATTCAAACCAAGCTGCTCACCTATTGCAGATTCAGTCTTCCCAGCCTGGTGCAGGTCTACAATTTTGTTTCTGGTGTCCTTTGACAGCTCTTTGGTCTTGGCCATAGTGGAGTTTGGAGTGTGACTGTTTGAGGTTGTGGACAGGTGTGTTTTATACTGATAACAAGTTCAAACAGGTGCCATTAATACAGGTAACGAGTGGAGGACAGAGGAGCCTCTTAAAGAAGAAGTTACAGGTCTGTGAGAGCCAGAAATCTTGCTTGTTTGTAGGTGACCAAATACTTATTTTCCACCATAATTTGCAAATAAATTCATAAAAAATCCTACAATGTGATTTTCTGGATTTTTCTTTCTCAATTTGTCTGTCATAGTTGACGTGTACCTGTGATGAAAATTACAGGCCTCTCTCATATTTTTAAGTGGGAGAACTTGCACAATTGGTGGCTGACTAAATACTTTTTTCCCCCACTGTACATGACGACTAACTTGCCAATTTAATTCCAATAAATTATGCAAATTAACCTTTAGACCGATAAGCACGACCGGTGAAATCTATTTTTGCCGGCTAACCAATTAACGGTTAACTTCCCTAGGGCTGTCTCTGTCAAAAAAAAAAACCTTGGTCGACCGAGTCGTCTTTCTTTCAACCAATCGATTGGTTGAAAAAATTTTACCGTGTGTTCTCCCATATATAGTCACACCCTATGTGTTTTATTCAAATCTACTATATGTACTGAGCTTGTCTGATGCTTTAAGCACGTTGTTTGATTAAATTATTAAGACTCAAGAGGGAGCCAGAGATCAGGATGGCCTAACCAGAAGAAAAAAACCTGTTTCCAACCCAATGGCAGATTCTGCCATTATGCTCCCGAAGTGGCCGGTAATAGGCTACACCAGGGGTCGACAACCTTTTCCATTTGGAATGCCAATTTATCTTACAATTTCTACCGATCTGCATGCCAGTTATGATTTTCATATGCACATTTTCGTGGAACAGTTTCTTAAATTTATAATAGTCTTTGTATCTCAAAATCACTGTCATGAGGTTAATCTAAATTCTATCTAAATGAAAATTATACAAGTCTAAAAGTAACTTCTATTGCCATTGCCAACTATGTAAAAATTGCCTACATAAAGCCAACAAATAAAAACATTGCAGCATGCAGGCAGAAAATATCCTGATAAAAATAAGTATCCTATGAATCACATTGGCTATGCATGGCCTGTCCGCAATGAACTTGAAACATTTAATCAACCAACTATCAACTGTGTCCGGCCCGAAGTTCGCACTAGCAAACTTGCAACAATGTAAAATATTCTGGGCCCTCAGAGTAGGAGTGAGCCGAGTAGTCGGACAAAATGAGTATCGTAACGGATATGGGCAATTTTCTGGATATAATTATGATCAGAGTATTTTTTGTAATTATCCGTGATCGGGAAAAAAATTATGTTCAGGTGCCAGCACACATCTTTCTCATGTCAGTCAGTCCTGTGAGAGGCTCTACGTGGTCTAAATAACTCAACTGGTTGTCTGTAAAGAGAAGGGCGGGCTGTACGTTGATCCTGCTGCTCTGATTGGATAGAGTGAAGCTGTATTTCTCTGTCCACTCGCTTGACAATTTCACCCGATCAGTTTTCCTTTCATGTTTTTGGACTAAACATTTAGAATGCTGCTGCCTGCTACTATGATAAATCACATGGACGTTTGCTATCAAGCTATCAATGTGCATAATACATGTATCTAACAAAAAGGGCAAGAGTAGAACAAAAAATTAAACGCTGATGGCATTCTGACTGAGTGACAGCAAACTTTGCTGTGAGAATGTGCAAGGAAGTATTTAGCCAACATCTACTTAGGCATATTAAAACACTTCACTTTTTTTCTGATCATTAGTATCATCCGATCTGACTATCAACTGTCAATTTACAGATATGATTACGAATACGAGTATGGCCATGTCTGCACACCCCTACCTCAGGAGTTTCCCACGCCAGTGAGCTCGGGACAGAGAAAGCTGTAGGCTATTTGTGCAAGAGATAAGAAGTAATCAGGTATTTAATGACGTTTCCACTGGATCAGAGCATTACATGTCTCCCTTTCATGCCGAGTGGTTATCGAAAGGGAGAGCGCTGGAAATATTTTTCAAATACATTGAGGACCTATTGTCATTCTCAATGGATTCTAAAACATACTTTGTTTACTTGCTGTTTGAGGTGAAGAAAAAAACACTTTGAGAAGCTCCACAGCTCATTAGTGGTAGTGAGTTAAGACAATCAGAAATATTAAATCAGATATCCCCCAAATGGGCACATTTATAGGCCTACACTTGCACGCAGGCCAGGTAGCCTAGTCCTACTTCTACTCTAGCCCTTTTTGTTAGATACATGTATTATGCACATTGACAGGAGCGCTCCAAACAAAGTGAATAAATTGACAAAACTCGTAAATGGAATGAAATAAACCAAAACTTGTTTCTCACAAGAGCAGCATAGGTTGTGAGCTCTGCAAACAACGTGTCCACTCTGACAATGAGAACGGTAAACGACCTTAATAATAATGTATTGAATGCATTAACAGAAATTACCGTAACCAAACAAACATTGTCGATTAGAAATTATGGGAATTAATGGTAAATGTAGGCTACTACTGGTGATATATGTAGAGGGGAATTGATAGACACTAACAATCAAAGGGCAAACAATTCACACAATTAATCTGCACAAAATGGCAGAAGAGCGCGCATTCTGGAGAGAGACGTGCATCTTAGCCACACTCCCCTTCTTCTTGGACCTTGGCATCCCTGCGGCCTCCTCAATGGATTAGTCCACTGAGACAGGCATGAATCAGACAGGTGACTCGTGTGCCACGAAAAAAAATATCAATTTGCGACAGTTCAACAAAAAAATATATTGGTCGACCAACAGCCTATCGACCAAACAATCTACTAAATGGGGTCAGCCCTGTCCCTAATACACACCCCAAGATCTCAGTCCTCCCCAACCAACCCTTTATACACACGCCATCCACACAAAATCTACATACACACACACACACACACGTCTGCTTACACCCTCTGATCCCCAAAGGCCCTCTCCCGCCTAGACGAACAATACCAAATCCACAGAGGACTTCGAATCAGAGTCTGACATGGTAATTCATATGCTCTGGGTCAAGGGTCAAAGTGTGACATCTGAGGTCAACTCAAGTGTGCGTGTCAGGGTGAACAGCTTGTGTATAGCTGAAATTGAAGCAAGAAGATGACTGATTATCATACAATGAAATGCATGACTGACAGCTGGCTGAAAGATACATCTTGCTCTCCTGAATATGCAAACAATGACGTTTGACAAAGCAGGGAGATTAATGTAGTGTAGGGCAGAGGGGTTAACCTGGGCCCCATTGCAGAGATGGCCAATTAATTCTTATTTTTCCATGAACTCACTGTGTCACTGTGTTACACAACAGGGTGGAACACCTTGCTCTCTACGAGGCCCCTGTGTGTGTGTGTGTGTGTGTGTGTGTCCCTGTGTGTGTTCTGTTCTGTTTTTGTGCGTGTTTGTGAGGCCTGGAGGGGTGGTGCAGGGGAGAACCACAGAGGGGGATTAGAGAAGGTGTCTGATTTCAATGCCTGAGGGCTGATAGGAGATATCACAGATCTCTCTCGCTCCGTCCCTCTCTCTCTCTCTACACACAACCCTGTAATTACCCTAAAGCTCACTCAAAGCTCTCACTCAAACCTTTGTGTAGGCCAGGGTGGTAGGGGAAATCTACAGCTAGACCTATTATGGACTCGTGAGAGACGGATTTGGGACTTCTAGGAAACTAGGTTTTCCTAAAGGATGGTTGTACTATGTGGTTATTTTATTATTTTAAGATGTATAATGCACTTAATTGTAAGTCGCTCTGGATAACAATGCTTCTTGTGTGAGTGGTTCGTCATGTCATGTATAAGTGAGGGAGAGATGGAAAATCTTTGAGTGCTAGTAATTTGTCTAATTGAGCAAGTGTATGAGCAAGCATGAGTAACCACAAGTATGTGTGTGCAGCTTGTGTGTTGCCCTCAAAGGCAGCGAGAGAGAGAGAGAGTAGAGATTTAGAAGAAGATGACCGCACTGGCTACATATACCCCCTGCAGCCTATTGAGAAATACCAGCATCCTGATTTCACACCGAACTCAAACATGAGCGTACGTGTGCGCACACACACACACACCCCAAAATCAACATCTTGGTGCAAGTGTGTGGTCTGGGCTCGGTGTAATGTATGAACTCATCTTTCTAACACACATTTAATCATTGAGAAAACTGTGTGTGTGTGTGCCATGCATATATGTGCGCGCGTGTGTGTAGTTAAGTGTGTGTGCACAGTTAAGATGAAACCCATTTCCTCCGGCTGCCATGGGCACACAGCTCTAGGGGCAGCCCCTTTCTCTCAGTGCTTAGCTTGGCATCAGCGTGGGCATGTGCCACCCAGCATGCCAACCATCACATCACAGCCTGAGGAGCGAGCTCAGGGCAGACTCAATACAAACATTCCCAAAACCTTTCCTGTTAGCCACAATCCCTAAGGAAATCAGGATTAAACACTACCGCAGGGGAGAGAGAGATTGAGGAAAGGAGGATAAGGAGAGAGAGAAAAGGAGAGGGAAAGAAAAATACATGTTGGTGCGCTTTGTGAGGAATCTCCTAAAGCACTATACAAAATACAATTGTATTTTTTGTTAAATACAAATATATTGCTTGGTTGATTGATTCATTGATTGGTAGAAAGAGAGAGAAAAGGGAGATTACTTTTGTGCAGACAAGCCTGACAATCAATCTTGTGCCCAAATGCACAATAGCCTGGGGATGAGATTAGCACAAAAGAGGGGGGAACTTTAGCATTTTCCTTGAAAGAGGCAGAGTAGGAGAGTTGAACTTGGTCCTCACTGACTGACTGGGCCCAGATGGCTGGTGGCTGCCCCGTCTAGGGATAACAGGCAGGGTTAGGCAGTGAGGTGTGTGTGTGTGTGTGTGTGTGTGTGTGTGTGTGTGTGTGTGTGTGTGTGTGGTTCTGGTTGGGCTCAGTTGGGTGCCCTGAGGAGAGGCACTGCGAGCACACACACACACACACACAGTCGGTTCTGGTTGGGTCCAAACAGCACCAGCTCAGTCTTTGACATGGGAGAGTTTAATGACAGAGAGAGGAAACCTGAGAAAAAAGGATCCATCACTCACGCTCCCTCTCTCTTTACTTGTCTCTCTTTATTTCGTTCCCTCTCTTCCACTCTGACCGCTTCAAACATCAAGCAGGGCCGTCACTGCTCCATATGGAGCTCTCTAGAGAGACCTTTAACTGTTGGCCTCACGCCTGAATAATCTGCCAAACACACACAGACATGCACACACATTGTTACTGAAAGCACACTGACGTACACACAAGCATACAGAGACACACATACACACAGACACCCACACACAGTCGGGGGAGCGCGCACACACACCAAAGAGAAATAAGAAGCCAGTTAAATCCATGCGATGGGTAAAATAAGCATAAGTTCCAAGCAGTACAGTCCACAGAGCAGCTTTGAAAAGAACCATCTCCCCAAACAGAAAGTATAGAAGAGCATGCCTCCACCACCAGTCAAGTGGTGTGTAAACTGCCTTAAGAAAGTGTTACATCCTGAATTCAAAATAGATCAAATTGATTTTTTTTTCCTCACCCTTATACACACACAATAACCCATTATGACAAAGTGAAAACATGTTTTTAGACATTTTTGCAAATGTATTACAAATGAAATATCTCATTTACATAAGTATTCACACCTCTGAGTCAATACATGTTAGAATCATCTTTGGCAGCGATTACAGCTGTGAGTCTTTCTGGGTAAGTCTGTAAAAGCTTTGCACACCTGGGCCCAGATTCACAAAACACTTCTTACGCAAAAATGTAAGAAGCTTCTAAAGAAAAAATGTAAGAAGTTCATAAGATAGTTCGTAAGTGCAATTCCTCAACAATATCTTAAGATTTAATGATTTTCTTACGAACTTCTCAAATATCTCCTTACAAATCTAATTAAGGGTGCATTTGTAAATTCACTCTGGCTATCTACTCCGATTTCAGAGCACTCTCATCTGAGTGTGCCAGAGCGCAGAATAACTGACAAATTTACGAACGCTCAACACCCGTTGAATATGGCAGGTGTCAGTAAACGTCGGCAAAAAAAGCATAATTATATTGTTGCCAGCAGCAGTTACAGTCACCAACTCACTGGATAACATAAAAACAGTCTAACCAGCTCTGCTAGGGCGAGTAAAATGGTCAGAGTGTGGTGTTCAATCATTTGTGTCTGGAAGTAGCTAGCAAGCTAGCCAATGCCAGTTAGCTTGGGTGCTTGACTGCCGTTGTGAGGCCAGAATGCTCGGATCAACCCTCGGCTAGAGCGTCCAGTGTGCGCTCTGAACGCTCCGACAGCGAAACGCTCTGAATTTACGAACGGACAATCTGACAACACTCTGAATTTACGAATGCCCAGAGGGCACTCTGAACGCACTCTGGCACTCCAGATTGAATTTACAAATGCACCCTAAGATAATATAATAATAATATGCCATTTAGCAGACGCTTTTATCCAAAGCGACTTACAGTCATGCGTGCATACATTTTTTTGTGTATGGGTGGTCCCGGGGATCGAACCCACTACCTTGGCGTTACAAGCGCCGTGCTCTACCAGCTGAGCTACAGAGGACCAGATGTTTGTTGCTAGGCAACCGTTTTAGCTAGCTATCTAGCTAGCAATAGCAATCATGTTAGCATATTTCTTACTGAGATTACGGTTCTAAACATGTTCTTGGGTTTAAAATAATTCACACTGAAACTTTCAGATGAAGTTGGGGGTGATTAAATTAAATTAAACATGTTCAATTGCTTTCATGAGCTTTTTCTCTCACTGCCCTGAATTTAAGACAAGGGTTTAGCTCTTTTGTAAGTAAGAACATTTCCAATCTGATTTCTTCTTAACTTTTTGCTTAAGGAGAAACATAAGAAATAGCGCAATACAATTTCCAAGAACCTTTTTGAGGAATAGCAACTTTGCTTAACTTTCTTCTTAAGTCTATAGTTAGGAAAAAATGGCAGTTAAGAAGACGTTTCTTCTTAAGGTTTTGTGAATCTGGGCCCTGGATTGTATAAAAAGTTCTGTCAAATTGGTTGTTGATCATTGCTAGACAACCATTTAAGTCTTGCAATAGATTTTCAACCAGATTTAAGTAAAAACTGTAACTCGGCCACTCAAGAACATTGACTGTCTTCTTGGAAAGCAACTCCAGTGTAGATTGGGCCTTGTGTTTGAGGTTATTTTCCTGCTGAAAGTTGAATTCATCTCCCAGTGTCTGTTGGATAGCAGACTGAACCAGGTTTTCCTCTAGGATTTTGCCTGTGCTTAGCTCCATTCTGTTTATTTTTTTTACCTGAAAAACTCCCCAGTCCTTAACGTTTACAAGCATACCCATAACATGATGCAACCACCACTATGCTTGAAAATATGGAGGGCGGTACTCAGTAATTTCTTGGTGTATTGATACACCATCCAAAGTGTAATTAATAACTTCACCATGCTCAAAGAGATATATATATATATATATATATATTATTATTTTTGCCATATACCAATAGCTGCCCTTCTTTGCGAGGCATTGGAAAACCTCCCTGGTCATTGTGGTTGAATCTGTGTTTGACTGAGGGACTTCAGGGATTTTTCAGCCATTGAAATCCTTGGGCGGGCCACCTAAGCGTTTTTTGGGGTCGCCGAAGTCCAAACTGTATATGTATAATATATATATATATATATATATATATATATTTGTTTATAAAAGAATAACATTGGGGTGGAAAAACGCTTCCAGATTAAACAAGACTAAAACAAGATATAAAGTAAGTAGAAAAGATAATGGACCTATTTATTTTTTAATAATATATAATCTTTGACAACTAACAATCACCAAAATAAAAGCTAGACAGTCAGGGAGAATTGAAAATTCCAAAAACAATTAATTTAGCAGTATATGTTTTGTTAGTATGTTTGAGCAAAATAAGATTAGCCATGGCAAAATGCATAGAACTGCAGGAAATTAATTTAGAGGGGCAATCAACAGTTGCTACAGAATTTGTGGGACTTATAAATTAATGATATGTACCCATTGATTCTTGAAGAACATAACTTAGAAATGCCTCATGAGCTTAGTTCAACTGTTCAACCCCATCAGAACCCAAAATATAACTTTGTTTTACTCCAACTTTTGTAAACAAAGAAAATGTAAACAAACACCATATAACCTCAAAACATGGTTCCAACTATAATTTTTATATCATGGATGGTCAGTCCTTGCATCCATAGCTCTGTCTATGAATTTGAGAGTGGTTACATTTCTCCAGCCCCATCCCTCAGCTTTTTACCGAACCAAAGATGCTTTGTTATTGTTTCTACTGCTGATTGCGGCTTTAAAACTGCTAAACTTTGTCACGGCTCCATGGAGAAATTTGAGAAAATGTTCTCTAAAATTCAGCAGCGTTTACGTGCTGACCACGTCCACCACCTAAGCTCTTTTTTGATCTAGAAAAAACACTGGACCTTACAGATAATTGCATGTTTGGGGTACAGAGATGAGGTAGTCGTTCAAAAATCATGGCACTTATTATGTTACATTTTTACTCCTGAACTTATATAGGCTTGCCATAACAAAGGGGTTGAATATCAGCTTTCATTTTTTATTCATTTGTAAGAATATTGAAAAAAACATAATTCCACTTTGACATTGAGGTATTGTGTTTATAAGCCCAATCATTGTGCAACAATTATGAACGAAATTGCGTGTTAAAAAACATTTTGGATGGCCACGATTAAAAAGAGCTACTATACTGAACAGAAATATAAACGCAACATGCAACAATTTCAACAACTTTACTGATTTACAGTTCATCTAAGGAAATCAGTCAACTGAAATAAATAAAATAGGCCCTAATCTATGGATTTCACTTGACTGGGCAGGGTGCAGCCATGGGTGGGCCTGAGAGGGCATATGCCCAACCACTTGGGAGCCAGGCCCACCCACTGGGGAGCCAGGCCCAGCCAATCAGAATGAGTTTTTCCCCACAAAAGGGCTTTATTACAGACATAAATACTCCTCCGTTTCATCAGCTGTCTAGGTGGCTGGTCTCAGATGATCCCACAACTGAAGAAGATGGATGTGGAGGTCCTGGGCTGGCGTGGTTACACGTGGTCTGCGGTTGTGAGGCCAGTTGGACATACTGCCAAAATTTCTAAAATGATGTTGGAGGTGGCTTATTGTAGAGAAATTAACATTAAATTATCTGGCAACAGCTCTGATGGACATTCCTGCAGTCATCATGCCAATTGCATGCTCCCTCAAAACTTGAGACATCTGTGGCATTGTGTTGTGTGACAAAACTGCACATTTTAGAGTGGCCTTTTATTGTCCCAAGCACAAGGTGCACCTGTGTAATGATCATGCTGTTTAAGCAGCTTCTTGTTATGCCACACCTGTCAGGTGGATGGATTATCTTAGCAAAGGAGAAATGTTCACTAACAAGGATGTAAACAAATGTGTGCAAAATAATTGAGATAAATAAGCTTTTTGTGCGTATGGATAAATTCTGGTATCTTTTATTTCAGCTCATGAAACACGGGACCAACTCTTTACATGTTGTGTTTATATTTTTGTTCAGTATATTCTTATTTCTCAACTGGTAATTGAAGCGCGCTTCCCATTCGCCATTAATGTGCTTAGGTAACAGTAAGCAGGCTTCAGCGCGTCACACACCACTTTGCAATGTGAGCTGGAGGCAGTATGCATTTTTAAAACATATACTTACATTTTGTGAAACCAAAATCAATTTCTATAAACATGGAGGCAATTATTTTATAAAGACTTCCATATGCCATTGACACAAGTATCCTATTTCTCTCATGTTCAATTGGTTTTCAAATAAACTTTTTCATTGTCCAGTAGCGAAAGGAACAGTCCTAGTCATATTAACAACCCATGCATCTTTAGATCTCCGATCTTTCTAAATTTCTAATGGATATTTTCATTTCTATCACATGAAACCGCTCTCATGTGCAGTGTGCTTTTGACAACAGTTTTTTTCCGCTAATTGCAT